GTATTTGACCTAAAATTAGGAGAGCATTGTATTTAGACACGTAATCACTGGTCTCAAATCTTTCCCACGAGAACAGTCGTTTCAGTACACTTCCTGCCAATCTAGTACGGTTAAACCGACTGATAAAAATTATCTGGATAAAGAGATGTCACTTCTACCGAGTGTAGTCCGGTCAAACCGATGTCCGGTTAAAAGGTGTCCAGATAAGAGGGAGTTTACCGTAATACCATTTGCTTAACGTAACAGTTGTAAACATTCAGTATGACACAAATTCAGCATTTGGATAAAAATGAAATGGCATACGTAGGGTTGACTTATTTATACTATGTCTAATGCTATGGTCATTGATACGCTCATGTATTTATATAATATCATTGACTATAAACACACTTTGGGAGTATATGTAATCAATGGTTGATCCTTTAACCCTTTAAGTGTCACCCGCCCAAAATTGGGCGAGTTTGTAGGCACTATGTTTTGTTTGTTATTTTGATATGCGTAATCAATGCCCCGGCTTACTTATACTAACTGTTCAGCTAATTCAGAGCTTCGTGGTGACTGTTAGAGACGGCCGTTTAGTGATGTATTTTTATCGTTATATGTTGTTTCTCTAATTCTCTCTGACTGACACGGAACTGAAATAAAACAGCTGTCGTTAGTTTGCAAATGGCGAATTGTTTAGGTTTTGGTTTTGTTGTTGATTGCTGTGTAGTGAATTGTTCAAAAATGGGTTATGATCTCCGTTCGAGTGTATGCGTAAAGAAACATAACTCTAGAACACTTATTTTCCAGCTGAAAGAACTGCAGAACCAAGCCGGACCTCTAGTCTTTGCCCAGTTGCTGCAGACTGTTGACGCCGATACGTTGCAGCAAGTGAGGGACTACGTTCCTTTGTAACTAACTCAGATAATATTATTGTACATTTCCATTGTTAATAAATGTAATCAGATTGTATTTAGCATATTTTACTAAATAATTGTTTATAATAACTGTTCTGTAACTAATTATCAGGTATACCGGGTTGTGAATTTCTTTCAGTTAATGGCGAGAGTAGTAAGCTTTTAGATCTGTACAAATAGTGTTGTTTTGTTACTGGAGTTTTTAGAACTAATGTTACTATGATTTTTTTACGATTGCATCCTGGAGTTGGACAATGTTGTTACTGATGAGATTAGTTGATAGATGATTATGTTGTAAATTATCTCTAAAATGAAACATTTTATCCTTTGGACTAAAATTTATAATTTGTAGAAATATTGATATCTGTTAAATAATTAGAGAATGTAAGAACAAATTTTAGAGAATGAGTTTGTCAAAGAAAAGAAAAGCAATAACAATGTTAACGCAATTAAAAATCATAGCTTGGTAAGTAATAGTATTGATGAAATAATATTTCATTTTTGGAGTTAAATTGTATTACCATTACAATAATTAAGAGTGTTGTCATAACCTCCCCTAATACAAGGCCGCGGCTTTGGTGTGTGGCAACATCATGCCTATTGCTATGGTAATAACAGAAATAACAAAAGGGTAAACTTAAACATTGCCTATACTGTCCATTATAAATTAGTGCAACAGCTGTTTTGTTTTGACGGGACAGCGGTGTTACCACTTTTGTCTCACCGCGGTCTTGTGTTTGAGGAGGCTACGTGTTGTGTATAATGTTTTGAAAACTAATGGCTGATTTTTTGTTGGTCTCAAGTAAAGTCAATAATAAATTTTAAGGTTTGTTTGAAAATAACCTAAACCCTCATTATTGAGCAGCTAAGTTGTGTGTAAATTGTAAAATACCTTTTACTAATTAAACTGCGTTTTTGTAATTAACTATTTATTTTGTACATGAATTTTAACTTGGAATAATAAATTTTATTGGTAGAATCTTGTATTTTTTGGTTTGTTTTACGTTTTACAGTCAATAAACGAATTTAAGTTAGGTTACAGAGAATTGCAGGGTAGGCTATGGTTATTGGATAAAATAACTGACAGAAATACATTTTGCTTGATATTTTTTGTGTAAAAAAATATTTATGATGGAAAAAGTTGTAATGTGGAGGTCTGATTTTTTTAAATAAGCAGGTATGTAATATTAAAGATTAGAACTTGATTTTATGAGAAATTAAATCTTTAGCTTTAACTATATTTAAGATTTGATTTATTTTAGATAAAATGTCTGTTCATAGAAAAACCCCTGGTATTTATCAATTTCAACTAAGCTGCCAACTTATTTTTAAGTATTGAGTTTAATAGAATCCATGTGTTTAGAGAAGGGTTCATAATTTTTAATGTGAATAATAATGCCACCACTATTCTTAGTTACATTGAATTAATAAAACTTCTTCAAATCTAAAACTGGCTATTGATAATATTGAAGTAGAAATTGAGAAAAATGCAAGTTTCACATAATATTACCAACATGAGATCATGTTGAACTAATCAGAATGGTTAAAATAATACTCATGCTTAATGACCAGCATTATAGAACTCATGAAAAACTGAATGTGTTTACCTATTTACTCTAGTTATAATTTGTTTAGTCCTTGAATTAAGACTTTAGTTTAAGGCTTGGATACCAAAATATTGAAGCATCAGTAAAATTCTCAAGATTGTGTGCCATGTACTGAAGCTGATATGTAGTTCAATAAAATTATTTTTTGTTTACATTCAAATTTTCAATTTACTTCTCCAAAATTATTTCTATAGAAAAATTAACGGAATTCGAGTTTTTTAGTATCCATGAGTATACATTAACAAAAAGTTGACTATCCTTTACCCATGTCTACTTACTTTTAGCTAGTTTTAGAATTAGCCTTTCACGGCGGTTTGACGAGCCTTTACTCGTCACTTGTAAATATGCGCTGCTACGGTTTGACAAAACTCACTCATGATGACGCAACCCGGGTAGTTGGTCGTGGTGGCATCTGACGATGAATCAGTGAACTATTTTGAAATAGTACTGTATACAGCACATTGTTCACTAGTTGCTCAATCTTTTACAACTGCTCTTGATCGTAGTGAGTGCGACAGAGACAGATGTGTCGTTTTCAAACGTGAAAACTATGAAAGGTTGATAAGGAAGTTAATGTTGAACCCTATAGGGAACAATTTAGTTATGAAAATGGACCTAGACCCATAGGCATTTTTGAATTATGTTTTGATAATGAATTTAAGCATGACCAGCACAAACACCCAATGACTAACAAGGACAAAACAAGAGATGGTTTGACATGGTTTGGGAGAAACCCACCCTAGTAGGGGTAAAAAATCCAGTCTTAAAGGGTTCAAAACCATTTATTAAACTAAGCCAGAGTGTGCTACCTACTCTATAGTTATTTGTGTAACTAGTGTGCAAAGTGGCACTTTGCTGCACATGAGAGAAATGTTTACACACAAGCCACAGGCGAGTGTGGAAAGTTTCTCGAGTGCAGCAAAAGAACTTTGCACTCGCTTTACACATAATATTTTTCCTACAGTTACTATAAAGCATATAAAATAAATAGTAAGTCTTTCAATCACTATACAACACTTTTTAGTTTGGGTTAATTCAAGCATTGAACGAAATGAGCAACATTGCATCAGCTAATCGTAGTTTAAGTGTTGCCAACTTAATTTTAAGTGTACAATACTGGATTGCGGCAAAAAAATGAGTGCAGCAAAAGTAAAATGAGTGTTGCAAAAGTAAGTAAATGCATCACTTGGAGTACTGTAATCAGTGGAAGGAAGCCAACTTTGCCAGGTAACTGTAGGAAAATAGTTATTTGTGTAACTAGTGGTGAAAGTGGCACTTTGCTGCACACGAGAGCAATGTTTAGGCACGAGCCGCAGGCGAGTGCGGAATGATCTCGAGTGCAGCAAAGGCCTTTTTCACTCGTGTTACACATTATATTTTTCCTACAGTCACTATAAATCATATAAATAATAAGTCTTTCAAACACTATACAAGACGTTTTTAGATTCAGCTGGCAACACAAATGGTGTCCTTAGAGAAAGTAGTACCCGCGGTCCGTATCACTCCGCTATTTTTCCTCGGCAAGAAATGTGCTCCGCGTTTTGAGAATATAGTTCCGTATGTTTTTGTAATTTGAAGTGGTTTCCGCGCCTAAAAAAATGCTTTAAATTCATTTTTTTTTTATTAAGATCGTAGGAATGTTTTTAAAACGTTTAAAAGAAAAGTCCAGGAAGTTCAGAAATACCGAAACTATAAACACGATATGACAGGTTAAATCGAAGTTATAATAGTCAATCAGCTGCTCATAGTATTATTATCTTTAAGTGTTGCCAACCTATTTCCAAGCGTACACGGATTACGTGCATAATAGAACCACGCTGTTTTGTGTTGTTTCGTTGGAATCCTGATGTGCGGCAAAGTATAAACCGTACGGCTAAGTATAAACCGTACGGCAAAGTATAAATATGCAGCAATTAGCAGCTTTCTGTACTATAAACAGTACAAGGAAGCCAACTTTGTCGGGTGACTGTAGGAAAAAATACTTTGTTAAACTACTTTCTTAATCACTGACTTTTTAACCAAGCCAAACTGAAAGGGCAACTTATTGTATAACAAATATCTATTAGGGTCATTTGAGTCTCCTTGGTTGAAAAAAAATCAATAAAGTTGGTCCATATAACATAACCGTTGATATGGACCAACTGTAGCTAGTTTCAAGCTCAAGTGAATATAATCCAAAGTAGAGTCAATGGTAAGTTTTGTTTTTGAACTCTTGTAATTTAGGGAATAACGTCAAAACAGTGGAATAGGTTTTGCTCAAGATAATACTTCATTGCTGTTTATTATCATGAAGTTAAAATGGCCTCTAGAAAATAAAATACTACAGTTAAAATCTTAAAAATAATGCATCAATCGTACTAGCATTAATATCTAAAAAACACATACTTTTATAAAAGAGGGGAGTAAACTTGTAACCAAGGAATATAACAAATACACTGAACATCATACTATTCAATTTTCTATAATTTTTATACAATAATACATTAAACAGAGATTTAAGTAGCAAGAGTTAACATACAGCATTAAGGATTGATAGCCCTTTAAAATAATAGATTATAGGTGCTATACTTATAATTAGGTATAAAACATTATTATTTACAAAAATATCATTTTATGAGTGATTTTGGTTTATACATTCAAACCATTATAAATAAAAATTGTAGAATATAGGTATTTTTAAACATTTCTCAAGAATTAAAAACGGTGTTAATTTATTTGTTTACTTCTTACATAAAATATCTTAGACCAAACTTTTTTATAAAGAAAATACATTGAACAATACTATTGACAGAGTCAGGTATTAAACAAATATTTATGTAATTGATTACAGCAATTTGCAATTTTAGGCTAAAAGTAGTTGTTTTATCAGGCTGCATGAAAATGTTGACTTAAATTTTGGAAGTAGTAAGAGTACAGTAGATGCACTGTGATACCAAATTTCTTATGAGCACAATGCTGAATAGAAGCAAATATTAAAACTCCTGTAATACCAATTTTTGAGCGGTTTACTTTTGAAAAAGTCTTTGGATATTGATAAAAACACAAATTTCTACTATCAAACTGGATGGTGTCATAACAAATTAATTTATGTCTCAAATTAAAATAAATAACTTTAGAGTTACAGGAAAATCACATGGTTTACAAGTATCACCAGGAAGAAACTTGTTTGGTTGCTATTAATAGGAAATGAAATATTTGATTAAATTCACAAAATAATCAAGATGCTTGGTGCACACCAACAAGAAGTCAAACACTATTTTTGCTTAGCTCACAAAATATATAACAATTTAAAATCCTACACTACCATTTAGTTCAAATTCGGGAAAGAAAATAAGTCCACACTAAGAAGACAAATACGATACCTAGATAAAGTTGCCACTCAAGCGAGGCGCGAGTAGCAACCGTGTTCTCGGTTGATGAACACAACTGGTAATGTACAGATGAACACAGTGGTGTTAACAAGCAGGGCCTCATGACACAATGATTGTAGCATGCAGAACTAACGGGGCCTCCCAGCCGTCCTTAGAACTCTCCCTGTTTGTCCGTCGGCCTGTGATTTCCAACGGGAACGTTCCCGGATGTTTCAACCTCTTTCGGAAATGTAACGCCCAAATCCCGTGTTTCTGCACCATCTCAAACTGGCCCCCCTCGTTTCCTTTGGTTATGCTGTATTCAAAATCGTTCTGCAATCATAAAAGGTTGTTAGGGTTATTGGATTACTATACAATGGTCAAAAGCAATGGAGTATAAGTTAGACTTGTATTTTAATAATTTAAATTTCATGATGTGTAAAGAAGAAGAGGCCGCCAACCTCTTTAAACAAAATTAAATTACCTAGACGAATCTTGTCGTGTAAAACTAAAAATTTTGTTTAAAAAATACTTACATACAGTTGATAATCTATATTACGTAGTGATTGTACAGGAGAAATTGATTTCTTATAAATATGAAGAATTATTTTAACAAAGCTGAGTCACAAAAATTATCTTAGGTATGAAATGAATAAGACCTATTTAAAGGCCCTTCGCTGTTCCCCCACTCTAGTCTGAAGTACAGAATAAAGACCTAACCAAAAACTCTTACTGAGAAAAAAAAAACATTGAGTTTGAATCTGCTAGTGGCTATAACAGAATCTAGGAGCGCTGCTGTCACAGTGATTTTTTTAAGCATACATTTCACTTTTATATATGATCAGCTTATAGCAACGGTGTAGTAACGAAAGTTCGGACGTCTGGCCTAGCCTGCCTGTGAGCAACAGCAGTGCTCCTAGATTCTGGTGTGGACACTAGCAGATTCAAATGCAACATTTCTTTAGGCTCAGTGAGGATTCTTCTGGTTATGTCTTCACCTGCAATCTGAAGACAGCAAGCTAGTTCTAGAATATTACATGTTTTCAGATGTTTTAACTGTATTCTATTTACTAAACTTGATGGTCTCTCATGTTGGCTTTTGCACATTAAAAGCAAAGCTTGTGTTAAATTTAAATTCATATTTATTGCTGAGTGAAGCACCAAAAGCACCAAATAATACATTGGTGATAGCACCAATTTATACATTTTATGGCAATAAAAAAACTATCATCAACTGTATGGAAGTCCAATTATTTGTCAATCAATTGGTCCGGGAACACCACAATAAAAAATGTATGGAAATATAAATGCAACTTTCCTTTATGGTAAACAAAGCATCATATTGTGACAGAAACTAGTTGATATTCCCCAGTTCCTACAAGCAGGTAAAGAAGCAATTTGGAATGTCCGAACTGAAGATTTACATGGGGTGAAGATTATTATAAAGTTGTTTTGCTACCTTGATGGCTGGCTGCAGTTTGATGACTCTGGTCCGGTGTTTGGTCTGAGCGAGACTGAGCCGCACCAGTCTGTGAGGCTGCTCAGTACGAGGTCTGTCTCCGTGGTGATGTCTACGATGTCTGCTCACCTGCAAAGAGTGTAGGTGAGCTTTCTTACTGACCACAAGCTGGTTTTTAAGACAGAATTAATATCAAAAGACCCAATGGTTAAGTTCAGCTGGGCTCAGTTTTAAACAAATAAAAGAACACTAACTTTTCTAAGGATCGAATCAGCTACCTTCTGATCCCCAAGCACATCCATTCAGCTAGCAGGATTTAATGGTACATTGATCCAGAACCTGTCTCAACAACTTTTTTTTACTATATGTTTATTTTTATTTTTTATATTATTATTAATTGAGATGGGAATTAAATAGATTATTATTATTTGAAATTATTTGAGGTATTAATTAAATAGACTCTCTTTAATATATTACTATGTAGAACTAGGTTGTATTGAGCCCTCAAACAAAAATTCCTAAGGACAAAAACTATTTACAAAATCATTTTTAATGGGATCGACCTAGAAAAATTGGTATTTTAAATTAAGGATGTTCATAAAAATCTTAAATCTATCTTATTAGAACTATCTTATTAATGGAAGAATGAGTAAATTTTTATGAACAGTCTTATGACTGACATATTTTTTAACGTATCTAGCAGCAAAGCTCAGCTTTTCCCAGGCACAAATACAATGAATAGATCTCCACAAATCTTGGTACCATTAAATCTAGATATATGTGAAATATTGTTGAGTACCTTTTAGGTATAGAATAGTGTTTGATTAAAAAGTGAGAGTTTTGAGCTTCGACTCCAAAGTAATTGTGGGTACACAAAAACCTAAAATGCAAACACAAAATGGTACCCATCTATATAAACCAGCTGTAGCTATTTTTTATATAAAAAATCAACGTGGTTGAATGAGACATAGTGTGCTTCAGTATATAATTATATTTTTCCCTTTAGTTTCTGTTACTGTGATAAGTTACGTGACAAAAGAGTCAATATTTTTTACAATCAGTTGTCAGTTTAGTATGGTTAAATAAAATAAAAAGTCAGTCAGGTTATTCAACAGAAATTTAGAAATTGATATCATCGCACTCTGTTGATAGCCCAATTGAACTTTATTTCGAAACTAGCAACTACTTTAACCTAGGAGTGGAATTAAAATTTCTATCCATAATTAAAGGCTGAGTTAATAGTAAAAATATGGATCAAGAGGAATGTGAAAGGGAGGTTTGTGACTTTCTCGTTAGTTATCTATCCTTTCTTGATAAGTTTGTTATTGATAACAATGCCATCGGAACAACAAAGAAAATTTAGCTTGAACATAGTGAAAACATTTGTTGGATTAAATCGAATGTCATATTACTTACCCTGTTCCGCCACAGTTCTCTCAGTTTTTTCGGGTTGTAAGATGGGTCTGTGGAGTTGTGCTTTGTGTCTGTTATTGTTCTGCGATGGCGTCCATTCACCTAAAAAAAACTTCTTTCAGCAAGCTAAACAACTAGAATGATGATTATTTTTTAAATGGATGGGATTTGACTAGTTTTCTTTTTAAATATTATACTTTCTGCAAAGTACTTCACTAAAATTATTTATTAGGTTTATGCTATAAAAATATTTATATGAAGTCTCTGAACCTAATTTTTATCAGATAAGTAAGTAAATATCTTATTTCCATTAACCTTGAGACTCCCCGTGCGGTACCGTGTTAGAATAGGACCGCAGCCTTCTCGGGCTTGTCGTAAGAGGCGACAAAAAGGGTGACCGACGAACTCACTGGGAGTCCCTGGGAGTGCCCCTGTTGTGTTGCAGGGGTTGATGTGTGCTCTGCACTGCCGATGGGTATTCTCAGTGGGTCGTGAGAAACCAGCCACTTCGGTCCTTGGTCAGGGAGTGCGGCATGGATGCAGAGGTCGGGCTCTGCATTGCGACGGGCGACCCCCGGCACGTCAGGTATCCGGTGCTGGGCAAACGGAGGTCGGGCCCCGGGGAACCGGGGTAGGGGTTTTTGTCCCCGAGGGTATACCCGTTCCTGACTGATTCCGGGCCGCTCCTTGCCGCACGATGCGCTGGAGAAAACACGATGAGTTTTGATAAAAATACCCCAAACACATCATTGAAGAGGAGCTCAAATGAGCAAGTAAATTCGTTTGAAGTGGAGCAGAGCCCTTTTGTCCGAAGCTCCAAACTTAAGAGGTCGCCACCACCGAAAAACGTGAGGACATCTCCGCCACCTGCACCTTTCAAGTGCTCTACGATTCCCCCGTTAGGATCTCCTTCGGGAAGTGAAGCTGGGAACGGGACAGAAAATGTTGGCGACGTAGATGCTGTAGGGATGCCGAAGGAAACCCTCACAGCGACGTTGCGGTCGGAAAGCTCTGAGATTGTGCTTCTGCGTCAGGAATATCTTGACGCAGATAGTAACATTGAAACCCGGCTCCGTGACATGGAAAAGACCATTAAGGCTATGCTGGACACCTTCCGGACCCAGAGAGCCGTAAATCAAGTGTCAAAAATGGAATGGCCAAACTAGAGGATGACCTTGGCTTTGTCTTTGCCTGCCGTCTGGTAAGCAAGGCGACCATGGAAAAGATTGCCGAAAAGGTAGTGTCCCTGCCCGATGAAAGAGCGCTGCCTTCTAAGAAACGTCGGAGGCCTTCCACATCGGAGAGTCCTCCAAAAAGAGAAGAAGGCGTCCAGACCAAAAAGACCACGGTTAAGGCCAAGGCGACTCAGACGGACCTCTCGTCTGCTGTGTCCAGATCCTTTTCGGACGTAGCTGCAGCTCCAGCGAGGCGCCGACAGGCACAGCAACCCACGACCCCCCTTCAGGGAAGTTCCCGAAAGGGGTCAGTGGTGGAGACACCTGAGGCTGTGTGGGAAAAACGCCTTTCCAAAAAGGAGAAGAGGCAATTGAGGCGGGCGGAGGTCGCCTCCATGAAGAATGAGGCAGTGAAGGCACAGCCAACTGGCGTGGCCCAAACTGGGCCCGGCTCGGTCCCTGCTCCGAAAAGGTCGCGGCCCAAAAAGCCCAGGACGGAGGCAATCCTTGTCAAACCCTCAGGGGGGAGATCTTTTGCCGAGGTCTTGGGCGTAATAAAGGCCAAAGCTAAACCGGAGCAGACCGATACGGTTGTACGGTCGATTAGACAAACCCGGGAAGGGGACGTTCTCCTTGAACTGGGTAAGTCGAAAGACAAGGCTGCTTTTACTGCCGAACTGAAGGCAGCTGTTGAAGGCCAGGGTACCGTCCGTGCTCTTGAGCCCAAGACATCAATTGAGGTTCGAGACATTGATTGTGTGTCGACGGAGAGTGACGTTGTTGAGGCCCTGAAGAAAGCTGTACCCGAGCTTGCCGGGCAAACGGCCATCCTAAGGGTTTGGCTCACAAAACCCAATAGGAGTCAGCAGCGGATGGCAATCGCCGAAATGGCAGACGCGCTTGCCACTAGGGTACTGGCACTCCAGCATCTGAGAGTCGGCTGGGTCAACTGCAGGCTCAGACGGAGAGTGGAAGTGAAGAGGTGTTTTAAATGCTTCTGTTTCGGCCATTCCTCCCGAAACTGCAAGGGACCCGACCGAAGCAAGAACTGCCTTCGGTGCGGGGAGGTTGGTCACATCCGTAAGGACTGCAAAGTCGAGTCCTGTTTCCTTTGCAAAGAAAATGGGCTCGCTGACAAACATGTAAAGCATATAGCTGGGTCTGGGCAGTGTAGTGTATTTAAAACTGCTCTACAGCAAGCGAAATCTCTCCCACGAAGATAAGAATCCTTCAGTGCAATCTGGAGCGATCCAGGACGGCTGACGCACTTCTTTGTCAGTTTGCCCTCGAACACGATGTCGACGCTCTCTTAATCAGCGAACAGTACCAGTACCGTGATAGGGATCCAGCTTTTTGGTTCCCTGATAGTCTTGGTACTGCTGCAATCTGGGCGCGTAATGCAGCTACAGTACAAGTACGGGGTCACGCGAAGGGCCGAGGTTTCGTTTGGGTTCGGTGCCGGGATGTCACTTACTTTAGTGTCTACCTCACTCCCAATGAGGCCATCCGTGACTTTCGTGAGAAGATAGACCGCCTGGAAGAGAGCGTGCGCAATACCACAGGACACGTCGTCGTGGGTGGGGATTTTAATGCTAGGGCTGTCGAATGGGGAATGACCCTCACAAATTCCCGGGGCAAGTACATTCTGGACTTTGCTGCCAGAGCCGGACTCGTTGTCGTCAACGAGGGCAACACGCCAACTTTCCGGCGCCCTGGGATGCGGGGAACGATCCCAGACATTACCCTTGCATCTGAGTCTCTTTTGCCAAGGATCAGAGCCTGGAGAGTCCTGGAGGATTACACGGCCAGTGACCACCAGTACATAATTTTTGACGTCCTGGATGGTCATCAGAGACAAGTGGCAGCGTTTCGTCAAGTGCCCGTTCGATGGAACATTAAAAAACTGGACGTGGCAAAATTCAACGGAGCCATCCTACGAAGAACGCCGGTGGTTCATCCTGCAACTGGCGTGCCTCACGCAGAGGCGTTAGTTGCATCCACGATGAAACTGATTGTCTCGGCCTGCGATGAGTCTATGCCTCGCAGGAGATACCGGTGCAATAAGCGTCCTGTGTACTGGTGGACTGCCGAGATTGCGGAATTGCGTCGGGCGGCATTGAGGGCCAGAAGACTTGCTACCAGGGCTAGAGAACCCCTAGACAGACGGCGTAAGTCGGATGCTTATAGGGTGGCTAGGAGGTATCTTCGTCGAGCCATCAATCGGAGTAAACGCAGTTGCTGGGATAAATTAAGGGACGATGTTGATTCCAACCCGTGGGGCCTGGGTTACAAACTTGTAACCAAGAAACTTGGAACCCGCTCACCACCTTCCGTCATGGACAGGGTCACTATGGAGAGGATAGTCGAGTCCCTTTTCCCGGCTCACGCGTTGCGCCCACTGCGGGATTATGGAAGGGTGGACGACGTCCCACTTTTCAGCCCTGAAGAGCTGGTGGCGGCCGTCATGTCCCTGAAGAACAACAAGGCTCCTGGTCCCGATGGGGTGCCCGGTGAAGTCCTCAAGAAGGTTTTGACTACCAACCCCTTGATCCTTTTGGGCATGTACAACGCCTGCCTGGTTGAAGGGGTATTCCCCTTGTGCTGGAAGACAGCTAGGCTTGTGCTTGTTGGGAAGGGCAAGGGAGACCCAGATCTGCCATCCTCTTACAGACCTCTGTGTATGTTGGATACGGCTGGCAAAGTCCTCGAGAAATTGATCCGTTCCCGGCTAAATTCAGCCGTTGTCGCTGCGGGGGACCTCTCCCCTCGTCAGTATGGATTCAGGATGGGGCGATCAACGATTGATGCGATTGAGGAGGTGAAGCAAGCCGTGATGAGAGCTGAGGATTTTACCCACTACTCTCGCAGGGTTGTGCTGCTCGTAACGCTCGATGTGCGAAATGCATTTAATTCGGCGAGGTGGTGCGATATGCTGGATGCTCTGGAGAACACCTTCCACGTGCCGGCATACCTCATGCGCATCATAGAGGATTATCTCCGGTTTCGCCTCCTAACGTATGACACTGCGGAGGGCCCGCGGACGATGAGTGTCACTTCTGGTGCTGCCCAAGGTTCCATACTCGGCCCAGACCTCTGGAACGTCGCTTATGACAGCCTTCTGAGGTCTGAAATGCCTGAGGAAACGGTCTTGGTTGGGTACGCAGACGACGTTGCAGCTTTGATAGCTGCACGTAGCGTTGAGCTGGCTCAGCTAAAGCTAAACCGAGTTATGCGTACCATAAACGCATGGATGGCAGACCACGGTCTCTCGCTTGCTCTGAGCAAAACCGAGATCGTGATTTTGACAAAAAAACGGATTGACACCATCGTGCCGTTGAGGGTGGGAGCCGTCGAGGTTCAAACTGTTCGTTCTGCCAAGTATCTTGGGGTCATGGTAGACAGCAAGCTTAGCTAGCGGGATCAGATCTTCCGTACAGCGGACAAGGCCGCTAGGGTGGTTTCTTCTCTTAGCCGGTTGATGGCCAATGTCGGAGGGCCTCGGTCCAGTAGTAGAAGGCTGTTAATGTCTTCGGTCCAGTCCGTACTCTTGTACGGTGCTGAGGTGTGGGCAGACGCACTAAATAAGGAGGCATACAGGATGCGGCTCGCCCGAGTGCAGCGTCAGGCAGCACTGAGGGTAGCATCTGCCTACCGAACAGTGTCCGAGCCCGCCGTCCTGGTGATTGCTGGAGTCATCCCCGTCAAACTTTTGGCGGCGGAGAGAAAGGCAATTTACCGGCGCCGTGGGGAGGACGAGGCACGAACAGAGGAACGCACCCGCACCTACCAGCTGTGGCAGGAGGGCTGGGAACAGGAGACACGGGGACTCTGGACCAGGCGACTGATACAGCAAGTCCAACCTTGGGTTGATCGGCGGTACGGAGAGGTGGACTTCTACCTCACCCAATTTCTGACGGGACACGGCTTTTTCCGGTTGTACCTGTTCAGGATGGGCAAAGCCGTGTCACCCGACTGCATATACTGCCCAGGCATTCTCGATGACGTGGAACATACATTTTTCCACTGCCAGCGCTGGGAAAGGCCCCGCCTGGAGGCTCAACAATTAATAGGACTGCTGTCGGTGGACACGGTCATACCGATTATGACGGAGGGTGAGGACAATTGGACCTGTGTGTCACATTATATCCAGAGTATTCTCCGCGCCAAGAAGATCGACCTTGACCGGGATGCGGTGTAGGTCATTAAGAATCTAAATGCCAGAAACGGTGCGAGCCCTGAGGGCTTAGGTCACATGTTGGCCAGACTTGAAGTAATGTGACAAACAATTCCAGGTCTGTGTCCAACAGAGTAGAGGGGGTTTTTTAGTGAGTAGTCTGATAATTTTCAGGAGTCTCACACTACAGGCTGGCTACCTGTGTGCGTAAAAGCATTTTCCCTCCTCTCCCTAAAAAAAAAAAAAAAAAAAAAAAAATTAACCTTGAGACAATTAACCTTTTATTCTTTTTCAATATACCCACAGAAACTAGAAACAACGTAGCTTTCACTACAGTCAATAAAGTTCACAAAGGTTAGAAAAGTCTACAGATTGTATTTTTTCAAAATGTGATGTACTTCTTTCTTGTGTTCGTTTTTATTGAACTTTATTGACAACAAACAACCTTCAATTTAAAACTCTAGTGATTGTTTTTTTACTGCTTGTAGGACAGAAGAACGAAAGCTAATTGCACTACAGCAACAAGGACTTACTTTATCTAATAGTTAAACCATTAGATACTGATCAGCAAAATTTAATCCCCACATCTTCAGGATTAAATTCCCTTGCATCAACCTCTAGACACATTTTCCTTTGTGAATATATTTTAAACATATTATTACCGATAAGCTTATTTTTTTGACTGGCATACCTTGCATGAGAAGCAGCCCTCGGTAGATATGAGTCTGTCATGGGGAACAGCATACGGGTCCTTGTCTATGGGGTATGTGGGGATGTTGCTACCCAAGTTGGGGGCCCCACCATAGCTCCCATAACCTCCCCCGTAACTTCCACCATAGCCTCCACCATAGCCAAGTCCTGCCGGGTTGATGGTAGACAGACAATGTCCCTGTTGAACACAACAGTATAGTTCATACATAGATAAAATCCATGGGTTTATTATACCCTTGCATACTTACATTTAATGATAGTAAATACAAACATCTTAATTTTAAAAGGTAATGTTTTACAAAGAATAACAGATATACATTTTCAAATCATGAATGGCTCAGTTTTGTTAGGTTTTCCTCGCTATATGATTGTCTGGGCAGCTGAGTGAATATTGAGCTCGCCTTCAAATCTGTAGGTTCATGATTTTATTCCAAGGCAGATTGTTTCATCAAAGGGTTGACTTTAGATAGCAACCGGACCTGGGTTTAAAACGTATCCTCACAAAAAAGGTAAAAAAATTCCTTTAAAAAGGAATTCAAATTATTTTCAAAAAAGGTATGATAATTTAAACTGTCAATGTTATTACAAAGTAGATGTATATATAACATTTTAAACAACTAACAGTAGTAAAATTTAACACACATAAAAAGTTGTAAGGGTTATAAATTACACAGATAATTAATTCCTTTAAAAAGGAATTCAAATTTTTCTTCAAAAAAGGTATGATAATTTAAACTGTCAATGTTATTACAAAGTAGATGTATATATAATATTTTAAACAACTAACAGTAGTAAAATTTAACAGACATAAAAAGTTGTAAGGGTTATAAATTACACAGATAATTAATTAATTCTGATCTGATAATTAATTATCTGTGTAATTTATAACCCTTACAACTTTTTATGTGTGTTAAATTTTACTACTGTTAGTTGTTTAAAATATTATATATACATCTACTTTGTAATAACATTGACAGTTTAAATTATCATACCTTTTTTGAAGAAAAATTTGAATTCCTTTTTAAAGGAATTTTGTTTTACCTTTTTTGTGAGGATACGTTTTAAACCCAGGTCCGGTTGCTATTTAAAGTCAACCCTTTGATGAAACAATCTGCCTTGGAATAAAATCATGAACCTACAGATTTGAAGGCGAGCTCAATATTCACTCAGCTGCCCAGACAATCATATAGCGAGGAAAACCTAACAAAACAATTATCCACTTTAGGTATTTATTTTAGTGTTTTAAGTAAGTATTTATTTTAGTATTGCACATAAATGTTATCACAATAATTCATCTGTGGTATAAAAAACTGATATAGGGTACCATACTTAGAACTTGAACAAATTTACTCAGAAAAGGTTTTTGAACATTACTCAATATGCAGTTGTAAGTTTTGATACAATGCATTTTCAAACATCTTCCTTGTTTCATAATGACACATATAAAAGTAAACTATGAAATCTTATTGTCATTGATTCTTTACAATTTTTATGTGAGTTGAATAAGAATATATTATAATTAACCCTAACATACCGGTAAGCAACATTTGGATGGTGTAAGCTATATTTAAATGTAATAAGCGGATGATTTACCTGTCCGATTCGTTCGTAGCCAGAGGGACAGCCACACTGGAAACCATTACCACTGGGTCCTGGAGAGCAACCGAAAGCGCAAGGGCTGCCAAGACAACTGGACGCAACCTGCCAACATGCATTACGATTAGTCTTACGTTGTAAATGAAATCAAAACTGTGCTAACAAAGATTTACCATTGACTTTTATATAGGTACTGAAGTAGACATCCCATCTATATGGACCAGCTTTAGTAAATTATAAAAATAAAAAAAACATAATTGAATGAAACACTTACACAGTGTGCTCCTGTCAAAATTATTTGTTCTCCCTCATTTTAATTTTCAGTGAATTTCTCACCTATAGGAAACAGGCTATTACTGTTAGTCTCATAGTAAGAACTAGAGACCTGGGACTGATTTGCTTTTTCGTTTTGATGTCCAGAGGCAAAAAATACTATTCGTTAAAAATTGTATAGGTACATATAATATATATAAAACAACAATGAAATAAAATTTTGCAGAGCACCTAATCAAAACGCGACATGAATACAAAAATATAAATACAAATTTATAAAATCTAGAATATGAAAAAAAAAATTAAAGAAGATTTTCATATATACACAAATCACGAGTTAAAAGGTTACTAATGTTTTTATAATGTTTTCAACTGTTCTCTCTGCAACATGAGTTACCGGTAGTTTACTCTTCCAGTTCAAACCCGTCACACCGGGGATCAAGAAGAAATTCTTGTTTGTGCTCAAACTAGAATCGAGCGGACGAGTTGCACCTGGTGCTAAACCAGAATTGCATAATATAAATTATAAAAACTAACTATAACTTGTAAATGTTTATGGTTTGATTTTTATCCTAAAACTGGCTGTAGCTTTAAGATGGTAAGTTTGATTCAGTCAAAGCTATATGAATCAAGTAAGTAGGCCTACTATGAAATAAACCTATTTCACACAATTCCATTTTCTATTGTGATTTCTTTTCTATCCTAGCTCAGTTATTTTTATTTTCTAGAAAGCTAAAAGATAATTTGCAGTTTTTATCTAAATCATACTAAGGGATGTAGTTTTCTAGTTAACTAAGATGTGTCTAGTTATAGTGTTTGGTTGAGGAAAAAGATGGTTGCAGACAAAATTATCTGTCTGCAATGTAAGCTTATAGGTAGAATTAAGAACAGTAAAGTTATTTGGGTGTTTGTAAGATTAGATAGACAAAGTCACTTTAAACACAGTTGCAACAGAAGTTGACTTCAAAAGACTTCGTTCAGTTAGGATAAGCGTAAGTAGATGAATTTTATTTTTCAAATAAATGTAAAGGCAAAGGTTTAAAATCTTTTCACTTAGAATAAACTTTTTAAATTATGAACAAAATAGTCAGCATTAAAATCTATTTTTATGCAATGAATTATGTTGCAGGATGATATTGCAGTTTGTTTCCGCTAAAATTAGTGTACTATTTTGAAGCTGTTAAGTGTGTGACCGAGTAAATTAGAAAACTACTTTTCCTTTAAGAGTTTATTTAGCACTTTATTTCTAGAATTTGAAGTACCACAGCTAAAAACTAGCAAACGTTTACTTTCTCTACTCCATCCTTCACCATTTCTCTTGTTCCCGGCTCTCCACATATTTTGTAGTTCTACCTTGTATGACTAAAAACCAGTAAAACAATCTGCAGCATCAGTATTTGTTTAAAAGCTTTGCTTAAACAAGTTTAAGAGTTAGAAATATTTTCTCAAGAAAGAAAGGTCTGCCCAGAAGCTGTTTTAAGTGTTCCTCTTACACTCAAGCCCTGAGTTTACTTACATAAAAAAAAAATTAATGGTGGATTTTGGGGTGGCTAGAGTTAAGAGGCTAATTTTTTGCAAGATATTATAGCACAAGCTTTATAACATGTATCATGGCCTGATATCTGACTTAGCCTGTTCAGTTAAGCCAACGCCTTTGTTCCCATGATTTTTTGTGGAAAGTTAAAAAAATGGTTGGTGTCTAGGCAGAATCTGATTCCATTACAAACAACACTTTGATAAAACTCCAAATATTTAAATAAGTTCAGACAAACTTGGAATGGTTTTTTCCTGTGAATAAAATGTGCAAACAGTGACTCCTAGGTAAAGAAAATCCCATATCTACTTTTTCAAATTACGTTTTATTTTTTTATGTGGAAATGTACCTTTTTCAACAAGCAGCTAAACATTTTCAAAGAGAGTTAATAATTCTATTTCTTTTTAGCAAACAATGACACCTGAGATTCCAGAATGGTTGAATAGAACGTTTCTACAAAAGGCTCTTCAGAGACAGGAAGAAAAAGAACCAACGTTAACAATTGAAGACTTCTCTGTTAAGCTAGCAGTTGCAGCGGGTAACAACTACACAAGCCAAATTTTCAGAGTAAATGTGAAATACAAATCAGAAGACTTGCACAACTCTCCAAGCATAATAGTTAAATCACCCTATCCTCATTTTCAAAAGATTGAACAAGAGACAATAATGTACAAACAAATTCTTCCGAAAATGAAAGAGAAAATCAAGTTTGATTTAGGACCGACAATTTATTACAGCACCCAGCAAAACGTACTTGTACTTCAGGATCTAACAGGATCAGGTTATGTGATGTGTAACAAATTCACACAGTTAGACTATCCTCATTGCGAGCTTGTTTTCAGGAGACTAGCTAAATTCCACGCTGCTTCTGTAGCTCTTCACAGTGAAAATCCTGAAATGGTTGAAGATTTGGGAAAAGAAGTTTTGTACACTGAAGGGAGTACTTTTGTTGCAATGATGAAACCACTTTTAACACACTCAATAGCAGTTGTCACAGAAGCTTTGGAGGCAACTGCCAATAGTAAAGAGGTTATTGAGTTTTTACTCGACAACAAACAAAACTTTTTTGAATCGCTTATAGAAGTCTGCCAACCAAAAGCAAAAGGTCTGAATGTTCTGAACCATGGCGATTTGTGGAACAACAACATGATGTTTAAACACAAATCCTCGGGAGAAGTAGAAGATGTTAAGTTTGTTGACTTTCAAGCGTTGCGTTACATGAGTCCTGCCATAGATATTCTCTATTTCTCTTGGACCAGTGCGGACGAAGAAGTGCGGGAAAACAGACTACAAGAGTTGTACGATGTCTACCTACAAGAACTCAACGAGTGTCTACAGCAGCTAGGCTGTGAGGAGAGGTACACTTCTGAAGAGTTATGGCAAGATATGAAGTCCTCGGTAAAATTTGTGTTGGCAATTACGCTTTTAAATCTACCGTTGATGATGGTAGAGCCCCTCGAAGCTTTTGATATGTCAAAGTTTGATGAGGGAGAGTTCATAAAATGGGCTAACAATGGCAACATCAATCCCAAGGTACTCAGAGTATACAATGGAAAACACTTCAAAACCAAAATACCCACTATCATCAGGCAAATTCACAGTAGATTATTGTAAAATAAAGTGATAATAATATGTGTGTTTGCCAATGGAATATAACTATATTATGAAAAAAATATGATACAAATAATTGCAGTTCTTTGAACTAGCTTTCACAGCTAACTTAGCTTCTTTTAAATTTTAGTTATTATTAACTAATCTACAACAATGTAAATTATCAAAAGGGTTCATTATTGAAAGAAAGTTGAAAATCAACTGATGAATAGCTAATTGATTGTTTAAAATCAAACATCTACATGAATCTTTACTTTAATGCTTTAATCTGCTACCAAGAGCTGCAAAAACAGACAATCAATATTGGTCATATTATGTACAAAACTTGTATGGAACAAGACTAAAACAATCATCTATGCACTAACAATATTTGTCCATTTAAAATATTTAGACTTCCATGTCACATATTTCAATTGATTTGATAGGTTTTTAAAATTTGTAGATTCGTTTAACATTTCCCTACACATTGCAGGATACTATAAAACTAAATGCGTATGTAAATAGGCAGTTGAAATATATTTTGAAACCTAGTAGAATTAAATAACTATTTTTGTGGTCTATATTAAAATATCTAATGTATAGTTTGTAAATGTAAACAGATTAAAAAGTTGATCATTTTAGTTTTTTTTTTTTATAAATAGAGATCTAATAAAAATGAATCAAATTTCTTCATTCATGACATTTAGTGTTATTCACTTTATGTAAATAAATATTTGTATACAGTATGTAGACTGAATGGCTTCACATACAGCTAAGAATAAGTAAATACAATTCACATTGATAATGTGAGGTCTCATAAATAAGAAACAATGTGAGAAAATGTTACAAACAAATTGATATAAACTAAAGCTAAATAGGAAGGTAGAAAGAAATAAAAATAATCCTCCAGGTTTAACAAAGTTTTCTCTACCAAATAATATGTCAATTTATTTTTTTACTGTTTACTTCATGTATTAAAAAATGCTGCAATTTCACCATTAAAAACTTTAATCCTCTGTAGTTATTTGATTGGTTTCTTCTACTTTCAAAATTATTCTAATGACTATTTCCTAAAGTCAAAATAACTTGATTGTCTAGAACGAGAATATCTTATTACTTGTTATTATGATAGCAATATAAATAACTCCATTAGCTTTGAAGTGTCAGGATGTTTCAGTGTAGTGGTGATATCATGGTTATAAGTGGTTATTAGATTGACACTATTTACTGCAAGGTTCCCACTACACCAAGGCCACAGATGATTGTAGGCCCAATGTGTTAGTCTTCCTCCATCACTGGACCTACATCCTTTCAATCACAAGGTATGCTGTTTTACTAATTTCTAATATAATTTTGAATTGTAATTGTTCATTTGAGTTCTGTGTGACTTAAATTTGTGGAGGAAAACTCATGATCGGTTTAAAAACATTTATGTAAAGGTAAAAAATGTTATTTTAGATTTTTTTAACAATTATTTGTATATTAAACTTCAATGTTTTCTAAGTCAAATACTATTATAGTTTTTTTGTGAATAGGCCTAGTGTAACATTTTTGCCTCATTGTGCCAGGTTGGACTCCTTCCGGTTTTAGTTAAAGTCTTGTATCCTAAAAACATGTTCAGGTATTCATTAGGTTTTTAAACATATTTAATTTTAAAATGTTTGAAACTACTTTTGTTTTTAAATATTAATGTGTAGTCACGGTTCATTATCTCAAATTAAGTTTAGGATTAAGTACAAAAACACACTGTGATTGGTTATTATAATGATAACACCACTTGTATCTCAATTTTCTAATTACTTCATAGGTTCCTCATCTAATCATAAAGGTTTCAAATCTCCTTAAAACCCCATAAAATTACTGTCAATCAACAGTAAGTCATTTGCAATCTTATATATTAAAAAATTGGGTTTTCTTTTCCGAGTTTGTTTGGCTCTTCTACCCGACCCATTTTCATGATTGAGGTATCAAATTGAAGGTATGCACGCACAGATTTCACATCAAGCATCGGCCTCAAAATAATCAGTTAATTATAGGCTTTAATTTCAGCTATTGATTGTTTGAATCAGTTAAGTTCAAGATACTGTAGGACTCAATCAAAAATCATAAATTTGATTATTTCTCGGATATGATATTCATTATAAAGCTGCGGAGCAGCATGGGCCCTCTGGTTCCTATTTAATTTAAATGTAACAGATTTAATTTAATTTAATTTGGTTTGGTGAATACTAAAATTTGTTTGTTAATATTTCAAACATATGTTATTCTTTTTTTAACAAATAATAGACAAAATTATCCTGATATCATCATTCTGGAAATTCATGCAAGTTTCTAGATCATACATGTGGGTAAGCTCAACTCGACATTTGTGTAGAACAATACTATCTTAGATTAAAAAGCTAGATTTGGCTTTGCAAAGATATTACCAATCTTCTGCAAATCATGATTCACTTTCATTTTTTATGATTTTTAAAAGAACTGACCCAGACCATTTACTCACATTATATTTACAATTCCAAATGACAACTAGTACCATATCCTTAATTATTTAGAAACAGTTATAGTGATATAGGAGTAGAAGTATCCCAATTTTCCAGGCTATTCAGACTCTAGTCATACAGGGTCAATGAGGATGTGTATGTTTATCCTCATATTGCCTCATTGCTCATAGGATAACGGCCAGCTACTCAAGGCCATCAACTAGTTCTCTAATTTTAGAGTCTCACAGAGGATTATAGTCCCAAACAATATATTAAGAATTAGTACTATATGACATTGGTATGGAAGTATTGAAAATGAATTAATATGTGCTGATGTTCTGATTTAGTAGTACTGTAATCACTCTTTAGTTTCATAATACCCCTGCCGCAGCAAACCTACCGACTAAGCGAATTTCCATTTTGTCAATTAAATCTATTTAAATAACATTAGGTTTAATGAGCACTGGCACCTAGGTTTGTTGCTAAAAGGAAACTAATTAAGTGTATTTTTAGTAAAAAAATATTAATAGCTTAGTATGAAATAAATGAATTTGCCAAGTTTGATCAAAATATATCCATAAACATGCAGACTAAAAAATTTTACAATATTGCTGCCACAAACCGATTTCAAATTATTTCAAAAGGTTCAAAAGTTAAGGGGGGGTGCAAGTTACTTTTCAGCCACCCTGTATAATGAAGTATCTTAAAGCATTGTTTTATGCTTAATGGTTATGAAGAAAATTCCTTAAAACTGCACATTTAAAATTCCCATGTTATGCTTATGGAAAGTAAGTGACCTGTTGTAGCTTGCTTGTTTATGGATATATTCTGATCATATTTGCAATGCTTACTTATTTTTTTATCCTAAGCTATTAATATTTCACTAAAAAACACACCTTATTATTGTACTTTCCTGTAGCAGCAAACCTAAGTACTCGCTAACCTAATGTTATTTAAATAGGGGAGGAAGAGAAATTGATTATTGATACCCTATAAAATGAAAAAAAATAAAAGTGAATCATGATTTGCAGATTATTGGTAATATCTTTGTAAAGCCAAATCTACTTGTTTTAAATTTTTAAAAGAAGTTGTATGGAGAAGATTATAATTTATAATAAACAAAAAATGTAAAACAAAATATTTGAATGATTTTTTTTACATTTAGAAGAAAATGGTTGTTGGTTAAGTAATTACAAACATAATATACAATATATATCATATTACATATGTTAATACATCACACCGTTTTCAACATATCATCGAAAGCATAAATAAAACCTTTATAATAACAACAATTCACAAAGTGTTCAAACCTGATTAAGACAAGATAACATTATTATGAGTTCTTAGAAGTTGATTAAGACAGTAAACAAAAAGAAGCCTGCTATCAGTCACAGAGTTATGATTAGATTGAAGGTCGCCACCAGCAACTAGCAGTTAAGTGGCAGACAAGTACATCAATAGTCAGTGATAACTGGCATGGCCAAACCCAAATCTGGTGATGGATAGGGTTGCCATATCCCCGGATTTCCCCGGTGATTACAGGATTTTGACGGTCAAAATTTAGCTCCGGGGGATTTCTGCAAAAAGTGGGATATCTCCTCTTTTTTTACTGTCAATCAAAATACATTGTATAACGGCACATTTGGAATAAATAAAATGTTTGTGTTCACAAATATTGTTATTCTATGCAATGACTGAAAAATGCAACTCTTGTACTCGCTATTGACATATTTTTAGTTCTTTAATTTGCGTCTGCCGGCCAGTTCGAACTCCAAAGTCCGAACATATCCGTGTTCACTACCAGAGCCAAACCGAGTCTAGCAGACAGAGAGCGTTTTGCTAACGTTATTCTTTATTTTTAGTGAGATGTGACAACAAGATGTAAATTTTATGCTTTAGCGTACCATATTTGAATATTGCACTTACGTTACACATTATATTTTCCTACAGTTACTATAAATCATATAAATAAGTAGTCTTTCAAACACTATACAAAACGTTTTTTTTAGGTTAGGTTAAATCCAAGCGTTGAACAAAATGGAAAACGCTGCACCAGCTGATTGTAGTCGTAGTATCTTTAAGTATTACCTACTTATTTTCAAGAGTACACATATTACATTGTTAATAAAAGAATACTGTTGTGTTGTTTGATTAAAATAAAATACAGGAGTGTGGAAAAAAATGAGTGCGGCAAAAGTAAGTAAATGCAGTAATTAGCTACTTTGCCTGCTATAATCAGTGCAAGGAAGCCCACTTTGTCAGGTAACTGTAGGAAAAATGAAATTGAAGATGTTCATTTACCTATTCCTAACTTTACAACTCTCAAATCTGTAAGGTTGTGTGGTTATATTTTTTCGTAAAACAGCATTAAAAGAATGTTTATAATAGTTATAAACAGTGCAGAGCATGTTTAACAGTAGTGTATGGTAGCTGTTGATAGCCAATTCAAAATTGAAGTAGTACATTCCTATCTTTAGAAAGAGATAATCTACTCTTTTTACGCTAGCTAATTTGGCCACACACTTTAAAAAAGTTATTGTAAAGGAATTCAAAGGATGTTTAACTTTCCTATTTTTTTTTTTTACATACAAAAAACTTGGTCGGAGCAAAGATTATTTATCATATTATGTGGATATTATATTTGTATGACCTATGAACACTACCCTTGAGTTTTAGGGTATACTCAAATTTATGGTATACTCTGTTTATGTATTTGATTTTGAATTCAAATTAAAAGCTTCGCTCCTTAACTAACTTTGCTTCTAAACAAGAGTGATTTACCCTTGTTTTTCAAGGACAGTAATGAAGTCAATTATAAAAGAAACGATAAAGTAGCAGCTACTACTGTTAAAATCCTCATAATTCATTGAAGTGATTTAAAATTAAGATTACAAATTAGCTATCGCAAACGTATCTCTTTGTAAAAGAGAAGAGTCTATATCTTTAGGTCAAACAAAACTGTATCCATAAAGTTACTGAAATAATTTTATAAAAAAAACTTGTAATCATACCTCGGTTTCCATGAACATCGACCAATAAGATAATTTCACAAGCTTAACTTTGAAAACTTAGGAGCAGAGCCTAGGTTGATACAGCAATTGTTATGGAATTATCAAAGATTTATAACAGTTCGGGTTTAATACTTTACCTACATGTTTTGAGAATTCTTTAATTCACCTTCATGTAGCCTGATTTAACAAATGCACCACTTAAGTTTTATCATTTTCAGCCAGAATGACACAAAAGCTGCCAGAGTGGTTGGACAAGACATTCCTACAAGCTGCTCTTCAAGGAGGAGAAGATAACGAACCCAAAGTGACAGTTAATGATTTTACTGCAGAACTAGCGGTGGCGGCCGGTAACAACTACACAAGCCAAATCTTCAGGGTGGTCGTGAAATACACAGCAAATGGATCAGAAGATAAATCCACAACTCTTATTGTTAAGGCACCTCATACTCAGTTGCAGGACATGGGAGCAGAACTTGGACTAAGTGAATGGTTCGACAAAGAACCGGTTATATACAACATTATTTTGCCAAAAATGAAAGAAAAGATAAAAGTTGACTTTGGTCCTAAAACATATTACAGTGCACAAAAAAGTGTGTTGGTATTTCAGGATCTGAAAGAAACAGGGCACATCATGTGTGATAAATTTAAACAATTGGATTACGCTCATTGTGAGGTAGTGTTGAAAAGTTTAGCGAAATTCCATGCCGTTTCAGTGGCTCTTCACAGTGAAAATCCTGAAGAAATCGAAACACTCGGAATAGAGCCCATATTTAGGGAAGGTAATCCCATGAAAGAATTGATGAAGTCACTTTTGGTGTTTGCGATAGAAATTGTAAAAGAAAGCTTGAAAAATACAGAAAATGGTGAACCTGCCTTACAGTTTTTGCTTGACAAGCAAGAAACACTGTACAATTCCTTGATAGAAATTGTTAAACCCAAAAAAGAAGGTTTGAATGTTATGAACCATGGAGATTTGTGGAACAACAATATGATGTTCAAACACTCAGAGTCAGGAGAAGTGGAGGAAGTAAAGTTCATTGACTTTCAAGTATTACGATACATGAGCCCGGCCATCGACATTCTGTACTTCACCTGGACCAGTGCGGACGAAGAAGTGCGGGAAAACAGACTACAAGAGTTGTACGACATTTACCTACAAGAACTCAACGAATGTCTACAACTACTAGGATGTAAAGAGAGGTACACTTCTGAAGAGTTATGGCAAGATTTAAAGTCCTCGGTTGACTTTGCTCTTGTAGTTGCATGTCAAACTTTGCCCATGACACTTGCTGAAGAAAAGGATGCTCTTGACATGGCTGAATTTGACATGAAAGAGTTTGCAAACATGAGTAACACTGGTGCTATGGACCCGAATTTACTAAGATTATACAATGGAAAAAATTTCAAAGCCAAAGTACCAAAAATCATCCAACAAATTTACCAGACCTTACATTAAACGTTGCTTTAAAGGTTAATGTTCTAGCTCTTTGCACAGATATGTTGTTGAGAGGAAATTAGTATTAAAAAGACTACATTTTTTTTATAAACAGCATCTTGACAACATAAAACTAATAAAAAATATTTGTTGTAAATGTAAATAAGTTGTAGATAATGATATCATTAATTAATCAACCTTAAAATTTGTCAAATATTTTAAATTAATGTGTTTTACTAACAATTATATTGTGTTATTATTTTATTCAATGATGACTCACAAGTAAAAATATGTATATAAAATAAAGCTGATCATATCAAGTACACACGAACATTTATTTTGCAACTAAATATGTAATAAGGCTCACAGTATCAATTTAACATGAATTTTCAAAAAGAATCCATATACAGTAATTCCAAATTTATTTCCTCCTGGAAAGTTAAGTATAGAATAGAACCTTATCTATTCAGAACACTCACATGCAAATGCCAATGATGTGTTTTATTTTTCTGCATTGACTATTTGACCCTTTGTCAAATACTACATGCAATGTTCAAAACTATAGCTTTGGGTGACTATCTGCAAATTTCAGGTTAGGAAAAGAAACATAGAAAATTAATTTTTATGTTTTATATTTACTGATAGAAGGAAAAGCTCTATTGAATGTATGTGTTTCCCTTATATAGACTTACTTCAGTAACAACTGGTTGACACAGATAGTACAGATAGTATCAGATAGTAGTGGTTGGTACAGATAGTATCAAAACCAGGGTTTGGACCATTACCTTAGAAAAAATTGGAAAACTCCCCTGGCGTAGAAACAAAATAAAATAGAACAAAACTATTAAATTATTTCCTTATTCTTTAAATCCACCTAAAACTATGTTTTTTATCAGTTGTTTTTATAAGTAATGTGAAATGTAAATGTTATAGAAATTTTGAGAACTTTAAAGACAGATAGAATCTATCTGTTCATCACAGGGCGTCTAGTTCCATTTAAAAAATGCATGACAAATTTAATAACAAAGTTATCATTTTTATTATCCAACGCTCACCTTTCAATATATTTTGCTATAAAATGCAGACCCTGGAGTTTCGACACCGTAAAATCTAACCTTGGTAATCTGCCACAATATACGAATTGTGGATATTTATAGGCATGCACAGTGGATGCGATACTCCCTACTACTACTACTCTACTCCTGTGGCCACACAAATCCTAAGTGATTTTTGGCCTCCCCAACAATGCTCCTCCACTGCTGCCTACAAACTTGCTCCTAACCTCCTGAGGTCCTGCCTCACTTGGTCATTCCATCTTAATCTGGGCCGTCCCAGCGGCCGTCGTCCTTCTGGTTGCCCCATCCATACCTTCTTAATCATACTGTTAACATCTCTTCTATATACATGTCCCAGCCATTGTAATCTTCTGCTCTTTACCATATCTGGGTCATTATAAAGTTCTCTTAATTCTTGGTTTTTCCTTATCCGCCATTCACCATTGTCATTAATAGTTCCAAACACTCTACGTAAGATTTTATTTTAAAAAACTATCAATTTCTTTTCATTTTGCTTTGTAAGCGTCCAGACCCATATAGTAGAATTGGTTGTATTATTACTTTATACATCTTTATTTTAGTTCTTCTGGTCAGGAGTCTACTTCTAAATAGTTTTGTTAGACTCCAATAGCACCGTTGAGCCGCTGCTAATCTACATTGGATTTCGTCGTCTTGTCTGCTTTCACTTGTTATTGTCACTCCCAGATATTTAAAATTGTCAGTTTTTGTGAATTTAAAATTTAAGACTTCCAAGTATGGTTGGTTATCAGGTAGTCTACTTATCTTCATTATCTTAGTTTTCTCTTCATTTATTTTTAGTCCCACTTTTTGTGTTTCAGTGATTAGCTTTTCTGCTAGCTCCTTAATATCATTTTTATTTTCTGCTATAAGTGCCACATTGTCTGCAAATGCTAGAACCTTTGTCTTCCCGCTAACCTTGCACCTCCCTGAAGACTGCTCACCTATCTCAGCGCTTCTTCAATGACTAGATTAAATAATAATGGGGATAGTGCATCGCCTTGTCTTAGTCCTGTGTTAATTCTAAAGGTGTCTGAATATTCATTTCTCTACCAAATAATCTGTCAATTAATTTTTTTTTAGTTTTATTCATGTCTACTGTTGCAAGGTAGGTACTTAAGAAATTTTAATCATCGGATTACTTTTCTATAGCATATAAATTTGTGTTTCTATTAGGTAAAGTTGTTTTATGCTTAGTGGTGTATGGGTAATTGTTCTAAAATGACTAGATTTGTTCAATAATTGTATTAAAAAATGCTGCACTTTCACCGTTAAAAAACTTTAATCCTCTGTAGGTATTTGATTTGTTTCATTGTATTCAACTTTCAAAATTATTCTGATGACTATTTCCTAAAATCAAAATAACTTGATTGTTTTGAACGAGAATATCTTATTACTTGTTATTATGATAGCAATATAAATAACTCCATTAGCTTTGAAGTGTCAGGATGTTTAACATAGATTTCCCAACTATTTTTTTTTAAATCAATTTCTGTACTATTTTTAAAAATCTACAAATTATTATACTACACTGCAGTAACATTCAATTCAGTATTTATATAGTTATATATATAGTTATATATATTATAAATATTATAGTTTATATTAGTTTTACATATATATAAAATTACTCAATTTCTAAAACATTTACCAATTCATAATGAAATTTTATGACTTGAACAAGTAATGTTTCAAATCAAAAAAATTTGCAAACCATTGTGGTAGCAGACGTAGCAGTGTAACATTTTAGGGGTATAAAATAAGCCTCTGAGTACAAATTAGTATAGAAAAAATATTGTATAAAAAAATAATGAAATTAAAATACTTTTAGAAGTTAAGATCAACATTTTAACTTTCATAAATCTTACAACTAGGGTAGGCCTAAACAAGTTTGTAATGAAGAAATATTAGGATGAAATATCAGTGTTGTGAATAATATTATTCTAGCCTATAGAAAAGAATAAACCTAAAATAAGACTCGTATAAAATAAAAACGTTCAACTTGGTTGATAATAAACTTATACATACAATAAAAATGTTAACCTTCATCTTCATGAAACTAGAACTTAGACAAAAATCAAACTTAGAGAGATTGAAAGTCAAACATCAAATTTTAGGTTATGTTTTGCCCACGTAGATCTGTTTCAGAGTGATTAGTTGATTCATTTGTAAATCCTTAATTAGGAATGAGAAAAACTTGTGTAGATTTTTTAAATATATTCAGAGAATACATATTCCATTTAGGTTATTATAAAAATAAGAGTTTTAGAGGTAATACCGATACACAAAACCTATCTTTAATGTTATTTTAATCTGCGTATTAGCAAGTACGGAGTCCGTTAGCCTGCTCCAAATGCCACGAAAAAGGTATAAAATATATTTCATTAGACTGACGTGAAAAATATTTTAGAATTTCTTGTAAACACTAACAAACAACATAATTGAACAGAAGAGCTACATTGCTTGCACTTTCAAAATTCAAACTCGCAGTCTCGCAGACGAATCATTCAGAATCATCAACACAGGACAGGATCAAGGTAGCCCACATACGTCCAATAAGGAACAAAATTTCTCGTAAACGAAATTCCAACAAGCTATACCGCTAATTGATTATTGATTTCTTAAAATAAGGCGTGTTTAGCCATGGTTTAGCCTTGTTTAATCAAAGTTAAATTAAATAAAAGAAGCGTCAAGTTTATTTGTCCAAGTCAAAGAAATTTTTATCTTTGATGGATTTTTGCTAATATTTAAATTTTATTTAGTTTAAAAATATATTTTTCTTGTATCTGACTTCCCAACTGTCCCAACTCGTGGCAAGGAAATTCCCAACTTTTCTCTTTCCCAGATTCTAGGGGGGGAGGCTCCCCCCCTACCCCCCCATCCCCCCACCACAAGGCGACGCCCCTGCACCAAGGCCACAGATGATTGTAGGCCCAATGTGTTAGTCTCCTCCATCACTGGACCTACATCCTTTCAAACACAAGGTATGCTTTTTTACTAATTTGTAATATAATTTTGAATTGTAATTGTTCATTTGAGTTCTGTTGGACTTCAGTTTGTGGAGGAAAACTTATGATCGGTTTAAAAACATTTATGTAAAGGTCAAAATGTTATTTTAGATTTTTTTTTCAATTATTTGTATATTAAACTTCAATGTTTTTTAAGTCAAATACTATTATAGTTTCAGCCAATACTTCTGAGAACATTGTTGTTGTTTTTTTTATCAATAACATTAGGCTTTTCAACTTGCACTTGGAAAAAATATACTGGATTCATTATTTTAAATAATTCTAAAAATATTTTAATAACTTTGATTATTTATTTGATTAGTTACAAAAAAAAACAGCAAACCTGCAGACTAAGCTAATTTGCATTTTTCTATTTTTTTTTTTTTACTTCAATATTTCCTTAAAAATGTCTGATTCATAATAATGCTGCTACAATAAAGTACAGTATTAAGGTGTGTTTTTAGTGAAATATTAATAGCTTAGGATAAAAAAATAAGTAAGCATTGCAAATATGATCAGAATATATCCATAAACAAGCAAGCTACAACAGTTTACTTACTTTCCATAAGAATAACATGGGAATTGTAAATGTGCAGTTTTATGGAATTTTCTCCATAACCATTAAGCCTACAACAATGCTTTAAGATACTTCATTATATGTGCTAGCAGCTCTACAAAATAGTTATGAGTGACATTGTGAAATTTCATACTTTAAAAGTCAAAAACAGGAAAACCAATTTTTACCCCATAAAACCCCATACACATAGTACGATCATGCTGGTTCACGAAATCGGATGATTTTAACTGTAGTTATTGTTCTAACGGACACACATACAATATGTATGTATATATATATATATATATTATATTTGATATTGTTCATGTGTAGGGCTACTGTAATCTATCTATATATTAATAGGCAAGCATGTTTCTTTAAAACCTTTTTTCTCAGCTTGTGTGCATCGTGGGGTAAATCTGCGCATACCGTTAGAAAGCTATTTTCCTGTAGGTGTGCAGAATCCCTTTATAAATTAAAATAGGCTCAAAAATAAGCACAAAATATGAATTTAAAATTTTGAAAAATTTAACATGGATATTATGAGTTGCCATGCTGGTGACGAAATAACAACGAAATATAAACAGAAAATCAAAACAAATGAAGGAAACTCCAATCACATGTTCTATTCAAAGTGTGGAATGAAAATAAAGAAGTCTGTACATTAAATATTTTTGGTCGAGTTTCGACCACTGGATGACCTCTAGTATAATATTAATAAATAATACACCATAGTACCCTTTTTTTTAAATAAATAAATAATTTTAAAAAAGGGTACTATGGTGTATTATTTGTTAATAATATATATACTATATATATAATATATGAATGAATATACATTTGGACGGATGTTTGGCCCCTTGAGACATCAAAATGAAAAGTAGATCAGTCCCGGGTGTAGGGCTTGGTATGGGACATACGGTAACAGTATATTCCCTTTATGGGAAACCCACAAAAAATACAATTGCATTTAAGTAAACAACCATACTAATTTGATGAACCTAAAGAGTGATTACTACTAAATCACAACATCAGCACATATTAATTCACTTTCAATATTTCCATACCAATGTCATATATTACTAATTCTTAATATATTGTTTGAGACTACAATCCTCTGTTTAGATACTAAAATTAGAGAACTAGTTGATGGCCTTGAGTAGCTGGCCGTTATCCTATGAGCAATGAGGCAATATGAGGATAAACATACACATCCTCATTGACCTTGGATGACTAGAGTCTGAATAGCCTGGAAAATTGGGATACTTCTACTCCTATATCACTATAGCTGTTTCTAAATAATTGAGGATATGGTACTAGTTGTCATTTCGAACTTTATAATGTGGGTATGTGGTCTGGGTAAATTCTTTTAAAAATGATAAAAATAAAAGTGAATCATGATTTGCAGAATATTGGCAATATCTTTGCAAAGCCAAATCTAGCTTTTTAATCTAAGTTAGTATTGCTTCACACAAATGTTGATTTGAGCTTACCAACATAGCAATTTTTCACTTAAATTTACCCCAAAAAGTCACATTTATGATCTAGAACCTTGCTTGAATTTCCAAAAATGATGATATCAGGATAATGTTTCCTATTATTTGTTAAAATAATAACATGTGTTTAAAATATTAACAAACAAATTTGTGTATTCACCAAACCAAATTAAATTAAATTAAATCTGTTACATTTAAATTAAATAGGAACTAGAGGGCCCATGCTGCTTCGAAGCGTTAAAATGAATATCATATCCGAGAAATAATAAAACTTATGATTTTTGGTCAAGTAATGCAATAGATAAATATATGCCAATGCTTGATGTGAAATCTGTGCGTGCATATCTTCAATTTGAGATTTCGATCATCAAAATCGGTCAGGTAGAAGAGTCAAACGAACTCGGAAAAGAAAAACAAAATTTTTTAATATATAAGATTGCAAATTACTCTTAAGGGTTTACTGTTGATTGACAGTAATTTTATGGGGTTTTGAGGAGATTTGAAACCTTTATGATTAGATAAGGAACCTATAAGGTAATCAGAAAATTGAGATACAAGTGGTGTTATCATTAAAATAACCAATCACAGTGTGTTTTTGTACTTAATTCCAAACTTAATTTGAGATAATGAACTGTGACTACACATTAATATTTAAAAACAAAAGTAGTTTCAAATATTTTAAAATAAAATATGTTTAAATTTTAAAAACCTAATGAATACCTGAAAATGTTTTTTAGGATACAAGACTTAACTGAAACCGGAAGGAGTCCAACCTGGCACAATGAGGCAAAAATGTTAGGGGTAGCGGATTTTTATCCCCCTGGAATTTTACCCCCTGGGCAAACGTGACGTCACAAAACAGGGGGTAAAATTCTGGCCGCGAACTTTTGAGTTTAGCGATATCAGTTCCATGGATTAAACGCAGAATTACTGTCCGCGAGACTAAAGAAGTCCCCTGAGCTCCGGCCTATTCGTAGTTTGAAGGCGTTACGCTTGAACGTTTCGCGTGACAATTACTGTAGAGCCGTCTTGACGCTGCTCTGCTAGTTTTAAGGCTTAATTTTTGTATTTAATATCTGTATGATTTTTATAAATCTATGTCATAATATTTTTTTGCATAGTCATACAATCGAAGGAAACCCATTTTCTAGTGTTACTAAGGCATATTAATAACCTTTCTACTATATGATTTTTGTTTAGTTAAATATAAAAATACCAATAAAATACAATACAATAAAATCCTTTTTAAATAATTATTAATCTGAGTTTGAAAGCATTATACACTGAGTACAGCAGTTTCAATAGCATGCATCGCAATAAACAACTCATTATTAAAGTTATTAATCCTATTACCATAAACCTAAGCAAAATCAAGAATCAAGAAAACACGAAAACAAGCAAAAACCCTTCGTTTGACCCAATGTCTACAACAATCACGCGGTTTGACGCGTTCACATCAGGTAACACGCCATTGACGTCTATACTTTTCCAACATTTCTGGAACGTTATATTATTGTCCATCCAAGTTTCGTCTAGATAGAAAATTTTCCTTTTTGTTCATTTAGCTTTCTTATCTCTCGCAAATACTTATACCTCCATTAATGATGTCAGACCTTTCAATCAAACATTTTCTTTTAGGACCAAATTTCTTCCACTTGAACCCCATATCTTTTAAGAGACGCCGAAGTGCCCATTCGCTCCATTTAAAATTAATTCTTTCTCTCAAAACAGGTAATAGTTTTTTAAATGTAGGGACAATTTTTTTGTTCTTGTAAAAATCACGTATTACATCTACAATTACACGCCTATCAAAGCTATCTATTTGTAATTTATGGTGGTCAGCCTTCTTGCGTTTTTTCCCGGGTGTACAGAGTTTTTCATCGGGAGTTTGTTTGCCGGCTTTTCTAATTCGTTTAATAGTTTTTTTTTGGAACTTTACAATAGTTTGCGGCACGTTCTGTTGCCGTTTCTATCGGCACTAATAAATTTTTGTCTTTACATTCGTTGTCACAACTCTTGATCACCCGTCTAATTATTAAATCCCTCTCTCCACTATGTATAGTAGCATGACGTTTTCTTAAATCCATAACTACAAGGACCGTTCAAAACAAAACGAACTCACTACGCGAACACAAGAGACTGCAATGAATCGAATGACGTGACCACATGATGATAATCCACTTACCAAAACAAAGATATGAGTAATTATGTTTACAACAGTTGTATACAGACAGACATCGAGGCGAGGCGCCCAGATGCTTAGCGCCTGCAAATAGTGCGCGATACCCTCCAAACATAGCTGCGTATCGCTCTGGCTCAAGGGACATCTTTACTCTTGCGGACAGTAAATGTATATTTTCATGGTTGTGAATTTAATCAGAACACATCAAATAAAGACGTAAATCAAACGCAAATTCCTAATATCAAAATTAAACAGCGAATTTTGTTTAGTTAGAAGAGATTACAAAATAAATAAATAAAGATAGGCTACTTAATAATAAAATGTTAACAATTAAATAAAAACAGAAATAGGAAAATCAATCATTCTTAATAATTTCTATATCTGGCCAGGGGGTAAAATTCCAGGGGGTAAAAATCCGGGGGTAAAAATCCAGCCCGTACATCTTCAGTTGTCTAAACGCTAGTTATATGGACAGGGGGTAAAATTCCGGTTTTTATTGCTAATCTAATTAATCACACTCTGTCTATTTTTGTTAGACCTCGAAATCTGCGGGGGTAAAATTCTGGCCGCGAACAAACTTTCAAACGCTCAGGTTACTACGTCATAGTGACGTCAACTTTGCCCAGGGGGTAAAATTCCAGGGGGATAAAATTCCGGCAACCCAAATATTACACTAGGCCTATTCACAAAAATAAAAACTTCCTGACCACAATTATTGGACCTAAAGATATTTTTTTTTCCAAATTGAACTTTCCTTTGTAAAAGTGCTGTTGGTGACAGTGAACTATTCTAATAGTAATGTTTGTGTAAAGTTTAAGGTTTTAGTGAATTTCCCTACAAGGGAGATGCGATTACTGTTGGTTGCACAGAAAGACCTAGACCTGGGATTGTTTTACTTTTTTTGTGTCCCTAGAGACCAAAAACACGAATTATTGGTCAAATTTGTCCTGTATGTATTTATACAGAGTAATTTTTGTCCAATTTTGATAAAAGTTTGACATGAATATGTAGAGCTGGATGAACTTGATTGAGTTGCAGGCCAGCAGTCAGGGTAATGAAAACGGGGTGTTATAGGGTTTTACATTTAAGAAGTTGTGTGGAGAAGAATATAATTACCAAAAATGTAACACTAAAATATTTGAATGATTTTTTTACATTTAGAAGAAAATTGTTGTTGGCTAAGTAATTACAAACATAATATATAATATATATATATATATTGCATATATTAATACATTACACCCTTACCAACATATCATCAAAAGCATAAATAAAACCTTTATAATAACAACAATTCACAAAGTGTTCAAACCTGATTAAGACAAGATAGCATTATTATGAGTTCTTAGAAGTTGATTAAGAAAGAAAACAAAAACAAGCCTGCTATCAGTCACAAAGTTATGATTAGATTGAAGGTCCCCAGCAACTAGCAGTTGAGTGGCAGACAAGTACATCTACTGTATAGTCAGTGTTAACTGGCATGGCCAAACTCAAATCTGATGATGGAGAACTGACGAGCAATAGTTATTTGTGCAACTAGTGTGCAAAGTGGCACTTTGCTGCACATGGAAAGTTTTCGAGTGCAGCATAGGGACTTTGCACTTGCGATACACATTATATTTTTCCTACAGTTACTATAAACCATATAAATAAGTAGTCTTTCAAACACTATACAAAACTTTTTTAGGTTAGGTTAAATCCAATAAAAGAACACTGTTTTGTGTTGTTTGATTAAAATAAAACACAGGAGTGCGGAAAAGAAAAAGAGTGCGGCAAAAGTGAGTAAATGCAGTAATTAGCTAGTTTGCGTGCTATAAATCAGTGCAAAGAAGCCCACTTTGTCAGGTAACTGTAGTAAAAATTAAATTGAAGATCTTCATTTACCTATTCCTAACTTGACAACTCTCAAATCTGTAGGATTGTGTGGTTATATTCAGGGCCGATTTACCGAATAGGCACGGTAGGCACGTGCCTAGGGCGCGAGGCAATTGGCTTTTTTGGGGGCGCCAAAAATTTGGAAATTAAAAAAATTCGTGGTAGTATTTGCATGCTATCGCGGTAAACTTCTGATAACCCCCCGCGGCCATGTAGGCATCGTATTCGTCCCGCGTTTGCGGCAAGATTCTTACTATTTTCTGCAGTCAGGTCGTTTGGACATAAAATTGTCTTCCATGATCGAGGCAATATATGAACATATCCCGCGGTCGTGAGGAGATTATCATCGTCTACCTCAAATGAGGCAAAATTCTGATATTTCTTCGCGGTCGTGAGGACATTATCCTCGTCTTGCGCGATCGCGGTCAAATTCTGACCACCCCCCGCAGTCGTGTGGACATAGTAATCACCTCCCGCAATTGTGGCAAAATGGTAATCATCTCCCTCGATCTTGTGGAGATTATCATCCTCTTACGCAAATTAGGCAACATTATCATTATCATTATCATCGTCTTGCGCGATTGCGATAAAATTCTGATCGCCCCTCGCGGCAGTGAAGACATTATTATATCGTCCCCGTCGGTCGTTTGGACATAGTAATCGCCTCCCGCGATTGTGGCAAAATGGTAATCATCTCCCGCGGACATATGGAGATAATCGTCTTCTGCGGATGAGGCAAAATTCTCATCTTTTCCTGCGGTCATTTGGACATTATCATCGTCTTGAGCGATTGCGGCATTATTGTATTCCGCGTTTCTGTAGACATCGTAATCGTTTCCCGCAGTTGTGAAGACATCGTTATCGTCTCCCGCGATTGCGGTAAAATGATAATAATGTCCTCCAGTCGTGTGGAGATCATCATCGTCTTCTACGATCGCGGCAAAATTCTTCCTGTTTCCCGCGGACGTGTGAACATTATCATCGTCTTCCGTGATCGCGGCAATATTCTGATCATCCCTCGTGGCCGTGTAGAAATTTTATTGTATCACCCGCGGTCCTGTAGATATCGTACGTATCCCGCAGTCATGAATCCATGGTAATCGTCTCCCGCGATTGCCGCAAAATTTTAATCATGTCCTGCAGTTTTGTGGAGATCATCATCGTCTTCCGCTATCGCGGCAAAGTTCTTGCGGTTTCCTGCGGTCGTGTGGACATTATCACCACTTTCCTTGATTGTGGCAATATTCTGATCATCCGTTGCGGCTCTGTAGATACCATTATCGTCTTCTGCGATCGCGGAAAATTTTGATCATCCCTCGCGGCCGTGGGTAGACATATTATCGTCTCCCGCAGTCACGGAAACGTCACTGTTGTCATGCGCGATCACGGAAAATTGAAAACTCCAGGTAGAAATACAAAATTCACGGTTCAAAAATCTCCCACATGATTCCCGGATTTCCCGGTCGGTGTACACCCTGTTATATATATATATATTGCAAAGGGGCGCTACTATTAGACGTGCCTAGGGCGCTGACAGGGTCAAAAACGGGCCTGGTTATATTTTTTTGTAAAACAACATTAACAGAATGTTTATCCTATCCTATATATAATACGAGTAAAGTTTGAATAATTGTCAACTCGATCTGGGAATCGGCCCTAACAAAAACGTTTATATTTACGGAATAACTAAGTTCTGTATCACTGAGCTAAGTTTGGCAAATTAATATGATATAACATATCCCAAGTTAAAGCATGCGTCGCATGTCATAAAATGTTGCAAACCGACGAATGTCACCAGCTCGAAATTTCTCTGGAGAGTGGAGGCTATCTATTGTATTTTAAGCATTGTAGCCTATGTTATCTGTACCCAAGACTGTGATGATTTTGAAAAGTGTATAGGGATTTTTCTCCTAAACTGCCTAAAAAGTTTTAAAATGTTTGTGTTGCAGCGTGTCGTATGTCGACAAATGTTACAAAACGACAAACGTCAAAACTTGAATTTGCTCTGGAAGCTATCTATCCTTAAGCATTATAGCCTATATTATCTGTAGGCATACACAAGAGTGTGATGACTTTAAGTGTCCAGGGGTTTTCTCCTAAACTAGGCTAGGCTATCCACATTTTTTTGTGAATAGGCCTAAGTAATACAACTAAACCAATCCAAAACAAAAACTAAATATACAGGAAATATTTGTCAATGGAAACCCCAATCAAGGGCTGCAAAACAAGTTAAAACTACTCATTATCCAACCCTAAAGTGTCTTTTGTATAGATAAAATAAATACTTAACTCTTGATTTGATGTCAATCAATATTTTCATTAATTATGCCATATACACCATAATGGTGTTGTTATTAGGACAATTTGTTCTATGAAAGCGTGTAACATAAGGTATTTTAAATTAAAGCTTAAATTTATTATTATTTATTCTTTAATGTTTAGTTTCCCGAGCAAAGCTCGGTCCCCAGGTACTAATAGTTATAAACAGTGCAGAGCATGTTTAACAGTAGTGTATGGTAGCTGTTGATAGCCAATTCAAAATTGAAGTAGTACATTCCTATCTTTAGAAAGAGATAATCTACTCTTTTTACGCTAGCTAATTTGGCCACACACTTTAAAAAAGTTATTGTAAAGGAATTCAAAGGATGTTTAACTTTCCAATTTTTTTTTTACATACAATCAACTTGGTCTGAGCAAAGATTATTTATCACATTATGTGGATATTATATTTGTATGACCTATGAACACCACACTTGTGTTTTAGTCAAATCAAAATTTATGGTATACTCTGTTTATATATTTGATTTTGAATTAAAATTAAAAGCTAAACTGGTAACTTTGCTTCTAAACAAGAGTGATTTACCCTAGTTTTTCAAGGACAGTAATGAAGTCAATTATAGAAGAAACGATAAGTAGCAGCTACTACTGTTAAAATCCTCATAATTCATTGGAATAATATAAAATTAAGATTAGAAATTAGCTATCTTAAATTCGTAAAAGTATAGGCTACAAGGTATCTCCTTGTAAAAAAGTCTGTACCTTTAGGTCAAACTAAATTGTATCCATAAAATTACTAAAATAATTTAAAAAAAAACAACTTGTAATCATACCTCGGTTTCCATGAACATCGACCATATAAGATAATTTCACAAGCTTAACTTTGAAAACTTAGGAGCAGAGCCTAGGTTGATACAGCAATTGTTATGGAATTATCAAAGATTTATAACAGTTCTGGTTTAATACTTTACCTACGTGTTTGGAGAATTCTTTACCTTCATGTAGCCTGATTTAACAAATGCACCACTTAAGTTTTATCCTTTTCAGCCAGAATGACACAAAAGCTGCCAGAGTGGTTGGACAAGACATTCCTACAAGCTGCTCTTCAAGGAGGAGAAGATAACGAACCCAAAGTGACAGTTAATGATTTTACTGCAGAACTAGCGGTGGCGGCCGGTAACAACTACACAAGCCAAATCTTCAGGGTGGTCGTGAAATACACAGCAAATGGATCAGAAGATAAATCCACAACTCTTATTGTTAAGGCACCTCATACTCAGTTGCAGGACATGGGAGCAGAACTTGGACTAAGTGAATGGTTCGACAAAGAACCGGTTATATACAACATTATTTTGCCAAAAATGAAAGAAAAGATAAAAGTTGACTTTGGTCCTAAAACATATTACAGTGCACAAAAAAGTGTGTTGGTATTTCAGGATCTGAAAGAAACAGGGCACATCATGTGTGATAAATTTAAACAATTGGATTACGCTCATTGTGAGGTAGTGTTGAAAAGTTTAGCGAAATTCCATGCCGTTTCAGTGGCTCTTCACAGTGAAAATCCTGAAGAAATCGAAACACTCGGAATAGAGCCCATATTTAGGGAAGGTAATCCCATGAAAGAATTGATGAAGTCACTTTTGGTGTTTGCGATAGAAATTGTAAAAGAAAGCTTGAAAAATACAGAAAATGGTGAACCTGCCTTACAGTTTTTGCTTGACAAGCAAGAAACACTGTACAATTCCTTGATAGAAATTGTTAAACCCAAAAAAGAAGGTTTGAATGTTATGAACCATGGAGATTTGTGGAACAACAATATGATGTTCAAACACTCAGAGTCAGGAGAAGTGGAGGAAGTAAAGTTCATTGACTTTCAAGTGTTACGATACACGAGCCCGGCCATCGACATTCTGTACTTCACCTGGACCAGTGCAGACGAAGAAGTGCGGGAAAACAGACTACAAGAGTTGTACGACATTTACCTACAAGAACTCAACGAATGTCTAAAACTACTAGGATGTGAAGAGAGGTACACTTCTGAAGAGTTATGGCAAGATTTAAAGAATTCGGTTGACTTTGCTCTTGTAATCGCATGTCAAACTTTGCCCATGACATTCGCTGAAGAAAAGGATGCTCTTGACATGGCTGAATTTGACATGAAAGAGTTTGCAAACATGAGTAACAGTGGTGCTATGGACCCAAATTTACTGAGATTATACAATGGAAAATATTACAAAGCCAAAGTACCAAAAATCATCCAACAAATTTACCAGACCTTACATTAAAAGTTGCTCTAAAGGTTAATGTTCTAGCTCTTTGCACAGATATGTTGTTGAGAGGAAATTAGTATTAAAAAGACTACATTTTTTTATAAACATCATCTTGACAACATAAAACAAAAAAAATATTTGTTGTAAATGTAAATAAGTTGTAGATAATGATATCATTAATTAATCAACCTTAAAATTTGTCACATATTTTAAAATCATGTGTTTTACTAACAATTATATTGTGTTATTATTTTATTCAATGATGACTCACAATTAAAAATCTATTATATTATTAAAGTGATACAATCAAATTTTATGTAAACGGTTAAGGTCATTTACCAAATAAAAATATAGGCATATGACACATACAAATGAAGCTTAGAGTGTGTAGATTTGCCGAAAAGTATTGATATGGACGAATTTCCTAAGGGCTCTGCCCCACAGGCTGATTTCCAAAGGGCTACGCCTGCCATGCTTCCTAAGTTTACATGATTTAATTTAATTTAGTTAATGAAACAGCTGGTCAGTACAATGAATGGTGTTTGTTTATTTACTCGAAAAAGATGTTTGTGAAGCTTTATGTAGATTTAGGAGGGTTATGTTTGGTTTTAAAGAAAGTTTGTATACGTTTTGTATAGAATTGCGCAAAGTTTCATTTTGTAATTTATATAGTAAGCTAAATGTAAAGAGGCTTGACTAAAGTTGAAGAATTATGGTAAAACATGTCATTCGTGAAGCATCAATATGAAATAATTTATGTTATTGCTACACTAAGGTATGTTGTCATATTCTTTTGGATCTATTAACATAAAAAAGTAGGGATTTGAAAGTAAGCAGGTTTACACTTTTGAATCAGAGTTTATATTTTCAAACTAAATCATAAAGTTGCCGTATTTTAAAACACACATCAGGATTGCTTTAATAGCTCTCTAGGTCACATTTTCTTCCCGTTGCAAAGCACGGGTATAGCAGCTTGTATGTATATAAAATAAAGCTGATCATATCAAGTACACACGAACATTATTTTTGCAACTAAATATGTAATAAGGCTCACAGTATCAATTTAACACGAATTTTCAAAAAAGAATCCATATAAGGGGTACGGTAATTTCAAATTTATTTCCTCCTGGAAAGTTAAGTATAGAATAGAACCTTATCTATTCAGAACACTCACATGCAAATGCCAATGATGTGTTTTATTTTTCTGCCTTGACTATTTGACCCTTTATCAAATACTACATGCAATGTTCAAAACTATAGCTTTGGGTGACTATCTGCAAATTTCAGGTTAGGAAAAGAAACATAGAAAATTAAATTTTATGTTTTATGTTTACTGATAGAAGGAAAAGCTCTATTGAATGTATGTGTTTCCCTTATATAGACTTACTTCAGTAACAACTGGTTGACGGACAGTACAGATAGTATCAAAACCAGGGTTTGGTTTACCTTAGACAAAAATAGGAAAACTCCCCTGGCGTAGAAACAAAATAAAATAGAACAAAAATATTAAATTATTTCATCATTCTTAAAATCTACCTAAAACTATGTTTTTTTGATCAGTTGTTTTTATAAGTAATGTGAAATGTAAATGTTATAGAAATTTGGAGAACTTTAAAGACAGATAGAATCTATCTGTTCATCACAGGGCGTCTAGTTCCATTAAAAAAATTCATGACAAATTTAATAACAAAGTTATAATTTTTGTTATCCAACGCTCACCTTTCAATATATTTTGCTATAAAATGCAGACCCTGGAGTTTCGACACTGTAAAATCTAACTTTGGTAATCTGTCACAATAGACGAATTGTGGATATTTATAGGCATGCACAGTGGATGCGATACTCCCTGGTGTGGATTAACGTCCGCACAGGTGAGTACTACGACTATCCACAGTACTATCCTGATAATTAGACCAATTTGTATATACCAAAGGCAAAAATGTGGTTCGGATTCCACTATAAACTGTAGGTCGCTTAGTTGCCATTAGCTGTTTGGGCTATTAATTAACAGCTGTGTCTAAGGAATGTTGGCCTTAGTCACTAACAAGACTAAAGATCCCGCCACTCACCCTACACTCATCTCCATTCATACTTGGCTTAAAATTCCTACTTTGTATGGTCGCCATTTCATTTAGAAGTACAGTCTAACCTTGATATAACGAACCTCGATATAACGAATTCCTTGATATAACGATTTTTTTTTAATCCCCTAGAACTCTCCATAAGACACAATGTATATTTTACCTCTACATAACGAACAAACCATAACAACGACCTTGATTTAACGAATTTTTCGTGATTTCGGCTAAAATAAGACACCTCAATATAACGAATTTATCATTGTCAGAACCTCTACATTGCGAATTTAACCTCTGCATAACGAATTGTCTCCGTCTTTCCCTCGATATAACAAATCCCCCACCCAATTATTGTTTTGGGAAAATCTGTTTCTTTATCAAATGAAATGGAAAGGTCACGTCATCCCTTGCGCTAACATTCGTCTGCTCCGTTTTACATCTTTGTCTGCTGTCGCTGCGCGCGCTATGTTGCAACTGAGAACTGAACTGATTTCATTCACTGAGGACTGATGACGACGTAATGTTTAGTAAGCTGTGATTGGGCGATATGGGAAAGCTATGGTGAATTGTACAATTTTTGGATAAAGAGAAAACTAAGAAAGAATATAAAAACAAAACCAAAGAGAAAGAATAGCAACATCGTTATCTTAACATTCCTTTTACGAGTGTTTTTATAATCCTTAAGTTGGCTATGATTATACACTTTTATAATGGCTTATCTAATACTTTATTGTTTTCAATACGATTTGTTTCAACTAGCAACACCAATGCTATAGTTAATGATTATTATTGACATTCCTCTGTTGTGATAAATCAGTACTGTACTGTAAGTAACCTACCGGCCTATCACGAGCAGTAGCTTACAAAACTTTCTACTGTTTTGTTTTATTCTTTACATGGTTTTTGACTACGCAATACAGTGTTTGGCTAGGTTTTAGGAGGGTTAGAACAAGCTGTGATTTTAAACTTACAGTTTTTAACCTGTACCAAGGTCAATGCCTTTGTCATGATTGCGCAATATTCAAGATCCCTCCCCTTTATTTTGCCGAATAATTTAGGTTCTACTGTACAATGTAAACACTGTAGGCCTACTGTAAAGTACTGTAGCGTAGCCTATGCTACTTTAATTGTATTTTAATGAGGTCAAATCCCAACCTATATTGACCGACGCTGGTTCTGAACCTCGACTTAGCGAAATTCCTGCAAACCTTACCTCTATATAACGAACCTCGTTTTAACAAAATCCTTGATATAACGAATATTCAGTTCGGTCCCTTCAGATTCGTTATACTGAGGTTGGACTGTATTAAGTATTAAATAAAAAGAATAGTATGTACGGTAGTCCACTCAAGTTCCAAACCAAAGCTTACATATTTACCAAAATACAAATTACCTGGATGCAGACAAGCATTGCCTGGTCAAACTGGAAGCCGTCTGGACAGCCACACCGGTACGAGCCAATAGTGTTGAAGCACTTCTGATCCCCACAAGGATTCTGTGAGCACTCGTTGTCATCCACACACTGGTTGTAGTACACATGTTGCAGGAAACCATCCGGACAACCGCATCTGTAGGTGCCCATGAAGTTCTGTAACAAACAACAAATATGATTTATTGAATACTTGCTCTTCCTTTGCTTCATAAGATGTGAGGAAGCAGAATAAGAGGTTCTACTGTATAAAACAGTTACACATTCAATGAATAACTTCTTAATCAGCATTAATTTTTGAGATTGGTAGATCTCAATACACTTGCTAGATACACTCGATTGTTCACAAACCCCCAGAAAAAATCACACAACAAATTTTGTCTCTATAAACCATTCAATACACAGTGCTTTCAACTGCACCTCCAAATTGCAACTTAATGTTTTGAAAATTAAAACGTGGCAACAACAATAGCTGATTAATGCTGATTACTGTTGAAGGGTACCAAAAAAACTTGAAGACATCAGCTTTAAAACTAGCTATAGTTGACTTTTCTTTTCTACAACCCTTGGTAACACGCATATTAAGGTGTAGATTCAGTTATTAAGTTATTCATTCATTCATCTATTCATTAATTAAGTAAACTAGTGGTAGTGCTGGACGTTGGAATGCAATTTTGATAAAATAGATTGAAATGGATTAAAAGCACCTTGCAAACCATAACTAATCTACATTAGTAAGTGTCTGTGCATACAACAATACAAAGACTTAAAGTTGGTAAAAATTTGCACAGTTAAATTACTAATCTTTGTAGTTCAAAAGGGTTAAATAGTGCTCAAAGGCAGTTTTAATAGGGACAAAGAAAGGCCACAGGGGCATCCCCCGTTCCACTCATCCTTACCTGACAGCCATGTTCACACTTGGAATCATCAGTGCACTCGTCTGCGTCTTGGCAGTAAGATCCTGTCTTGTCCAGCTTGAAGCCCCGGGGACACAAACATCGGAAGCTGCCTAGAGTGTTGACACACTTGCCAGGCAGAGGACACATGGCGTCTGTCTCACATTCATCTATGTCTGTAGAAAATAAAAGAGTAAACAAATGCCATAACTGTGTTTAGCTTGTTCAAAATTTTAATAATTTCTGCAACAAAGTGCTGCCCAATCGTATGTTAGTCCTGATGATGACCAGTGTAATTAATTTGCCAAAATGCATAGCCATTATATATAATCTTTTATATGTATTTACTGTATGTATATGTTTGCTGTATTGTTGCATATAAAATTGTGTCATTTTGCTTGTAAATATGTTTAAAAGCTCCATATTTATTTGAAATTATCAAACCATGAAAGTAAACTTTGGGGGAAACAGATGGAGAAATCAATTAATTTTGTCTGGCTAGCTGAGTGTTCATAATGCTTGCCTTCAAATCTAAAGGTTGCTGGTTCAATTCCTTGTGAGGTAGAATCTGGATCCAAATGCTATTTGTCATTGGGCTATCAATTGATAATGCTATCTAATCTAACAGAAGATCTAACAAGTAAGTTAGATAGTGGGTGGTTCCCTTCAAAAATGTAAAAACAAAGACAATTGCATTAAGATAATAAAACAAATAACAATAAGGTAGGTGACTTACCCAGACAATGGTCGCCGACCTGGTTGTACCCTGAAGGACAAGCACACTGGTAACTGCCCTGAGTGTTAACACATTGATGTTGGCACACATGCTGTCTTGTGGCACACTCGTCCAAGTCCACACAGCTCACCTGAATATCAGATCAGCAAAGGTAATGCTAACATACAAAATACAGACAACTCTTGATAGTCTTCATATCTGGCACTAAAAGTACTGGGAGGGATTTAGATTACCAGTATATTTATCGGATTTCAGTATTTTTAGGATTATACCGAACATTATGCTAAATTTATATTTATAATATAACCTAAGACAAATCAAGTTATGAATCCTTTTGTGTGTTTTTCTGTTATTTGGCTTTGAATTAAATCGGTTTGATATTATTTAAGAAAAAGAATATTTATTGAATACAAACCCTAGGGGGTGTGTAAATAATTGAATGATTGTTTTAGTGTTGAGCAGGGCTCAATATTATTGAATAGGCCTAATATACAGGGTGTCCATAAAAAACGTTTCAGGACTTTGGGAAATGAATCCCCATACTAAAAGGAAGAAAAAAGTTTATGGGAAGGTATGTCCGAAAATGCATATTAACCCAGATATCCGCCATTTTGTTTTTTATACAAAAATATTTTTATCTGTAAAGTTTTTTATTCGACGATTATGAAATTTGGTATACATGTTAACATACACAAGACCTATGATAGAAAAAATAATAAAGTTGTTCCAATTGTAAATTTCAAAATGGCGGCCGTTTGAATTTTTCTAACTTAAATAACTCAAAAACGGCTAATTCTATGAAAAAATGTCAAGAATACTTTTTTTAGCATTTTTAATTTCCTATCAAACGATACCAAGATCAAAAAGATCGGACAAAAGATAACTGAAATATAACGTTTTTTGTGTAAAAATAAGGCAAAGTTAGTCGGGGAACCCTTAATTTTTGCCTTATTTTTACACAAAAAACGTTATATTTCAGTTATCTTTTGTCCGATCTTTTTGATCTTGGTATCGTTTGATAGGAAATTAAAAATGCTAAAAAAAAGTATTCTTGACATTTTTTCATAGAATTAGCCGTTTTTGAGTTATTTAAGTTAGAAAAATTCAAACGGCCGCCATTTTGAAATTTACAATTGGAACAACTTTATTATTTTTTCTATCATAGGTCTTGTGTATGTTAACATGTATACCAAATTTCATAATCGTCGAATAAAAAACTTTACAGATAAAAATATTTTTGTATAAAAAACAAAATGGCGGATATCTGGGTTAATATGCATTTTCGGACATACCTTCCCATAAACTTTTTTCTTCCTTTTAGTATGGGGATTCATTTCCCAAAGTCCTGAAACGTTTTTTATGGACACCCTGTATATTCAAAGTTTCAAGCAGATAATAAACATAGTGAATCAAACCCCAATGACAACAAAATATGTCATAACTATTGTGTGGTTTTGTTGTTTTAATTTATACTTCAACCTTATTTTCAAAACCTTCATGATAAGGATTGTAATCATCACAAGTGTGGCCTCAGAATATAACACTCCAAACTCTTTAACTTACACCATCAGAGTGCAAAGTGTATCCTGCAGCACATGAACATGTGAAGCTGCCCTCAGTGTTCTGACAAGCGAACTGACACGGGGAAGGCTTCTGATCACACTCGTTAACATCTGTAACACATAGTATGGCATTTAATGTGACAATAATTTAGATGGAAGAAAAAAAACCCAGTGGCTCATTGAACACTTGCATGTTTAACATAGAAATGTATAGTATAACATTACTGATGTATATGTAAGAAAATAAATAAAGTGTAGGCTTTTTCCTTCAGTCCGTGCTATGCATCTCTACTTAAAAGTTTTACTAGTAGTTCCTTATTCCTAAGCAGTTAAATTTTAATTTTTCCTTTGTCTACTTTTTAAGATTTCTGGAAAAATATTTTTAAGATTAGTCACATTTTTTAGAAATTTTCAACATACAAAGAGGTTATATGTGATTTAAAGTGTAAATTTAATCAGGCCAAACATTAATTAGAATTCTGGGCTACAATCAGCGATTTAGTTACATACCGTTTTAAGGATGAGAAAACTACAACTAATTATGAAAGTAAACGGCTAGAGGGAAGAGAGAGTGATTTCAAATACATAAAAAACTAACTAAAGTGGACCAATGACGACCATAACATTAATTTGTGAAAAGCTAACAAACTCATGGTCTTTAAGATCAAATTGTGTCACACCACTAACATGTACTATCATTTGTGTCTCTTTATAGATAGTCATCTTCAGTCAAGAAGGGCTGCTAATGTGTTCGTTATGTTAGTAATGTGACACAGTGGTTTCACATTAAAGGCCACAATCGTGTTATTAATACTAACCAATGAAGCCTTATTTCTATTGTCAATAAACTATGTTTGACCTTACCTCTACAGTGCTTGCCAGTGTGGTCCGGCTTGTACCCCTTGTTACATAAACAGCGGTACGAGCCGAGAGTATTGATGCAGCGGCCATTGCGACACAAGTCTGGGATTGTCTGGCACTCGTCAATGTCTGTCAACAAAATTACATTTAGGTTACAAAATCCAGCAGGACCTAAAAGGCTGGATTAAATAAATTTTAGAGTTTACCTCCTTAAATTAGCAGACTAGTTTATTTCTTATCATCTATCCATCAAAGCTGTTATTTAATTGTCTAACTTGGCAACTTCTTTAAGCCTTGCCCTCCCACATGGACCAATAAATCAAGACATTCCTGCCTTAGTTTCATGTTCTGTCACGCTACCGACTGAGCCACTAACTGACACATCTTGTTTGCTAGCTTACTTAGTGTGTCAATTACAAATTGTGTCAATAAGTTGAAAAAATTGAATTCAACTACTGTCGCTTACTCACAAAAAGAACATGGGGTTAGTAAGAGATATAAAGATAACTTTACACCACACGTATATTTTTCCTGGATAAAACTGACATTACAATTGACCCTCTGAAAAAGTCATTACGATTATGATGGTTGATCAGGGTGTCCACAAAAGATTTGTTATTAATTTCCATGAATTTCCATGACTATCCATGACCATTTACCATTGATTTCCATGACTCACGAACTAAACACGCAAATTATAATATAACATACACACACAAATAATACTGCCTGGGCATGTTATTTTGCAGAAAATACTAAAATATGTAATAACATATAACAATGGAGTACAATAGGTACAACAATGAACTAAAACAAACCGAAAAATCATAAAATAATACAACTGTAATAAATTGAATTGTCGAACATCTGTGAAAAATCCTGAAAAATGCTACAACAGTCCAGGTTACGGCTGACTAGAGCATTGAATGGTCCCTTCAAATCCATCCATAATTGGAAATTTCCATGACTTTCCATGACTTCTTGCCTATTTCCGTGACTTTCAATGACCAAAATTTGTTTCCATGACTTTCCATGACTATCCCTGACTTTCCAGAATGTGGACACCCTGTTGATATAGCTGGGTAGCTAAGTGACCATTTTGCTCGCCTAGTAATGAGAATGCTGCTGGTTTGATCCTAACAAAAGTCAAAATATTTGTTAATGATTTTAAATTGGACCCAGCTTTTCTGATAATTGGGATTTGAATAAATGATCCAGGCTAAATATGTAATTGATCATAGTTGGTAACAAAGCTGTCATCTCATTCATTCAATAATCATTGTTCCACTCATATTCTCTTTCAAATACCCACCAGGGAGTGTCCCAGTCATGAAAATTTAATCTAAATATCAGTGAAGTAAAACTTTAAACACCTCTTATGTATCTCAACATTTCTGATATCTAATATACTGGGTGAACTTGTAGAAATAGTGACTTTTCAAAGCTTACCATTAATTTAGTGACAAATATTCACACTAAATCCGCCATGTGACGTTTCCCATTGTGTCAAATTATCATAAGGAAAACATTCAAATATTTTACGTCTATAAGCTTATGATACTGACCGCTGCCGTCAATGGAGTAGCCGGTGTCCAGACACAGTTGTTGGTACTCCTCAGACCCCGGGCTAGGACACAGTTCACACAGTGGTCCCCACGCAGCTCCCATGGTGCAGCAGCAGTCAGCCTTCGTCACTGACATCAGTCCCTCACTGTGTGTCACCTGACTACATCGGCCGTTCATAAGCTTGCGGAAACAGTAGCCTTGCCGCTCATCTGCAACATATCACGTTTGCTAAAGAGCAATAAGCAAACCAACAAAAGAACTTATTTACAATCCAAGAAAATCTTATTTTATGAACATAATAGTGCATTTTCCACTTCCAACCGTTCAGTATTCACTATTCAGTAGACACAAAACGAGCGGCAGAAAGTAGTTGTGCACAGTAGACAACAAACCAATAGCTGTGCTTCACATTCAACCAATTGCTGACCTCAAGATGTTAACCAGTTTTGTGCTAAAGCCTTGTAAGTTTGAAATTTCTCATGAATGAAACATGTGTTGATGGTATACTTTTAATCAATAATTTACAAGCATTACTTTAGTTTTCTAAACATAAACATAACTGTTAGAATTAAGTTTTTGGGGCCAAATGTATTTTAGTTCTAAGCTTATGCTTGGAAAAATACAAGTCTCGGCACATGTAGGTAGGCCTACACTACAATAGGTCACATAACTAAAATAAGTGTTGATGTGTCAAATTGTTAAAGTCAATCAACACTCCTTTAAAACTGCTTAGATTTGTAATAAATGTGTTTTTGAATAACCTTTAACTATGTTACTACGAGTTCATGAACTACTCAAGGACTGACCAAGGGACAAAGTACATTGTTATCAAAAACAAGTTTATCTCTATGAGCTAAACAAGCCAAATTTTCCTGGCTTTTGCAGCAAGTTTGTTTATAAAATGTTGTACTAGGTTTGCCTGATCTCTATCAAGCTCACGTCCTAGCCAAGCAAAACAGATAAAATCTGAGAGTCGTATTGAGTAGCTCATCAACTACTATTCCATTTAGTTTCCACACCTATGGGGATATAAGTCTCCTCATAGTATTCGAAAGCGAAAATTTATTGTGAAAGGAAATTGACGCTCCACCAAGTATAAATTGCAATCTGTGATTTGATTTCTGTGGTCTTAATCAATCACTGTCGCGATAGAAACTGGTGGATACTCACTGCCTGTCCCATTGTGCAAAAGAAGCCTGCTTTTAGCAGACTCACTAAGCCAATTATTCACATTTTCTAAGTCAAAACACTTGTCTGTATACACGTCTGTTAACTGGCAACATTACACAACCGGAATTGACCCCCTTTCAAGAGAAAAATAATCACAGAACGTGATTCAAGGTTGGCGGGGGGGTAAATTTTTTTTACATATTTTTTTTAATACTTTGACGAGACTAATCGTTCCACAAGGGTGGGAACCACATAAATAGGTAGTAGTGGATGAACCAAGAAGCACGATGTTGGTCTCATATTTAATCTAGCTTACTTGGCAAAAACAGGAAGCTCAATGGTGACCTTTAACGGACAACCCTCGTAACCATTCCATGTAAGATCTAAGATGAATCTTATACCTTTCCAAAATTAAATCATCCATCATCAAATTGCATTTTCCGTACAGATTTTGTATCTACAAACAATTTAAAAAAGAGCCAAGAAATTTTATGAAAGTTTTAAGTGTAAATCCAATCAACTTATATTACTGCAATTTATAAATCTAATTTACACTAGTATAGAACAAAATTAATACAATCCTTTATACAAAAGTTTCTAACTATTTAGAAATAATAAATAATCATAAAATTATAAACTGTCCACCTACCTATGCACTGTTTGTAATCATAGCTCAGTTTGAAGCCTTCAAAGCAGTCACATCGGTAGCTGCCTTGCATATTGACACAGCGACCATTAAGGCACACATTAGGCAACGTAACACACTCGTTGATGTCTCGACAGTCGTCAGTGTTGCCAACCTGTGTGTAGCCGTCCGGGCAGTTGCAGAGGAACGAACCAATCAGGTTCTTACAGTTGTACTTGCAGTTGTTGGCTGGTGTCACACACTCGTCGACATCTAGAAAACAATTGGAATTATTTATGTAAATTTATTTATTATATCTGCTAAAAAAAAAAAAAAATAATTTACAATTGTTGTGTGATGGATAAATTACATGTATGTTTAATAAAATTTTCTAAACAGGTTTCCACATAATTATAAGTTTCTATGATTCTGTTTTCATCCATTGCAAAATTTGTTTTGAGAGTTAAAAATGGGGAAAAACTATTTTTAGTAACACTATAAACTTAGTTTCTATAGTCCAATCATGTGGGTTTGCGAACTAGTTAGAATAAACATAAGTCAACTTGTTTGTACCCAATTTCAATAAAATTGTGTGATTTATTTACTCAAGTTATCGATCTATTGGACAAATGCAAACACACATATTTGAATAGACGGTGAAAAAAATTTGTTCCCAGGTCTAGGTCTTACCTTAAGACCAATGGTACTGAAATAGCTTATTCCCTATATGGAAGTCTGTTAAAACTACACAAGATAACTACGGAGATAACCTAAGTTTATATTAGGAATGGACGGGTTTGAATCGTCGTTATGACTTCGTCTCCTGCGTTCGCGGACCTATCTCTCGCAATAGCGGTGTCATCGGCGCTCGCGGAGCGGCAAAATCGCCGACGATCAGACAAAATCCCGTCCCGAAAAATTCCCGAATCAAATGTAATCCCGTCCCGATAATCGGGAATATTGTTTTCTCAAAAAATTCCTGAAATTTCGGGACCCGTCCATCCCTAGTTTATATGAAGGCTACAAAAATAGCCCTGTACAAATTTACATACCTCGGGAATTTATTTTAAATTTCTATTTAAATTTACTGAGTCTATTGACTAGGAAAGCCAAATTAATCATAAAGATTCATCAGAGATCAGCTTCAAAAAGCTATACTCACCGACACAATGTCTGCCGTCAGGAGCCAGTGAGTAGCCGTAAGGGCAGATACAGCGGTACGAGCCAGGCACGTTGTGGCAGCGGAAGGCACATTGGTTGTTCGTCTCTAGACACTCGTTAATGTCTTCACAAGTCTGCACAGTGAGGTGAACATTGGTTGTATAATCCCCAATCAACTTATGTCAAATCTAAATACTGGCGTCCTAGTATGTTAATGTAATCTAGTTCTCCATTCAAAACTGTGCATACAAGTATTTCAAGAAGGACATATCCTTTTTCAGAATATGCATAACCTAACTGCAGCAAACATGCAGACTAGGCAAGTTTCTTGTTACTTTGATGAGTTTTTCATTCTAAGAAGGTTCAATATCAAAATAAATTAACACTTACGTCTATACTCATTGTAAATGACATTTGTTCAAAGAGCAATTTGGTCAGTTGGAGGAACAACATCTTTAGTTAAATTTCTAACAAACCTTACAATGTACGTAATACGCCAATTTATAAATGTTGAAAAAATTTACCAAAAGGGAAATAGTCATTAAATCAAACACAAATTATTTTATATAGGCAAAGTTCAATATGTCCAATATTTTATTACAATGATCAAGAGTACAGTTGGGTTCAATTCTGTTTATCTATGAATTAAATCATATTTGCCTTTCCCATAGCACACTGTTGAAGGCAAGGCATCAAGCATGAACCTTTGATTTTGACTAAATAACAAATGCACCAAAAAAAAATTGTATTCTAACAAATTTTAGATGTGTAACATTACCTGCATTGGCCCAGGAGCAAACCCATCAGAACAAGAACATTCAAAACCTCCGAGGAGGTTGGTACAAGTCCCATTGCCACACACCCCTGCTCCGCTCATGCATTCATCCTCGTCTGGAAAATTATATTAAGAATAATAACCAAAGTTCACAGAATTAGAAAGTATTGTTATCTAGATACAACGGCAAAATTTAAAACTGCTCAGGATAGATTGTTGTTATTCATGAATGAACGAATCTCAAATCTAAAAACACTAAAACTTGGAAGAGTTTCAGTTTTTAAAATTTGATTAGCAAGTTTTGAGATTCAAAACTGAAACTGCCAACATTTTTTGTACCATTTTTAATGTTTATAAAAATTAGATAAATTATGCTGCAAGTCTCCTGCTACCACCAATCTTTCCTACAAAGTCACAAGCCTTCTGTCATTGGTCCTCAAACATCATTCGCTCTTCCCTTAACACCCCTTACTCCTTTCCACTCTTGAAAAAATGTGCAAAACCCACAAATGCCTATACGAAAAAACAAATAATTTTACTCCTCGCAAATAATATGGATCATTTTAAATAATTTGCACTTGTAGATTATCTATAAAAATTTTTAGCTCTATTGAAATAATTTGTTAACATTCTGTAAGAAGTTTAGGTATAAGTTTAAAGTGTATTTTAGTCCCACATTAAGCCAACAGTGGTTGGTTGTGGTCAGGAGACCAATTTCATTCAATTCTGATTTCACATTTTATATTACCTGTATTTTTTTGTAAACTGAAACAGGCCAGTAAATTTCACATAATAGGTCTTGAGATTGGAGATTTGAGATTTTTAAAGTTTTTATATCAGTTTTGAGACTTGGAATTGCTGGTTTTGACCATCACAGAATATATACCTCAATGTCATATTAACTCACCGATGCAACGTTTGCCAGTGCCGTCGAGTGTGTAGCCGGCCGGACACTCGCAGCGGTACGAACCATCAGTGTTGATACAGTCACCACCATCACAGGCGTGGGGCATCAGCTGGCACTCGTTGAGGTCTTCACCTGTATCCATCCTGCCTGAGCCCTGCGGACACAGCTTCCAGAAATCCTCTGTAACGAAAGGAAACATTTTAGCCTCAGGACTAATAAAAGTTAAATTCCAGTTGTTCTATCGAGTGATTGGCTTCGCAACCACAGTCTTAAATCTCAAGTTGCATTCTCAAGTAGTAAAACAGTTTATTTTAGAGATTATATTCATCCATGAAGCTAGCAATAATTGTCACAAACACATACATAAACACAAATACACGGAAAAAATTAAACAAAAATTTGGCAAAATTATCATACTGATAGTAAATGTGTAGCGCTACTCCAGCTGGAGAGTTAATAATAATAATAATAATAATATCACTTTATTGTCATAAAACATTTTACATTCCCAGCAAAGCTGGTGAAACAGATGACATTGCCATTCTTAGCTAACAAAAATAAAAATTAAAACTAAGGATTAAAATTAAACTAGTCACTTTTTAAAAAACAGTCATTTAAATACTCTTCTATTGTATAATATTTCTTTTTTATAAGGAATGTTTTTAATTCTTTCTTAAACTTTACAATACTATTGATATTTTTTTAATGAGCAGGTAGACCGTTGTAAAGCCTCAGACTCATGTAGTACGGCGATCTTTCATACAGGCATAGCCGATGTCTTGGATACTGAAAATTATTTTTTGAACGTGTTTGGTATTGATGAATAAATTGATTGTCTATAAATAATCGTGCATTACTCTTGAAGTATACCAGAATTTTATAAATGTAAAGTGAAGGCATTGTTAACATTCCATATGTTTCAAAAAGCGGTTTACATGACTTTTTTTGCGTGTAAATGATAAGATTCTTAAAAACTTCTTTTGTATCTTAAAAATAGTTGAGGCATATGATGTTGAGCCCCATAACTCAATACCATATTGCATAATGGAAAAAAAATATGGCATAATAAACTATGACCTTTGTTTTAGAATCTATTATGTTTCTTAAAACATACATCTGGAAACAAGCTGTATGTAATTTTTTAGCTAATATTTCAATGTGATGTTTCCAAGTCAAATTTTTATCAATATTTAAGCCTACAAATTTTGTTTGTTCGACAAAAGCTAAAATATCATTTTCATATGGTAATTCAAAAATTATGTTTTGCTTATTTTGTAGTGTTTGGAATTGCATAATATGTGTTGTGTAATATGTGTGACTCACTTAAAGAAATATTTATTGCAGTTTACATCCACAATTTCCAAAGTTGTCAAGGTGAAGATATTTTCTAATACGGTCATCGTGAATAAAGAGGCAAAAGTGGAAAAAGAACAGAAGTTGGACAAAAAGGTCAAACTGGATAAGATATAAACAGTAGACAAACTGGTTGGTCAAACTGTTCTGGACAATATAAGAGCAAATTAACTAGACAAAGGGGATGGCCTGGACAAAATGAGCAGACTGGACAGATTAGATAAACTAGATTTGATACGATATTAGAGGTGTGCGGATAGTGAAATTTCATTTCGGATCGGATTCGGATCGGATAGTTGAGGCTCGGTTCGGATCGGATCGGATATTGGGAGGTTCGGATTCGGATATTTTCGGATTCGGATAGTTCGGCGCGGTTAATAATAAGCTGCATATGTATTTTTAACCTACAAAACAATGTAAAGCTGTGTAAATAAACTTAAATGACGATTTTGAACTATAGAATTTCAAATTAGCCAAGTCCACAGTTTTCTCTCTCTTGAAAATCACAATTCACAACATTTATTTTCAAAAGTTGGTTGCTTGAATTAAGTACACTAGCAGCCGAAATCTTCACAAACACCTTAGCTCAGCAGGACTGGTGTCAAACGTTTGGGCTTGTTTACTTGAGGTTATGATTTATCTTGTTTCCTGGTTCTCACAAGCCAAGGAGTTCGATCTCAAGTTTATTTTCACATTGTATTTGTTACGTTTTTTGGAACGGATTATTGGGCTTAAGTGGCATTTTGTGGGTTTGCCAAGTGTAGAATCACTAATGCACTAAATTGGCTCTAGCTCACGATTTGATGTTGGGCAATTAGACTTTATAACTGTGTAAAAGGTCCCTGAATTTATAAATTGCATTCTACACATATTCACTGCCAAACATAATTCAGTAGAACCTTGATGAACCGAGAATTACACTAGCCTAGACATAACTTCATTACCCCAAGTAAAATACCAAGATAATCTTTATAATTGTATTTGAATCTATAATCTTAGTTTGTTAAAAATGGATTGTATGTTCAACAATAATTGCAGTCCATTATTGTTAAGCAGTATGGTCCCAAATTATTGTTTTTGATTTTGAAACATCACAGTTCATTTGACAAAATTATAATTGAAGCAGCCCAATGTCAAGTCACCGCTTGTGCAATAGTTTGTTTACAAGCTTTCTCCAGACCACGGGGGAGGGGAGGGGAGGGTCTGATAAGCCGTCTATTGTTCACCCCCAAGAAGGTCCGACCCTCATTAGTGCCGCTCGGCTGCACTCAAGTGTTTTACCCCCTGCTGTGCGCTATGTCATAAAAGCTGATAACGACTTGAATGCGTGATAAGGGAAACCCAAGAAATAGAAGAACAAAGAGAAAGAATAATGACGTTGTTATCTGTATTCCCTTTTTACAATTTCCGTTATTTTTTGTTATCTTTATGTAAGATTTTATGATTTTGTTTTATAGGTTTATAAAATAATTCTTTTTAACTACGGGAATATCAATTTATAATTTATCAACGTGCTTCTCTTCTGAAACAGCAATACCGGATGCATAATAAAGGTCAATGACCTAAAATATCACGATTGTGCAATATTGTATTTTGATGTTGAAATTAAAATCACGACAAAAGTTTGTATATATCCATGGTCCCTATCGTTAAATCATTTAATATGTACACAATAAATGCTAAATAATCGTGGTTAGTTCTAACTTTATTTTTTATTATTCAAAGTTTCTACACAGTAAGACAATCCAAAGTCAAACCGGGCAATGAATACCCAAAAAACAACGTATCTTGTCCTGTGATTGGAATACCACTCGCCGGCCAGTCCTTTCGGTTTAGGGAAGTAGTGCAAGTCTATATATAGCTTCAAGGTCTTACCCACCCCTTCCCCCTCCGGTCCTACTTGACTCACTACCGGCGCTCCTTTCGAGGTTATTGCCCAACCCCTCCCACCCTTCTATTGTGTTGCCTTTCTATTGTTTCTATTCTGACTTTTTTTCGGGAAACATTTAATCTATTGTTTACGTAACATCACAGTAGTAGGCTAGATTTTTCTACTTTGAAACAGTACTGTAAAAAAACTATTACGCAGCGCCCCTAGTATCAGGAGCAAGACAAGCACGAGTTGACTTTCATTTGACCATGGTAGTTCTTTTCTGCTTTATGTCTGTTCGGTCCAGACGAATCTAATCGTAAAGCAAAACAGCCGATAACGACTAAACTAGTTATCAGTATTGCATCATACGGCTTCTTTGCCGTTTGCTGTTAGGTCGTTGGAAACGTATTGCTGTAATTTTGTCCTGGGAAACTAATGGTGGTTATAGAGGCTTTCTGTCCAAAACGTCAAAATATATTTTCTATCCGAAAAAGTCGGATATATAACGGATAGTGTCGGATATCGAATTTGGGCTCGGTTCGAACCGAATCCGACCCGATGATTTTTCGGATATCCGCGATATTGATAAAATGAAGATAAAGTGGATGAACTGAGAAACAAGTAAATTGATTCAAGGAGTGGATGTATGAACAAAATAAACAAAAATATGAAAATTGGGAATAGAACCACACGAATGAATTTAAAAAAAAATGGATTGGACGGATTAGTAAAATGAAAGAAATTTGTTGTGTGGAAATATTTTAATTCACTTTAAAAAAAAATCCTTATTAATTGAGGCATACTGGACCACAATAGTCTTCAAACTTACCATTTATTACTATCAGGAGAATTTTAATAACATGTCTGTTTTCACTCACAATTAAAGTAAAAAATACGCAAACATCTTTGCAAAGTCTTTTGGATTAATTTTAAATATTAATTTGTATTTTGTAATTATGTAATTGCAACTATATATTGTATGTATGTAATTTAACTTGCATTAACTTTTAATTAAAAAAAAAAACATTATTTAAATATTTTAACAGCATGTTTATTCTGTATTATATTTCTCTACTGATTATATGTTTTCTTCTATAAGGTAAACCAGCAACTACTTACGCACAAGAACAGATTGAATTCATTTCTCAATTATCTTTGTCTCGGAGACTCACCAGTGCCTTGCTTGGGACATTGTTCACAATAGCGGCCCCAGGCAGCTCCCATAGAACAGCAGCATTCCTTCACAGTCATTGGCTCTCGTCTGGCCAGCGAGCATTTACCTGACAATCACATACGTACTGAGTAGTAAAGCAATAAAAAAAAAAATAAATATAAATCATCCATGTCAAAATTGTACATTATGGCTTTAACTATTTGAGAACAACCATTGAAAAAAAATAAATTAAAATCATTAATTAAAAAAAATAACAAGAAAATAAAAGTTTACAAAATAAGTTAATACTGTTCTATGTTTTGGATTAAATATCAAGTCATGGGATGAGTGTCTGTTCATATATGAATGGATTACCTATAAACACGGAAAAATACAGCTGCACATTTAAGAAGTGCCTGATTTCTTAAACTATTTTAGTAAGTATTATTTTAAAAGCTATGGCCCATTCCTTTCTCACCACCAAACCTCCTCTTCCCTTTTTACTCAAAGTACAAGTTTTTTCATTGGCAGATAATTTTAAGGACTGCTGGAATTAGGTATAAATTAACCTTCCCACTCCTTATAGCTCAATTTTTTTTCATGTAACAATGTTGTATTTTGGGAAGATTCAGTTGATTTTGTGTAAATACAGATATATTAGTTTTATCTATTAGTTTTAAGTCTTTATTTAACCATTGACAATATGTCCTGTTATTATGATGTACTGACACGTAACTCAATAAATAAATATAAATTAACGACGATCGCGCCATGACCGCGAGTCATACCGACGATCTACCCGTGACCCTGAACTCATACTTAAGTCATACTGGCGATCGCGCCATGACCACGTCATACCGACGATCTTGCCGTAACCGCGGAGTCATACCGACGATTATGCCGTGACCACGAGTCATACTGACAATCTATCCGTGACCGCGGAGTCATACCAACGATCATGCCGTGACCATGAGTCATACCGACGATCACCCATACCGACGATTCCGCCTTGACCACGTGTCATTTTGACGATTGCTCAGTGACCAAGAGTCATTTCGACCAAGAGTCACAAGTTTCTATACCTGTAAATTTTTAGGCCTCCCCATTTTTTGTTTTTATAGATCATTAACAAAAATGGTCAATATTGATTTTGTTTGTCCTTTTTGGTAACTGCAATACTCAAGACTTTCTTTTCATGCACAGGAAAAAATCCCGTCCCGTCCCGTCCCGAAAATCAGGAAGGAAATAAAAATCCCGTCCCGTTCCGTCCCGAACTAAAAATTCAATCCCGTCCATCCCTAACTTTTACCCAACTAGATCCTGCTTATAACTTGGTGACAATTTTTGGTCTTGGAGACAACAATGTGGGGTATGGTGTGTAAAGCAGGGAGCACAAGACAAAGCTAAAGAAAACATCAAAACCAGTAGGGGTGGTGTGCAGTGTTACAAGACCACTTTGTAGATCCCGAGTCTGCTGCAGAAGCTGTGGCAACCAGGGCTTGAGAGATCCTACAAACCGGACCATTAAAGTAACAAATATTCTATATGGGGATTGTGTTGGAAAAGTGGTGTAACTGCTTAGGAAAAAGCTTAAACACAAAACTTTGTAAGGATGTTAATGGAAGCCCCTGGAAACATAATGACTTCCGGGAAATTTCCTATGTTGTAATTCAGTCACTTTGCAAAACTAGTGTTAATGTCACACTACGGGGAGAATAATGGCCAAGAGAAAATAATAAAAGCTGTATAGATCAGATAATAAACAGAAAAAGAATTAACTTTAGTTGTTACAGTCAACCCTTTTACTCATGAATCATTTCAGTAGTTGTACATTATTTCTACAATCAGTTCATCATAAACTCACCTGCATGCAAGTCATCGAAGCACATGTCCTGCCTCACGTCGATACATTTCATGCCGTTCTGGCTGAGGATGAATCCGTCAGGACACTCACAGATGAAACCTCCCTCTGTGTTGATGCAGGCTCCACCCTCACATATACCTGCACTGTCCTGGCACTCGTTGATGTCTACAATAAATCAAAAGCTTGTCAAAACATGTTTAAGCCTGTCAGAACACTGTGTTTCATCACACAAATCCTCTTACTTTATGCTGTGATTGTTCTTTGCAACAAGGTTAAGAGTTAAGATGTCTAACAGACCATTTTCAAGTTCTTTTAGAAGTGGATTAAACTTAGCTCAACTAAGAAAACGAGCTAAACTGAGAAAATGTCTCTGCCACTGTCCCGTTAAACTTTTAAAACCCATCTATGCACCAAGTTAGCCCCTTTCATTACTAGAAGTATGGCTTCCATAATAGCACTTTATGGTTTGGGTCTACTCTGAGGGAGGAGCCTGATGGAGAACTATTTATCCCTTACACTAGGTAGGTAATGTCCACTAACCTTGACACTTGGTCTTGTCCGGACTCAGCCTGTAGCCTGAGGGACAGGAACACTGGAAAGATCCCATCAGGTTCTGACACCGACCTGGCGACCCGCACATCCCACCTGTCTGACACCACAAAACAACCTCAACAAAGCTAAATGTCAGCTATCTTCGTCCAATTAACTTTTGTATGTTTGAGTGTAATTGTTACCATACCTTATTTACAAACCAAATTTATAAAGCATGTCTTGAGAACAGTTAGAAACTGTTTATTGAATAAATTACTAAAATATCCTGTAAAGGATGTATGCAAGTAAGTATTAGGTGTAAACAATTGTGCTCACACCTATCAACAGGAACGACAAGTAGATGTGATGAATACAACACCTGTTGTGATGCTCTCGATTAGGTTACCACCAGGTTGTAAAGGGGAAGTGTTTGGTGATGTTTTGAGAGTAGGCTGGATGAGTGTTGGAAGTGGAAACAATAACTTGATCTGCTACAAGTACTGGCCTACACAAAGCACTTGCTCTAAGTAAGAAGCGCAGGTTGTTGGATCAGAGATACAGTCAGTGACAGGCAAGCAAGCATCAATCCACCTAAATTTTTATATACACTATAAGCTAATGCAGACCTGGATCTAGAGTCTGCATCTTAATATAAACAACTTCAGTTAATGTTACCTGAAAAACAGTTCTGATACCAAACTTATCAGCCAGACCTGACATTACCTCATGGCACTCGTCGACGTCCTGACATTGCTGTTGGTCCGGTGAGAGAGTGTAGCCGTCCGCACACTCACAACGGAATGACCCAATCACATTGCGGCATCTCCCATTACGACAGAGGTACGGCATTATGTGACACTCATCCACATCTGTCCACACATCATTTAATCATTGTTATACACAAATAATAACATCTGCGCAACCTTGAGATTTTTAATCAAGCTTTAACAAAAGCACAAGCCCCCCATGGTTGCTGATACATTCAAATCAAATCAAATCATCTTTATTCAAGCTGTACATACATACATGAATAGAGTCAAGGAAATAAAAACTAACATTATGCTAGTGATGGCAACAAATTGTAAACTTCTGTGATGTTGAAGAGATTATTATTATCTCCCCACCGAAGGCGACAGTGTATTTTGAATCACGCAATCTTCTAACACAAGTGTACATGTTGCTCGAAATCGAGCAATTGCAAAGAAGTAAAGTACGGTAGTTGTTTAAAAACAAATAACTTATTTATAACCTAATAAAAGTCATAATTTCCGATGAGTTTAAAAGACTCAACTCATAGATCACGTACCTAACAGTTCCATATAATCAACATTTCTTGTAAATATTTTATCATTTTTCAAAAGCTGATCTAGTTTTTTAGTGTATTTTACAAATATTTCCCACTTATAGCCGCATTAGGTTGTCCATGTTGATCTTCGTCAATGATAATGTAGTCTGCATGGTACTACCCATTGTTGCCAGTACGTTTACAAATTTTTGTAATTTTTTTACAACGATAACATTTTGTTTACATTACTTAAGAACTGCCTGATTTTCTGCATAACCTCTCTATCACAATTGTATTCGCTTCAATTGGCAATAATTTGGCTAGTTACTGTTATAACGTATGTTAAATAATTGAGTACACGTATATTCAATTATATACGTGTATACTCAATAGATAAATTTACCTGAAAAAATGCAGAATTGAAAGGCCTAATATTGTTCAGATGGTTTTTTTGTTTCCCTTAAATGTGAATAATGCAAATCCTTCAATGAAAGTTTTATTAAAGTTTTTTGGATGTAGTCATATTATTTTAAAATCTCTTGACTTCTAATAAAACATATATTTAATATCCTTGCCGTAACAGTTTAATTCAGCCTTAGAGTGTTTTCCTTTGCCAATAATCATAAAGTTAAGTCCGTGTTTCCTACAAAATAGTAAAACTTCGACTAACATCCTTGTTAATTTTTTGTGGGAATATTCATACTGTAGGTGTTCTTTATTATATAGGAGGTAAAATATATCAAATTGCCAAGGCTTTCTCGATTATTTAAATTGTAAATTAAAGTAGTACATTTATTTCATTTCTATTCAACCAAAATCAGTAAATGAACCCAATGCGTTTCGTTGAATTGAAAGATAAATAACAGTAATTAAATTATACAGCTGATCAAAATGTAAACAATTATGTTCTTCATAAGGAAAACATGGGAACCTTTAAAGTTTAAAGCCACTGGGGCAGAGCCTAAGGGACTTTTTCATAAATGTAAGGCCAGTTTGCAAATCTACTCGACACGCTCTTTCCAATGAGACGTCAATGGATGAAATCGGTTAAGAAATGGCGGAGGAGTTCAACCGACAAAGTTTCATGTAGCGTATTAATTATAAAGATTACGATAATATCCTGCATATAAAAAAGCTAGGCTTGGTTTGGCAATTTAGCTGCTTTCCTACACATGTCTTATTATAGTAAAAAGTTAAAACTCAATGTATAATCATTACTAACTCGTAAATATTAAGTACAATTTTATATTTACTTTTTATTTTATATTATTTCACCGACATTAAAATAATTTAACCCAAGTAAAACAAAACGTATAGAAACTTAAATTTTTCCTCTAATAAAACAAAGTTAAAATAAATAAGTAAAACTACGCTTACCGCAATAGAAAACACTATTACCACAAAAGCTTCCTTCTGTGCACATGGATTTTGCTTGTGCATTGTCTCGTGCACATTTACTAGACAAAAGCTGACTAAAACAGATCTGGACATGAATTTTGCATGCTTCAAGAGAAGTTTATTAGCAGTATCCAAAGTCAATGGTTGAAGTATTTCTAAACTCGTAACAAATGCCTCTAGCACTATTCTACTACAAAACTGGAAGATAAGATGTATAAACTAACCTATGCAGTCGTTGTTATGGCTCAGTTTGAACCCAGGGAAGCAGTGACACTTGAAGCTGCCGACAGCGTTGATGCAGGTGCCATTGTTGCATATGTTGGGATGTCGCGCACATTCGTCTACATCCGCACACGTCTCGCGTGTTGCCGTCAGCGCGTACCCGTTGTGACACATGCACTGGAAACTACCTTGCACATTGTTGCAGTCTCCGTGCTCACAGATGTTGGCTCCTTCCACACACTCATCCACGTCTGGGCAAATACAAATGCAAATCAGATTGCGTCGGAAAATATTACTGTTAGACTATATGGAATAATATTAATTAATGCGGGGCACAAAATATTGCAATGACACTTTATAGAAATAAAGCTTGATAAAAAAACTCACAATAAATTTAAAACTGACAATATTTTTATTTAATGGGTTGAATAAAGCACTCTGTCATAGCTATCCACCTAGCCTGGACGGTAATAGTCAAATCATGCAGATAATTTGTATTTTTTCACATAACAATCAGAAACTATGGAAAATACAGTGTAGAATCACATCATTTTGAGAACAATCAACCATCCATTGGTTAAAAAACCTCGGCCTAGCTAGAGAGAGTTTGTTGTATTAATAAACTATTACATTACAGTACGTGGTAATTTTATTACAATATTAATTTGTAGAAAGCATGATTGCCAGCATATGAGGTCAGACATACCTACACAGTCACGCATACTCATGCCCAGTTTGTATCCCAGGGGACACTGGCACTCGTAACTGCCCGGGGAGTTGATACATTGGGCATTGCCTCTGCATGGGCTGGGAATACGTAGACACTCGTTGTCATCTGGTACAACAAACACATAATCAAAAAGATTAGTACTAGTCAACTAATAAACAAGTACAAAAACAAACAGGTGACACTGGTATTAGAGTCAAAGAAACTTCAAGACCTTTCCTGGAGTGAAAATACAATAGTTTTACTCTATTCAATAATTGTACCTTCAGCAAAAATAAAAATACCTCTGTCGCAGCAAACCTGCAGACTAAGCTAATTTCCATTTACCTGGCTAGATTTCCACTAAAATACTCCCTCTAAATGTTCCCATAGTCCGACCATGCTGGTTCGGGAACTCCTCGGAATAAACATAGGTTTACATGCTTGTACAAAAATTCTACCAAAATCGATCATTTCTGCTCAAGTTATTGTGCTAACGGACACACATATATGAATTTAAACTGAGGGTGTTTTTGGCCTCCGGGTACCACATAACAAAAAAGTAAATTGGTCCTGGGTCCAGGTCTTACCATGAGACCTACGGTAATAGCTTATTTCCTATATAGAAAATTTGCAAAAAAAAATACGCCATTGTCAACTTTATATAGGTAGCCGAGCAGTAAAAGTGTCGCCCACCCAAATCTAAGCCCAGATTTTTTGTTCTAAACCCAGATGCAATTATCATCTGGCTATCAATAAATTGCACTATCTAACACAAGATTGGGGTTAGATGCTTAGATAAGGATACTTAGAAAAGGTTGACATTAGGTTATATGCCTAACAAGACCAGGGTTTGATATGTAACCTAAAAAAAAAACTTCAAAACTACTAATGTTGTAGAACAGTTAAATAAAACCATACAATTATCCAATTTTTAAAGGTTGTTAGGTTATGTTAGTTACACACCCACCTATACACTGATGACTCTCCACATCATAGACAAACCCACGGTTACACTGACACTCAAAGCTGCCGGGAGTGTTGAGACAAGAGCCGTGATTGCACATGGTCGGCATCAGTGTACACTCGTCTATCTCTACACTGGCGTTGGTCATCGGGTCCATGATCTGACCTGGCTGTGTGCCGCATAGCACCAGATAGTCCTCTGTGAATGTTACAGAAACTGTGCGTTAGACTTCAACATTGTATTGATTGATATAAGAGATAAAATTGCCTTTATTCAAACTGTACATACATGCATTATTAAAGTAAATTAGGAGTATGTTAGGTTTATTTTGTACATAAAAGGCAATAATGAACTTTTGCCCTAACAAGGAGAACATGTGAACACTAATAGTAGTAAGTCTAAATTTGTATGATAGATGTATTTGAAAAAGAGGGCTATACTTGAATATGTACAAAAAATGATCCCCAAAATACCAATATGATTTCAGGTTGGCGAGTTCACTGATACTGACTTGACTTGTCGGCTGGGCAGGGCTGGCAGGGATCGCCCCAGGCTTGTCCCATACTACAGCAGCACAACATCCGAGTCTGCTCATTGGTCATCGGCTGTGTACAGCGGCCGCCCTCGTACGACAGATAACACAGCTCCTTCCTCATGTCCACACACTCCTCTATACACAGTCACACACTTAGAAAGTCAACAAACATATGCTACCTCATAATAGCTGGTGAAAGAGGTTGGATTAGAACACAAAACTTATGTCAATCTTGCTTTATGGTTAAAAAGGCAAGGTATTGGTAAAAGGGCTGATTCAATAATCATTAAAAAACTTCTGATTAAAATGTTGACTTTGATTATCAATTCCAAATGCAGCTCTGATTACTGACTAATCTAGACATTTTTTGCCCATTCTTACAATAGCCAGAATTTTAAAATTTGCCACAATTTTACTAGCACCATGCATTTAAAATGGAGTAAATTTAATATATTATCAATGGATAGTCATTAGAATATCAAAACAGGGACAGTGCTATTTTTTATACAAATATAATAAAAATAACTTAAAGAATCATTGATGTTGGTATGCCTAACTTAGCAGTCAATAACTAAATATATTCTGGACGTAATATATATTAAAAATTGGTAACGCCAGTTAACTATGATGCAAATTGGTGTAGGACAGTAGGACTATCTGATATTTATGTGTTTGGTGTTAAATAGCTGTCTCATAGTGCACTTGCAGAGCAGAAAAAAGTTAGCTTATTGTCCACCAATAAATTACTGCACCGGTTTTGTTTTCAATAAATAGATTCATTCGTAAACTAACTTTTGTTTCATGGTCTTGAAAGTATACAAAACTACAACAAAGCTAGACATAACTTACAGGCTAAGCATAGCATAACCAAAAACATGAACAGTAAAATATAATACAACTTGGTAAAAAACATAAATACGTATTACTCACTGCCATTGGGTAGAAGCATGTAACCATCAGGACATACACAGTGGTAGCTTCCATCATCATTGATACAGAATCCAACACCACATATCTCAGGCTTCTCTTGACACTCATTGATATCTGGAACAATATCATACAATGCTTGTGGCTTCTACTGTCCCCTCAGGTGGGATTATATTTAATTTAGTTAGTTTAACTTCATGTAAATTCAACTTTCTATTTAAAGTTGTATTACCGCTATAGACTCTAGAGTCTTACTAAGATTCTCACTTTTACAAAACAAAATAATGGACAAACAAAAAGATTTCAAAAATATGTTCAACAAAAATAACTTACATTTTATAAGTTAACTCAATAAAATGCCTATTTTATTAGGGGTCTACGGTATAGAAAATTTAAGGTCGGTACGGTTTGGTACGGTACAATATTTGGTACCTCGGTTCTCGGTAAATAATTGGTACGGTACGCGGGTACCCGTATTTTTGTGGTTTTCTTCTCAGAACTGTATTTAAACCATTATTTTTAACTTTAATACATTGACATTACTATGAAAATGGATAGTATCCTACATTCATGGTTTTCTAACAACAATTACTGTACCACACATTATTAAAACAAAACCTTTTACTACTACGAGGATTGTGTCAAGAAAAATCACAGTTAAGATAAAGGCTTTACCTATTTACTCTGAGATACTTTGAATAGCCATGATAAAGTGGTTTAAAAATAGGATAAGAGTTTTTATAAATAAACATGTTTGAAACATTTATTGACAAGATAATTTCACAAAACTGGTAAATTATTTCCAACCAACACAATGTCTAGTTGTTTTTTTTTTTTAACTGTTAAAAACATATAAAAGCATTCAGTACGAAGACAGTGTAGTTTTGCCAGCTGTTCACAGCAAAAGACAATGAAGAATTGGAGGTTATGATGAAGTAATGGCAAAGAGTATCTTTTTTTATCAGCTTCAAAACTAAGATAGGTAATAAAGATGGATACAACTCTTGCAAAGTTTTTTTATGAAACTAAAATTTGGATTATCACAGAGTAAGATTATTGTCTTTTCATTTACAAAGTTAACATCCACAATATCAATCATATCAATCATTAGTTTATATCTCAGGCTCAATCAAATTTTCTTAGTATATTTTAAAGCTCTTCCAAAGAATCAAAGGACCCAGGCCTAGACCTAATTATTTAGGAGGGCCTATATATAAATTTATTTATAATGAGAGTAGCAAAATCACTATCTAGTTCATAAGATTTAGATTGCATAAAGTACCTTCAACACAATAAAAAATACAGGAAACTAAAAAACATTTAAGCCTTAAACAGCCACATCTAACAATATTAGACAAGATACAGAACATGCAATGACATAATTTGAGACCGAGTAGGATTGCATAAAAAAAAAATATATATGCAAACAACAACAACTATGCTTGAGGTTTCGCCAATAGAAAGATAAATTATCTATAACAAATATTTTAACTTATAAAATAAGATTGTAGATTAGTTACAAGTTTCATATGTAGCCATAAACAGTTTTATTGCAGTAGGCAATGGCCAGCGGCAAATTGAATATTCACAAAAATACTGACTGAGTTAGAGATAACATTTAACAGTCATCATAAAACTATTATTTTTTTGATAAGACAGAATTGGGGAAAGTCGTAAAGAAATAAAAGAGTTTTTCAGTGGCGGCGATAAGACCCACAAGTTGGGCCCCCTCCCACTAATCTTAAAAAATATTATATATAAAATATTATATCACATGTATTACCGCCTAAACTTGCACTTTAGCTTGGTACGGCGTCTCCCGTGGCGTCATCATCGTCTTCCATGATCGCGGCAAAATGACCTATGACATCATCAGATAACAACATTATCGTCTCCCGCATTCACGGCCCAATCCCTAATATCTCCTGCCCCGCGACCCGTGGTGACGGGGAAATAATTTTTTCCGCAATCGCAGCAAAATCCTAAATATATCTCGCTCGCAGAAAAACGTCAATAACGTCTTCCGCAATCCGGCAAAATATTGAACGTCTCCTGCGGAGACATCGTCATCGTCACCCGCGGGGAATGTTCTCGTCAATATCCGCGATTGCGGCAAAAACGTAGGCCTATCTTTCAATTTCGTGAGCGTAATCCTCGCGGACATAAAAGCTTTAATTTTAATTGGGCATTATTGTACTGAGAAAATCGCTTGAGCTTGATTTTCTGACTTTGTGCTTGATCTCTCAAGCTTATATACAGGCTCTGCTCGAGTGCTCGGCTCGAAAATCGACATTATATAAAAATCAACAGTTTCCAAAGCAAACCGATTTTGAACCGCTCTAATTTGGCCCGAGGCCTATAAGTAAGTAAAATTTTTTACCTGACTCTAAGTAAACAAATCTAAAGTGCGAAGTAAACAAATCTTAAGTGCAGCCTCCTAATAGTAAGAAATGAAGTGAAATGAAAATCCTTCTTTAGCGTCAATGAAAGAATGGAATTATTTATTAGCTAGTGCATCAGGCACCTAGGTTAATTCGCCGACTTGATCGTAAAAAATTGTCAAGTTCATTAAAGTTAAATCAGCATTGAGGGCCCTCTCTGGTGTGTCCCACCGGGGCCTAGGAGGATTAACATTAATGTTTTATCCTCCTAGGCCGGGGACACATTGGTTCTAAATACGGCCCTATTATAAATAGCGCCTTCACGCAGTCCATGAGGACTGTTGATGCAACCTGCATGACTGATGACAATTCTTTTACTTAGGTTGGTAGAGAGTTTATATCGATCGGCCAAATAATAGTGTCAGTTAAGCTGTTGTAAACTACTTGTCCTAGTGCTCTTACTGGGTTTAACAAATTTTCGGCATAAAAAAACTTATGGTAATTTTCATATAAATATTGTTATGATAGCGGGCCCGTGTGGCTGAGCCTGTCACACAATGGCAGGCCCGTGTCCCGGTAAAATTTCCCGAAAAATCCCAGTCAGGGCTCACGGGCCCCCGTAGCTCGCGGGCCCCCCGCTGCCACTGGATAAAACTCAACAGTTCTTGGAAGTACTTGAATAGAACTATTATTGTCGTGATAAAAAGTTAATGGATTTGGGACTGCTAATGGGTTTTTTATTGCATCATCACCCTCCTAATAAATTATGAAGATCGTAAACAAACATCTGATAAGACTTTTATGTGCTCAGAACCAACTGCATGACTACGATAGTAAACTGAAAGTAATTTATTATTATAATAGGCTGTACCGAACCGAATTTGTACCGTGTAAAATGCTGTACCGAACCGGTGAGGTAATTAAGCTTGTACCGTACCGTACCGACTTTTTCGGTGCACCGCAGACCCCTACTATTTATAGTTCTCTGGGCAAATGAAAGTGTGCACAATGTCAAATTAAAACACACACTAAAAATAGGATGAGAAATCTACTTGCAGTACTCAAAGTCAATGGTCAAACTACAGGTACCACTCACCTACACAGTTGACATGGGTGTCGTCCAGTCTGAAGCCTGTGTGACAAGAACACATGAAGCTGCCAAAGGTGTTTGTACAGTGGCCATTCTTGCAGATCCCTTCGTGTTCCTCACACTCATTGATGTCCTCTAATACAACCTGGCGCAATCAATACAGGGTTTAACATACATTCAAATACTGAAATTTTCAAAACAAGTGTGCTATTTTTTATTTAAAGTTTTTTTTTTTTTTTTTTTTTTTGGTGATGGTGAGTTTAAGCTAGGCCTATTTCAGAGATTATTGCTCAAAGTTTTCATTTCAGGTTCTCAGGTGATCATTCTTGTTATGTTTAAGGTATGGCCTACTCACAGTAAGGATGTTAGGTCTGTAGCCAGTGCCGCCGGGACACAGAGCCTTGTACTCCTCAGAGTCTGTGGGGGGACACGCCTCACAGGTAGGACCCCAGCCCCGCCCTACACTGCAGCAACACGTAGCCTTGGTGACGGGGGCTCCCATTTCCTGGCTGCAGCGGGTCCGACCCCGCCATTCCTCCACCTCTAGATAGCAGCGGGATTCTCGCTTGTCTGTTAACATATATACATTATTGCCATTAGTAGGCTATATTATATGTTTTAGCAAATCAATAGACTTTTGCAACAAAGTGTGCTTTTTTGGTTTGTTGCTAGCCTAGTGGTAGCATCCTAATCAGTATTCTCCATCTTCAATCATCCCTACTTCTGACAGATTAGAGTACATAGTTTTGTAACAGACTGTTGTTAAAATACAGGCTGTGTACCAGTTTAAAGAATTTTTTACCAGGATAAACACAAAAACACAATACAATTATAAAAGTATTTTACAACCATTGACTGGATTTCTAGTTTCTAGGATAAGAATAACAGCATAAGAAAACTAACTTTCTTTTTCTACTCTCTAACCTCTCATGGTTCAAAATGCTGTCAGTGACAGTGAAATATTTTAAATCTTGTTTATGGGGTAAAGAAATTTTTAAATATTTAGGAGTAACTGTAAATAGTAGAAACTCAGAAGACGAAGATATACTAACTAAGTTATCAAATGCCAATAAGTGTTGGGGAGCCTGCAAGAAGTAGATCTCATCTAAAGTATTATCTCACAGAACCAAAATATAGTTATATGAGACAATAATTCAACATATCCTGCTATATAGTAGTGAAACATGGGTATTGTCTAAGAAAAATGAAAACCGACTCATGGTGTTTGAAAATAAAGTCCTAAGAAAAATATTTGGACCAGTGCAGGAGGGAGAAATGTGGAGAATAAGGGAAAATAAAGAGCTAAGATCACTATACACCGACCCAGATATTGTTGCAATAGTTAAAGGAAGAAGGTTAAGTTGGGTAGGGCATGTGCTAAGAAAAGAGAAAGGAACAAGACTGTATCAAGTTTGGAGAGCCACACCCGGAGGTAAACGTCCATTGGGCAGGCCGAAATTGATATGGACTGACCAAGTATTGAACAACATCAGGACAATGGGTGCAAGTGTCAACTTGGCAGAAGACAGAGAAGGGTGGACGAGGCTGGTACACAAGGCAAAGAATCAACTGAGATTTGTGGAGCCACGGCAGTAAGTAAGTAAGTTATGGTGTAACGTTTACTATGATTCTTGTGTCGGAATAAACTCCTACCCATTGAGGTAAACTTATTTAATCTTTTACTTGTTCTTGCCATGATAGTTGACAAGGACTTATGACATGTTATGATGACAAATTATAGAACAATAAATCCCTTTTGCAGAGTGGCATCATCTTCAAGTTATAAGGAAGAAATGGTGTTTTATAGCATTAACATTCTATCTGTGGCCCAAAAATGAGCTATGCTACAACTTTAGCCATATTTTTGGCTTTTTAATGGTTCAAACTAGATCTAGCTTTCCTTGATCATTAGGTTTTAATTAATACCTCCAGTAGAACCCCTCATAACCGGCCAGCATCGGACCAAGCCCCTGGCCCGATAACGATTTGGCCGGATAATGATTTGGTAGGATAAACCAACATACTAAAAAACAATAATTTACACATAATAATAATGTTTAATCAATATTATGTGTGATGTAGGAATGGGAAGTCTAGTCCTGTAGTCTAGTGATATCACTCACCTACGCACGCATTACCGGCTGGCACCAGTTGGTAGTTGGGTGGACACTGGCAGATGAAGCTGCCTTGAGTGTTGATACAAGTTCCATACAAACAGGCTTGTGGACTATCACACTCATTCACGTCAGTGCAGTTACCTGCAAAACAATAGGTTTATCTTAGAAAAAGACTTTGCTATTTAGATCATTGTACTAGTGAAATTTGGTATGTGGCTTCATTTTACCTTAATTCATAGACTATGGTAGACTAACTTCAGTTTGGTGATATTAGAGAAAGTGATATATTTTTTGTGACAAGCATGGCAACCCATAAGGCCCATGTTAATTTTTTTAAATTAATTTGTTGTGCTTATTTTTGAGCCTATTTTAATTTATAAAGAAATTCTGCACATCTACAGGCAAATATTGTTGTAACAGTATTCGTATATTTTCCCTGTGATGCACAGGAGCTGAGAAAAAAGGTTTTAAAGAAACATGCTTCTTGCCTGTTAATTTATAGATGTAACACTTGACACTACGACAAATAAGATTACAACAAAAGGAGCACTTACCACCAGAGTTGTCAAGTTGGTAGCCTTCGTTGCACTCACAACGAAACATTCCAAAAATGTTCTCACACCGCCCGAACACACAAAGGTTGTTAAACATCATGCATTCGTTGATATCTGAAATTACATACACAGTTCATTAGAAATTGTATGAAAAACTTACTATAAATGGCAAAGTGTGTGGTAGTAGGTGTATGAGTGCTATTTTATGACAGCAATTAAGAAATCTTGATTATTAGGAGTTGATGGAATGCTTATTAGGGTTGTTAGTTTTAGTGATGGTCGGATCCGGTAATCCGATATCCGGATCCGACCATCACTAAAACTAACAACCCTAATAAGCATTCCATCAACTCCTAATAATCAAGATTTCTTAATTGCTGTCATATTTTGGATCCGGATATCGGATTACCGGATCCGAGCTAGAACCGGCACTCGATCGGATCCAAAAAAATCCGGATCTTGGGCTGGATCCGGTTTTGATGGATCCGATTTTTTCAGGTTTTTGACGTCGTAATATACAGTACTGTGACATTGTCCAGCCATACAGGTTATTGACGTCGTAATATACAGTACTGTGACATTGCACAACCATAGAGGTTATTGACGTCGTAATACACAGTACTGTGACATTGCCTAACCATACAGGTTATTGACGTCGTAATATACAGTACTGTGACATGGCCCAACCATACAGGTTATTGACGTCGTAATATACAATACTGTGACATTGCCTAACCATACAGGTTATTGACGTCGTAATATACAGTACTGTGACATGGCCCAACCATACAGGTTATTGACGTCGTAATATACAGTACTGTGACATTGCCCAGCCATACAGGTTATTGACGTTGTAATATACAGTACTGTGACATTGCACAACCATAGAGGTTATTGGCGTCGTAATATACAGTACTGTGACATTGCCTAAGGGCCCTTTCACACGAGGCCACTGGTGGCGGACACCGGTGTCCGCCACCAGTTACCGGCCGGGAAACTGCAGTGGATGATACATATAACTTACAAGCCACTTTACTACAGCCACTGTACAATGGTAGTTGTGAAAGTGCTGTTGTACAATGAACATCTCCTTCTTCTCGCGTTGATAATAAAGAAAATAAGGCAAAGACACAGGCGTACTATACCAAATTGCTGGTTACTTTTCAAATTCGCAAATTAGATCTTCAGTATCCACTTTGTCTTCTATTATTTTGTTTATTTCTTAGTCTGTTATTTTCCTTTGTCTTTTTCTTTTTCAGCAACGTCCTCTTTATTTTTCTTCTAATCACTCATTTTCACAAACAAACAAGGCAACACGAAAACACTCAACAACTACCATAGTGCGTTTGTCTTTGCAGTCTGCACGTGAACTGATTCAAAATAGTAGCTGCGCGCTCATCCACGGTGGCGGCCACTGGTTGCTACGTGTGAAAGCTCCCATTTAATTCAATGCCCCGCGACGAGTTGCCGCCACTGCAGTTGCCGGCGGTTGCCGACTAGCAGTTGCGCGAGGAGACACTGCTCGGCCACTGTGTAGTGGCGGGCAACTAGAGTGGCTGCGTGTGAAAGGTCACATTAAAAATAATGTTAAAGCTGTGGCGGGCAACCAGTGGCGGCCACCGGTGGCGGCCACCAGTGGCCTCGTGTGAAAGGACCCTAACTATAGAGGTTATTGACGTCGTAATATACAGAACTGTGACATTGCCTAACCATAGAGGTTATTGACGTCGAAATATACAGTACTGTGACATTGCCCAACCATACAGGTTATTGACGTCGTAATATACAGTACTGTGACATTGCCCAGCCATACAGGTTATTGATGTCGTAATATACAGTACTGTGACATTGCACAACCATAGAGGTTATTGGCATCGTAATATACAGTACTGTGACATTGCCTAACTATAGAGGTTATTGACGTCGTAATATACAGTACTGTGACATTGCCTAACCATAGAGGTTATTGATGTCGAAATATACAATACTGTGACATTGCCCAACTAATAGTTTCATTTTAAGATTTGGAAAAGTTTTAGTGTCCCCAAAAAATGAGGGATTATGGGCTCAACTAGAGATTACTCTATATATAAGCTATATTAACCCTTAAACATTACCAATTTAATTTTAAACAATAGGATTTAAATTAGCATTCTGTTAATTACTTTTTTTTACCAAGCCCTTATGACAGTGTGTATCTGGATCCGGATCCGAAGATCCAGATCCGAATTTTTAAAGATCCGGATCCAGATCCGGTACCAACATTTTCTTGGATCCGCCCATCACTAGTTAGTTTAGTTTTGAACCTGTGCTTTCTTCCATGATGTATTTATTTTGCAAATAATTTGTTCTTTTACTAATTGATAAGATTCAATAAATTAATTTAATAGACACACAAATTTTATCAAATGTGTCTTTTTAACACTTTTAATGTATCTACCTAATCTGTGAACGGTCGGGTTTATGAATGATCAATATTTAAAAAAAGAGTTTACAATGGAGATCGATTCCAAGCAGTGACACTGCTCATCATCAGGCTCAATCGGAGACAGAGAGATTTTTAATGACGTCCTTACTTAAAAACTATTAATATGGCTTTTGAAAGTATAGGTGTAGATAGGCCTTCATTGGAAAGTGTGGGAAGATGTGTTTTATGTATTTGTATAACCACACTAATACGTGAATTCTTATGCTAATCAAGAAATTTTTAGATCAAAAGAAGATTCTTACCGACACAAGCTGTCTCCCTCTTGTCGTCAGGGTGCATAAAGCCCATCTCACATTCACAGCGGAAGCTGCCCGGATAGTTGAGGCAGTGACCGTTCTCACACAACGTAGGATTGTCAGTGCACTCGTCTACGTCCTGACAGGAATATCCGTCTCCTCGGAACCCGGAGTCACAAACACACTGTGAGGGAATGGTGAAACAGACAATAGTAATTCACTGAGAAAGTCAAACAGGTACTATTTTTATATTCATAATTTGCATTGATTGTCCTTCCCGTACCTCTTCCATCCTTCTTCCTAAATAGATTTCCACCTCTCCCTTTTGCTATAGATGTTTCCTTTAGGCAATAAGTTATTTTTTATGAAGTTTTACTATCTACAGCAGTGTTGTTCGTTGCTTTTATGACTTCTTATGTCTAAACTGTTGGTCTCTGTTTTTTTATCTCTCTTTTTTTATTGATGTAAAATAATTTATTAGAAATAATTTAATAAAATATTTAACTATATATTTTTTCATCACTAGAAGTAAGGCTATCACAGTAACGTTTAACAGTATGGTGGTCGTAAGGTAGAACCGGGCTAATCACTAACATGGTGTGCTAACGCTTTGGTCTGATTACAGATTACGATCTTATGAATACTGTCAGATTAAATCTCAAGTAGACAAGTGGTAGAACTCTGTTACGTCTCAGAAGACGGCCATCAGCAACTAGGCTGAAACGTTAACTCACCATAATAGTGATGTGACACAATTCTAACAAAACATAACTTTCTCCCTCCCTGTTAATGATCACACATCAAAGAAATAAGTTCAATCAATCTGTGAGTGTTTAAACTGTTATTTGCAACGGAGGTCTACCTTGAAAGATCCATCGGCGTTGATACACTGAGCGTTCTGATCGCACCCTCCGTTGTTGGTGAGGCATTCGTTGATGTCTCTGCATGTCTGTCCATTACCAGTGAACCCGTCCGGACATCTACAGCTGTAAGAACCCTGTAACCAGCACACACCATCTGGGTTAAGGTCAAATATAATGTATTTTATAGTAAATTTCACAATAGATCTTTTTGGTAACACAAAATATTTTTGCTTTTGATAATAATCTAAGAGCCATTCCAAACAAGCAATTAACAGGTGTTCATCAACAAAGAGTACGATTATAGGTTTCATGTAGTACAGTCTACTCATGGCCATGGTACAGTATATTGACAATGAAACATTCATTTCCACTCTTTTATAGGAAGTGCTAGAAATTGTCCTATTTGTAAAGATTATCCTTTGTACTGATTAACTACTCATCAATGGTAAACTTTATTTTACAACTACTACGCTTGGGCTTTGTGTGGACAAGAGTTGATAGTGTGGTAGACAGGTCTGATTAATGGCTAATCTAAGTCTGGTGATAGTGTATGGCAAGTCTCTTTGTCCAGGAGACAGCAACTCAGATTGAGAGCTTTAATCCCTTCTCAGTCAGTGTGTTGTGCAGCTCATGAGAAATTCACCTATCTGTAACAATGCTAGGTGAGAAAGGCCCACCTAAACAGAGGACGGCTCGGATGGCAATTGACAGGATATTTTGATAGGTGTCTCCAAACCACACTGAAAACTTTTAAATAACTAAAACTTTTGTGCAGTGGAAAAAAGTGATTAAATATGCTCAAATCACTAAACAATCTCTGGAATTATAAAGTTAATAGAAGAAAAAAACAAATAGATACCTACTGGGTTATTGATGCAGTGAGCATTGATGTCACACTGGTGTGTGTCCAGTGCACACTCATCATCGTCCGAACACTGCGGTCCTCGACCGGGCTTGACACTGTAGCCGTCCTCACAGCGGCACAAGAACGAACCGATTGTGTTGTCACACTCACCATTACCGCACACGTCTTTGCCGCTCTCACACTCGTTCACATCTGGAATAAAATCACAAGAGTGTTAAGAAATGTTGCTGATTGGGGATAATCAAGTGTGTTAACGTGCTGCATCTGATTTTGGGTTTTGTCACAAATGCTTATATGATTTCATTTTTTGTACATCAATTCTACCCATATTTTGATTACAAATTCTGACACTTAATAAAACTAAGGAATATTGAAAATAAATCGTAAAACTGATCCAGTAATCATTTTCCCAAAAGCTACTTTTAAACAATTAAAACTCTGTGGTGTATTATTAACTGTTAATGTGTAATGTATAATTAACTGGAGTAGACTGCATTTTCAAATATCAGGGACGTTCTTAAGGTAGGATAATTTAGCTAGGAATTAGTGTAATCAGTACATCAATTTCACTAAGCCACTCACGATTCTACTTTGTTAAATATACTCACATCAAATCATAAGGGATATTGTAGAATGGCACATTCCGGGACATATTTTTAAGGGAATTTACAGTTAAAAAAGGTTGAATGTGTTGCAAAAAACGTATTACTGCAATACATTATAGAAGATGGAGAACAGATGCCATCTAACCAACACAATTAAATTAGGCGTTAAAAGGCACACAAAAGGTTCACAAGAGATTAAATGGATAGCCTCACCACAGGAGCTTCTAAGAATAGCAAATAAAAAAAACGGAATTGGCAGTGGATAGGTTATACCTAACAAAATGAACAGGATGCCATAGTAATACAGGCATTGGGATAGAAACATTAGGAATAGTGAAGGAGAGGATGGCCAAAGCAAGCAAACATTTTAAAAAGGGAACAAGAGAAGATGAATGAGATAGAGGGAGGAGTAGGCACTAGCTGGACACAAAGTTAAATGCTGTTATGATGAGGCGCTAAGCTCCATCTAGGAGCCACAGAAATCAAGTAAGGGACTTTCATAACAGAAAATCTGATGTAGGCCTACTTATAGACTGCTAAACATTTCAAAGAGTGCACTCCACCTACTCACCTACACATGACGATCCGTCAGGTCCCGGCAGCAATCCGTCTGTACAGTGACAGTTGTAACTGCCCATCGTGTTGGTACACTGACCCCCCAGACACACGCGGGGGTTCACCTTACACTCGTCCACGTCCACACAGCCCCGCCCATCAGGAGTGAGGCGGTATCCATCACTGCAACACATAGCGTCCTTCCCACTTTAATGTTGATAATACTTACCTTACAGGTACGTGTTGCCAGTTTACTTATAAAACAGTGCAAGTAGTTTTGTTTTTTACAAAAGGTTTAAATTAAGGAAATTCTTTAAAATGGAGAAAGTTATCTTTTTGAGAGATCTTTGTTTTTTTATTGATAGCTAATTGGTTATGGTTACTGTGGTTATCTTCAAATCTAATGGTTAATGGTTCAATCCCAAGTGTCAATTCTGGACCTAGAAGATATTTATTGTTATTGTTAGGATATCAATTAATGATCAATTAGTGATTAATTATTTGACTTGATTGATGTAGTTTGAGTCTGTAAGGATAACATCACTAACCTACATGCACAAGAGTAGCTGCCGGCTGAGTTGAGACACAAGCTCTGACATCCTCCGTTGCCACTGGCACACTCGTCAATGTCTGTTAACATTTCATCAGTCAGTAAACAAGAAGATGTTAAGGAAAGTAGCTATCAGTTAATCTTGTTCAAATGTATGGGAAGTCCTGAAAACTGTTCAGAACTATTCAGAAACGGCTAGGTTAGTGACTTTATTTAATAGATTAACTAAACTTAGTATCCGACTTTTTGATTTGTTTGAGTAGTAAAATTTAGCTAGCTAACCTAAAAAATGGGAATTAAAGGACTTAAAAGATGGTTAAATTAGTCTCTGAATAGCTTAAATATAACCCAAGCGAAATATTTCAAATCTATCAATAGGGGAGTCAATCTAAGCTCAAGTCAAGTATAAATCATAATATATGATTAGGTTCCTATGAAAAGGTTCCATATTGAATTTTTGCCAATCCTTGGACTTGTCCTCAGAAGCAAAAACACAGCACATACAAATTTGTATGGGTAAACAAACATTAAATTTCTCAGAAAAAAGAAAATCATTAGGCCTATGTCAGCATTTTAATAAAGGAAACAAATATCTAAAGGCAAACATCATGGTTAAAGCTAATTGCAGTAGGCATACCTTCACAATGAGACTTCATGTCAGTTTGCTGATATCCATCATCACACACACACTGGTAGGTGCCCATCATGTTCTCACATACTCCATTGCTGCAGATTCCTGATGTGCGGGAACACTCGTCAATGTCTGAAACATGACCACAATCAAATGTTAATGAAATACTACAGTTTTGCAATACTGTAAACTCCCACAAACTTGGCACCCAATAACCCTTCAGTTAAAATTCTTTGTGAACCCATAAATAATGTGTACCTACAGAAGTTGCACAGAACCCTAGGAGCCAGGGCCGGAACAAGGGGGGGGCAGAGGGGGCGGTTGCCCCGGGCGGCAGGGTTGAGGGGCGGCAAATTTCTGGTTGCAGTAAATTTGTTTAATACAGTTTGTAAAAAGTTTTTAATGAGCCGAACGTCATAAGGAACATCAATTAAGTAATTTCAAAACTGCATAACGTAATAAACAAACAATGATTTTACAATAGAAATCAATATAAATTGCAACGGAGTAGAAAACACTGAGAGCCCTAGTAGCTAGCAGCACAGAAAAGTTTGTTTATACTGTAATTTCAGCTGATCGCCATCCCTGTCAAGGCGCCATGCCGCCCTGCCTCACTGCCGTGGTTCGTTATATAGAGGTTAGGTTTGCAGGAATTTCGCTAAGTCGAGGTTCAGAACCAGCGTCGATCAATATAGGTCGGGACTTGACCTCATTAAAATACAGTACAATTAAAGTAGCATGGGCTACAATACTTTACAGTACAGTGTTTACATTGTACAGTAGAACCTAAATTATCCGGCATAATAAAGGGGAGGGATCTTGAATATTGCGCAATCATGACAATGGCATTGACCTTGGTACAAGTTAAAAACTATAAGTTTAAAATCACAGCTTGTTCTAACCCTCCTAAAACCTAGCCAAACACTGTATTGCGTAGTCATAAATTATGTAAAGAACAAAACAAAACAGTAGAAAGTTGTGTAGCTACTGCCCGCGATATGCCGGTAGGCTACTTACAGTACAGTACTGATTTATCACAACAGAGGAATGTCAATAATAATCATTAACTATAGCATTGGTGTTGCTAATAGTTGAAACAAATCGTATTGAAAACAATAAATTATTAGATAAGTCATTATAAAAGTGTATAATCATAGCCAACTTAAGGATAGTAAAAATACTCGTAAAAGGAATGTTAAAAAAACGATGTTGTTATTCTTTCTCTTTGGTTTTGTTTTTATATTCTTTCTTAGGTTTTTCTTTATCAAAAAAATTGTACAATTCGCCATAGTTATCCCATATCGCCCAATCACAGCTTACTAAACATTACGTCGTCATCAGTCCTCAGTGAATGAAATCAGTTCTCAATTGCAACATAGCGCGCACAGAGACAGCAGACAAAGATGTAAAACGGAGCAGACGAATGTTAGCGCAAGCGATGACGTGACCTTTCCATTTCATTTGATAAAGAAACAGATTTTCCCAAAACAATAATTGGGTGGGGGATTTGTTATATCGAGGGAAAGACGTAGACAATTTGTTATGCAGAGGTTAAATTCGCAATGTAGAGGTTCTGACAATGATAAATTTGTTATATTGAGGTGTCTTATTTTAGCCGAAATCACGAAAAATTCGTTAAATCAAGGTCGTTGTTATAGTTTGTTCGTTATGTAGAGGTAAAATATACATTGTGTCTTATGGAGAGTTCTAGGGGAATTAAAAAAATTCGTTATGTCAAGGAATTCGTTATATCTACCTATTCCACTTAACCCTCCATTTTTGTTTAATTTGTGAGGGATTTTTGTTGTGGGTGAAGGGGGGGGAGGGGCGGCAAATTTTAGTTTGCCCCCACTCAAAAATTGTCTAGATCCGGCCCTGCTAGGAGCCACTCTAGTGTGGACTGTAGAATTTGACAGCACCAATAGTAACAAAGTGCATTGTCTCTGCCAATCGGACCGAGCGCTATTGCCAAAACTATAACCAGGGAGTCAAGCAGTCGAGCATATTTGACAACTGGAGAGCTGCCTGTAGTCTAGCCAGTTAGTCTGTCAATTAGTACAATGACTTTGAATAAGTCTTTAGAAATGTAAATTATGGCTAGACCCCATGTTAAGAATGATGAAAAACTGCAATACTTGCTTATTTCTTTCTGTTTAGTATCCACATCTTTTCACAATCATGAATATGTCAATAAAACAGTCTGCATTTGAAACTCAACTGTCTTTTAAAGAATGTATATTTAGTTAGGTATCAAATCAACTAGGGATGGTCAAGTCTCGAAATTTCGGGAAATTTTTGGGAAATTTTAAATCTTGTTACACGAGATGAGATTCCTTTTGTGGCCGAGATTTTTATCGAGACGAGAATAAAAAAAAAAATTAAAAACGTCTGCAGAAAGTCAATGCAATACCCGCAATACAGGAGCGTGTTGTAGTTGCGTTTCCTTTGCGAAGGCGTTCTTATTTAATTAATTCTTTAAATGTAAATATTACTTTAATTATTTTAATAATATTACTTTAATAACATTTGAGAAGTTTTGTTAAGTGTAAGCAGTGTGAGGAATGTTTTATTACTATAAAAAGTCAAAACAAGTAACTATTTTATAAAAATTAATATTGCTTTTATTTTATGATTTATTTTATTTTAGGATAAGTTGAACTCTATCCTAACTGATATCACTATGTTTCCTAATCGTAGGCATTTTTAATAAGTTAGGCGTGATTAATAAAAAAATGTTATGCTGATGTTTTTTAATAAAAGATTGTAAATATTCTTGCCTATTATCATTGTTTTTGTATTTAAACAGTCATCTAACAATGTTACAAAATCAGGTAAAAATTTTGAACGTGCATTTCCCGTTGTGTATGAGAAGGGAAATCCCGTCTCGATCTCGTCTCGAAATTTTATGAGAAATAAAAAATCTCGTCTCGTCTCGTCTCGAACTAAAAATCCAATCTCGTCCATCCCTAAAATCAACCATTTTAACGGTTTCAAAAACGGAGTATCGATTGGGCCATGATAAGGTACTGGTATTAACTTTAAAAAAAGGTACCGAAAGTAACAGATGATAAATCAACATAAGGATCGGAATGTCATCACTGATGGGTAGCATACCTTAATTTAAGTTATAAACTTCAGAGTTGATATTTAAAACATACTTAGGCCTACATACATTCAAATCAAACATACTTATATCAAAGTTTATTGTTTTAGTTTGAATCATTAAATATTCCTGCCGATAATTTTTATTTTACCTTTACAAGATTGTTTGTCTGGTGCGAGTTCATGTCCCGGCGGACAGAGACACTTGTAGCTGCCAGGTGTGTTCTGACATGTTCCTCCTCGACACAGGCCAGGCGTCCTCTCACACTCATTGATATCTGCGGCAGATTAGAGAAACTTCAATCAACAAATAGTGAATCTATTCATTCAATGCATTATTTTATTAATAAGTCTTATTTTACCAAGTAAATATATTTGATTAAGCTGTTTGTTTATCAATCTAAATATTCTACACACCATCACTTCCCATGACTACTCATTCTCTGCTGTATCATGACTTGAAATCCCTAGGTTCCAAGATAAAAATAATATTGCATAATACCTACTAAATTAAATTTATCATCCTTCTTTCTACTAAAGTTCGCCTGTTTTGACCAGCTTATAATAAAATTATATAGAAGCAGCCTTGTTTAAAGTTAAAAAAGATTAATGCAATAACGTTATACATTGATTCAAATAATGAATATCTTTTTTAAAAAACGAGTGAGATGGTGTAGCGGTAGAGCGTATGGTTTCGATTCCCAGGGTTCAGATTCTGTTATTCTTCAAAGGCTTTTAGCTATGTGACGACCCTGGAAAGTGCAATAATCTGATACATCTGGATGAATCGCCTTAAAGACTTCCCGCCCCTCCCAGCAAAAAAAGTGTATGAAAAATATACTTTCATCTAAAACATTTATTTATAATTTATACATCATCAGCAGAATGCAGTATTGTACCATTATAAATATTACAAGGACACTTTGAATGTTTGCAAAGCAGAACACTGACTGAAATTCTTCAGCCATTAAAAAAGCTATGTCTTAGATTCAATCTACCTATGCAATGATATCTGAAGTTAAAGAGTTTCTAAATCAAATCATCTTTAATCCGAAGACACAAATTGTAGACTAATAAATACAATAGAGTACAGGCTAGGTGTCAACGCATCTAATACTGCTTAAGATAAATCTAACAGTGAAACAAAATAATCATTTAAAATAATTATATTAAATAATTAAATTTAAAAAAAATTGAAAAAAAATACAAGCTAAGGGCGTCACAGACAATGTCTCAAATATATACGCTTAGGGCTACAAATAGAAAATGGTGGAACATTACTTATCCATCAGTCTAAACCACGTTGGCAGACAGCCAAACTAACAAGTACTGACCCATGCAGACTCTCATCATGGAAGAGCTCTCGTATCCTTCCTTGCAGTCACACTCAAAGTTGCCTGGGGTGTTGCGACAAACACCGTCTCCACACACACCGTGCATGATGCTGCACTCGTCTATGTCTGCAACATTCAAATATTTCATACTATAGTTTAGTTCTAAGATTACAGCTGAAAGATTATACTAGCTCTCTCATTAGCTCTCTAAATGTATTATATGTATACATCCTTGCAATGATTAACTATACTGAACAGAGTGAACTTAGAATAGGAGAAGATTTTCATTCCCACGACACTCGAAGAGCTATAAACTATCTTCTCCCAACTCAACATACAACTCAATACAGCGGAATCCTTCTTACATGGGACGAAAGGTCTTCAATAACCTGCCCAAAAATAATATATAAAATAATAATAATATAAATTTTGGAGCTTTTTTGACATCCTCCCTGCTCCTGCAGCTACTTTAGTACCAGGAAAATTGAACTCCAATTGAAACCCAAATTGAGGCAACCCTGAGACAATATAAGCAAAACGATTTAATTTTGGTCATAAAATTTATTTCTCAGCAATATATTTTTCAATATGGTAAATTAATCAATGTAATTAAAAAGTTTAAATACAATTTAATTTTCTTACAAAATTTGTGTCAAACATGTGGTACAGACACAAGACAATTTCATCAAATGTGGTTTAATTCCTTACCAATGATAATAGAAACTGACTCAAATTATCTATACCCCAACAACTAAAATTGGTCAATACTGCAATAGTATACATCTACACTAAACCCCTTAGCTTTTAAATCAAAACCCTGATTAACAGTAAAATTGATGACGACTTTATCACTTTTAGCGAATTTCCCTATAGGGAAGTAGCTATTACCGTAGGTCTCATGGTAAGACTTAGGCCCGGGACCGATTTACTTTTTCATTTTGATGTCCCCAGAGGCCAAAAACACCATTCGTTCAAATTTTTATATATGTATATATATATATATATATATATAGATATATATATAGATTTATATATATATGTGTCCGTGAACACGATAACTTGAGTAATTTTTATCCGATTTTGATGAAATTTGGTTTGAAGGTGTAAGGCGGGATAAACTTGAATGAGTTCGCGATCCAGCATGATCGGACCATGGGAACAGGATTTTATGGGGGGTTTTATGGGGTAAAAATTGGTTTTTCTCACTTTTGACCCTCAAAACACAAAATTTTCCAATTTTTCTCTAAACCTTCTTAAAGAGCTTAAAAAAACAAACAATTCAGTATATCAAAGTGTTTTTGTACGGTTATTGGTTACGGAGAAAACTAAAAAAAATTTAAATTTAAAATTCCCATGTTATTCTTATGGAGAATATTGTAAAATGTTGTAGTTTGCTTGTTTATGGATATCTTTTGATCAAACTTGGCAAATATATTCATTTTATACTAAGCAATAATTATTTTACTTAAAACACACACTTTATTAGTTTCCTTGTAGCAGCAAACCTAGGTACTCGTTAAACCTAATGTTATTTAAATAGATCAATTGAAAATCAATTCAGCCAAATGGAAATTCGCTTAGACGGCAGGTTTGCTGCGGCGGGGGTATTCTTCAGGTTTTTGGGTTCTTCAACCTTCGGCTTTCTTTTCTAGTTAGGAATGCTCAAAAACTGTCTGGTGTTTGGCGTGAAAAACTTCACACTTTTAATTTAACAAAATTGGATTGCACCGAACAATGTCTTTCACATCAACACTCCAAGAAACCAGGTGGAATCAAGTTTTTCAATTTTTCAATATCATTACAATATAAATTTTACAATTTTTTTTCTGGCACAATTTTTTGATCAAGGGATTTAGGACAAGGGATTAAGAGAAGAAAAGGATATATGGTTTACAACCCACCGATACACTTGATGCCATTCTCGTCCAGCGCGTACCCTTGGTTACAGCGACAGTTGAAGCCTCCAATTGTGTTCTTACATCGTCCATTAGTACACATTCCGGGGAACTCTGTGCACTCATTGATGTCTTTGCGATCAACAAACCCATAACCCTGAAACAGCATTGGTAATGTATTGTATTTACTGTAATTTAAGTTCCTTTGTTGATTTACTTCCTTCAACAAACATTTACTTTGAATAAATTTAAAAACTGTGTCATATATCTGATGACCTGACCTTGGCTTTTATTTTGGGCAATTTTACTGATAACCTGGCATTTCTCAAACTTAGCACCATTCCAGTCCACATTACTGAGTTTGTGGCACTTAACAGACTATTCTATAGTGTTAGAATTTTCAAAAACTTAAAACCATACCTTTGGACACAATTCCTGGTGATTGTCAGTTCCTTGACGGGGGCATTGCTCACACTTGGTTCCATCGGATGGTCCACCCCACGCCTTCCCCACAGTAGAGCAGCAACACAGACTGCGGGGGTAGACACCTTCTAGCACTGTCACACCCCCGCCGTGTCTGTACTCTGTGAAACAACTCTCCTGTCTCACATCTAGACACATGGTACCTGCCGACAAACACATTCAAAATACAGGGTGTAGCAGAAAAGACAGATGCTTTAAGAACATATTATTCTCACACGGGTAGAAGGATTTGGGCAACTTAGGTGGTTAAGTATTTGGTTTTCCCTACCACTTTGTAAGTCAATGTTCTGGATCATTTAGACATGTTTGGTTACAACAGTTTTGTGCCTAGTTTATAATCTCCAGGCCTCCAGGCTCTCCAGGCAGTTAACGAGTGTCAATGTTACCGTATTTCAATCTTGCGGGTCATGATACTCACTCGTTCAGTAACACCATTTTACATTGGGTTGAATAATTTTGTTGATAAGGAACAGTGATTTATAGAAAACCAATAGAGATTCTTGCTTTGTATGCATTTCAGAATTGTTGAAAGAGTTTAACACACTCGGTGGCCCTGGTACTATAAAGGAGCTGTAACTTTTTATATGCTTCCAGAACAGCTAAAGCAAGAAACGAAGAAACCATTTCAAGAGCAAACTGACAGACTGGCTGCTAGAGGGTGCTTTAAGCTGGGATCGAGTTCACCCAAAAATTAGTAGAAAAAGAAAACTGCACTAATTTCCTTATGCTTATTAATAACTACCCAAATAACCTGTATATTTTAACGTTTGTACTGTCTATTTATTGTATATTGTACCTGTAGAGTCGAGGGTGAGGCCAGGAGGACAGACGCAGGTGAAAGATCCCTCAGTGTTGACACAAGTCCCTCCTCCTCTGCACAGTCCTGCATTCAGCTCACACTCGTTGATGTCTGTACATATCTTGCCATCCACCTGTCCAACAACATCACTGGTTACAATGCAATTCACTTAGCTTGTTATTCAGCAAGTAGTTTTAAACCAGTAGTGTCAGCAGTGAGTCAGATTTGGTGAGTCGGTGGCTCAGTTGGTAGCGTCACGGACTTTGGGCCCAAGGCAAAAGTGTCGTGGGTTCGGATCCTGGTCACTGCCACAAACTTTTATCAGTACTGTTCACCTTTGTACTGTACCGGCTCACCCCTTGCTTTGCTGGATACGTTCCACGCACAGATCTGTAGTCTATGTGGACGGGCAAGTGCAAGGTTAAAAGAGGCAGCCAACCTCTTTAAAAAAAAAAAAGATAGATTTCTGAGTTTTTGCAATGAATACAAGGGAATGTTGCTGGAAGTCAACAGTCCCGGAAGATCAAATAATTTATACCTGTGCCGCTAGGTCAAAAACTACAATGTTTGCAGTGTCTGTAGATCAAAAGTCCCAGTAAGTCAAATAATACAGTCCGAGCTAAAAACGTGTTCTATGTTAAAGCAATTGACTTATTGGGAATTTGACCTAATGCAACAGCAGTTTTAATATAACGAAATACGGTAAAATACAAGTTCAGTTTCGCTGACTCAACAGTGCCGGAAGATCAAAAGCAATAAAAGTGAACGTCGATTCAGTGTAAAGTAGACCTCCTGCAACGCTTACTACACCAACAAAACTCGCTTTTAGTTACTTCGTGTTTTGTCATAATTAGAATAGAGCTAAAATTATCATATTTGGTACATAGCTTATCTATTAATGCTTCTTGCCAACTGTTTGGTCAACACTGTAAATAGGTATAGCATTTCATTAAAATTTGTGGCATAAAATACCCGCAAGGACGATCTGAAAATTTCTGGTTAACATATACGTTTGTAAAAGGAGATCCATTTAATTGTAGAACTATTTTATGAGTATTAATGTAGTCTACATATAAACTGTGTAAATGTATTACGCCTTGGAAGGGTTGAAACCTGTCCAAACTATCATATATATTATTAAAACGTAAATGGGGTTTTTTCACGATTCTGAATCAACCAGACGATGGATTTTCATTAGTTTTGTGTTGAAAGAAAGACAATTTTGAGAACTAGGGAATTTCAAAGCTATAATTTATAATTAGTGTCCCAGTTTTTTATAAATTAAGTTTTAGTTTTTAAAAAGTCTAGCAGCCGATGCTAACCTTCTCCAATAAGTCAATGCTTCTAGCTAGCTTTTAGTACAATATAATTTGCTTAACATAACAGCTGTAACATTCAGCATTTGTGACACAAATTCAGCATTTGGAAGAAAATTTATATACATACTTATGGTTGGCTTATTTATACTATGTGTAATGCTGACCATTGATACATTTAATTCTTCGGTACGAGGATGGCACATTAATTAAATATGCATAGTAAAATACAGTAGTAGGATGTTCAAATTAATTATTTTTAAAGTATTCTTTGTAATCATCGATTTGTTTTAGTCCAATATAATTTGTTTTAACTAACAGCTGGTTGAATGTGCTATGTATACTTATAAAAGGCAAATCCCTCACTGACACACTCACTCTCACTCACTCATCATCACTAATTCTCCCACTTCCCATTTACCTAGGAGGCTGAAATTCGATACACCGATTCTTTGGGCATTAAATAGGAAAACTGAGTAATTTTTATTATGATAGGGCATTCGAGCTTCGCCCCAGTGGCTCTGGAGTTTCCCATGTTAACCTTATGATTTTTCATATTTAAAAGGAATTAATGAATCTTAACAGCTGTGTCAATTAAACAATTTATGACAACAGCTAATTTGCAACCAAAAGCTGAGTGAGCGTTTCGAACGAACTTCAACCTGGAGGCGAGTTAACCCCAAGGCAAGTGAGCTCAGCGAACGAGCTCCAACCTAAAGGTGAGTTAGCGTAGCGAACGAACCTCAACCAGGACGTGATTGAGCCATGCGAACGAGGTCATCTTGAAAATTAATTAGTTAAACGGGGCAAAGCCAGCGGGTACAGCTAGTTACTCTATAGAATTATTAGGTTTTTAGCGAATTTCGCATATAGGGAATAAGCTATTACCGTAGTACTCATGGCAACACCTGGACCCGGGACCGATGTAATTTTTCGTTTTGAGTCCCTAGAGGCCAAAAACACCATCCGTTCAAATTCATATATATGTAAGTGTATAAGACATTTTGGGGACTTGACTTTTTCGGGTCTCAAGAATTTATACGAAAATACACAATTGCAATATTTTGAGGACTTGAATTTGCGTATGTGTATAAGACATTCTGGGCACTTGACTTTTTCGGGACTCGAGAATTTAGTACTTTTCGAGGACCTGTGCAAATTATTCCATTCCAAATGCAGCGCGTTATCGATCTTCACCCTTGTGTGGGCCCTCCCATTCATTGACGGAATGTCTCGTGGCGTATGACGACCGGATATAAATAGTCACTTTACACTCACTTATCTCGTTATTTTTTCAGCATATTCGTTGACCCGTCTGCAGGTCTTTTGTTGACGGGCTGTCAGAGCGTCTGTTGCAATAACTGGAATTCCTTATGTATGTTTGCTGCTGATTACGGTGAAGTATTGTTAGAAATTCCACCTAATCTTTAAAGTTACCCATTAAATTCATAGAAATAATAATATTTAACTGTTTGACGAGTACCCCTATTGTATTCAAAATACTAAACGGCCCAACCCAATATTTAATACAAGCCAAAGGTGTCTTATAGATTCCGAGTAAATTATTATAAACTATCAAATGGAGCATGTAAAGTGCATTATAAATAATCAACAAACCCTAACATAATTGACTATTGATTCAGTTACTGATTCGGGAATTACAATTGCTGATGATAACTGAATGCTCTGACCTGAAGCAGTGTTCTTCTTTACTTCTTTACCTATAAAACACATGGGATACAGCCTTTCTTCACTGATCACGTAATGCGTGATTTTCTATAAAGTCTTGGAAAAATAAAAGGAAAAATAGATAGAATACAGGTGTATGTGGTTTACACACAGATATTCATCAAACTGTGTGATATTTTGTTATAGCAATGAACAATTTGAGAGTATCGTATTGTTCAAGTCGATGGAAAATCTCTGTTGATCCTGTTTTACAAGCAAACCAAAAAGATACAGTAGTCACCAGTCTATGCGACATATTCTAACCAGAAAATTGTAATCGTATGATTCTATAAGCATTGGTAGGATTGCAAAGTACTACACAAACATTATTTCAAGGGTAATAACAGTCACAATTTCCGCTGACTTTAAAAGAGTAAACTAAACTATTATACTAATGGACACACAACTAAATGGAACAACTAATGGAAATTCTCACGATGTACATTCGTTCGATATAAGCATTGAGTATACACGTCAGTACATACGTGTATACCCAATGATATAAGCAACGGTTCTTGCAATTTATTGCTTATTGTTTTTTAGAGTTGTTTTCGGACTTACTCACACTCGTATAAGGTTTTCCACGTTTGTCATTGATAATGTAGCCATGTTGCTTTGAAATGGCGACCATACAAATGTATGCATTTTAAGCCAAGTATGAATGGAGATGAGTGTGGGATGAGTGGAGCGATCTTGTTGTCCTGTTTGTGACTAAGGCCGACATAATCCTTAGACACAGCTGTTAATTAATAGTGCATACAGTCAATTAATAGCAGCAGAGGTCAAGTTTGGTATCAAATTAAAGGTTTTACTCATAAAAATACATTGCCGCAAACCCAAACTCAAACGATGATGATGATAATAACGTTAATGATGTCGCTAAAACGTATCGTTTGAAATTTAACAGCTGAAAATAAGTGAAATAGAAAAGGTTTTGGTTAAATCCATCAAATTGGAATTGGACACTAGTAAATACTAGTGCACTTGTTGCTACCTCCCCCCTTCGGTTTCATGTATTCCTCTCAATCAGTTCAAACCTAGGAGGATTAAACATTAATGTTACCTAATTAATGTTAAATCCTCCTAGATTCAAACCTGAAACACCCAGATCGAAACTCGCCTGTCGTTATTTTACCATCGCCTTTTTTTTAAATATATTTTTCAAAAAAGAAAGATTATATTGATTTACTTTGGATTTTAAAAATGTTAACGTTTTATTTTGTTAAAGATTTATGGTGATACGTAAATATTGTGGTGTAGTTAAGTATATTATATTGTAGTTAAGTGTTAAATTTTGAAATTTTAGGGTGAATCGAGATGAATCTTTTTTTATAACATGGGTCTCTCCTACCTTAACATACATACCAAGTTTCATAAACATCGGTTGGAAAAGTGCAAAGATAAATATTTGTATGTAAAAAATACAAAATGGTGGATATCTGGTTAATGAAACGATTTCGAAAAAAATGTTATCCTTGATTTTCTGTTTATTTTGACCAAAGGAATTACTAGGTAAAGTATCTCCCAGCTTATTTTAAACACCCTGTTTATGATGTATTCTTATAAGTGAAAAATGTAAGCTGGTAATACAGAAAGATGTTTTATAAATAATATAAATGTACTGGTGATCTGTATATTCATCTTTTTCTTGTCCTTAGAACTGTAAATTAAAAGTCTACTCAGCAGTCGCATCGTACGATGTAGTTCTTTCCATGCGTTGCGAAATGCTAAATTTGCCGTCCTCTTCAACCTAAGTTATCTATTGAACCACTGATTGTAAAAAATTAAAAAAAGAAATATATTTTACGCATCACACTTTTGGCTACAACATTGCCACAGACGAAACCTCTCTAACCCAAAAACAAACAAAAATCTCGCATGCTAACTTTTTCATGTTAGAAATCACAATTTAAAACTATTTCACCATACATATCAATTTTTATTAATTAGATCGGTAATTAGTTTAAAGTTCCGACAAAATAGTCATCGAGTAGGACTAACAAAGAAGCTCTGTGCCATTTTTCAAAATTTTAGCACAACTTTAAGTACACCAAAACACGAAATTATTGAAGTCTTGCGTCGAGAGGACTATCGTTGTTTTTAACAGATTATACTTTTGACCTTCCGGCACTGTTGACTTAGCGAAACTGAACTTATATTTTATCTTATTTCGTTATATTAAAACTGCTGTTGCATTAGATCAAATTCCCAATAAGTCAATTGCTTTAACATAGACCACGTTTTTAGCTCGGACTGTACTATTTGACTTACTGGGATTTTTGATCTACAGACACTGCAAACATTGTAGTTTTTGACCTAGCGGCACAGGTATAAATTATTTGACCTTCCGGGACTGTTGACTTTCTGCAACGCGTCCGAATACAAACTCTTTAAGAATTGAAATGCTTAATTATGGAGAATAGTTAGGCTGGAATTTTGCCCCCGAAATGAGCTTCGTGCAGCCGCCACTAGGATCGCTCGCGCGGCAGCCGTGCTACTCTATCCCTCTTAAGCCGATTTTTTGTCTCCACTTTCCCACTCAGTCAGCTGACTTGGCCGCGTGCTTGCGATAGTCTATCTAATGGCTGCCACAAGAACTAACCAAAATTCAAAATATTCACGGACTTAATTTTTAACAATGGCATTGCACTTATAGGTTTTGTATTCATTGGTTTTTGTTAGACAACTGGTGGTTTTTGTGAAATTTATTTTGCAGCTGTTAGTGCTGTTTCTAGGGTGTAATCAGATTTAATGAGACTATTGCTCAAAGTTTAGTCTAAACATTTAAGGGTTATTGTTTGTCATAACTGACTGCATTTAATAATGTTGTCTCTCTCGGAGGAAGCTTCTAACTGTTCCTCTCCACCTGACTTGGCTGGTTGCTTCTTTTGCAATCAATTCCCAAGTTTTGCTTTTCTCTTTTAACACTTCGACCAGTATTTTTCACTATTATTTCTTAATTTTGTACTCTCTCCTGCTTCTAGCAGGAATATGATTAAGTCACTGTAATTAAACATTGTTTTTTATGGTATGTAAAAATGAGGTAGGAAAACAAAAATTCTTTAGTTTTGCTTCAAAAGTCACCTTTTGATGCTCTTGAGCTAAATTTAAGTTGTCTCTATTGTCAGTTGGAGACAATACAAAGAAGTAGGAATGATTTAAAAACTTCACAAGGTATCTTTTAAGGCATCAAAATAGACCTACAGACAAAATTTGCCAACTCAACAGTTAACACATGACATTAAGAAACAATGAAATCAATTTTCAGGCTCCAGAAATGAAGAATTATGGTACTAGCCGGCAGGTCGCTGTCTTACTCATCTTAAGGAGTGTTAATAAATACTGCAATGTATGTTTATCTAGTACGATCAAGCTGGGAGCCACTGAAAATGATTCCAGAAAACACAAGGTGCCTGTAACAACATATCAACTACGATGACTATCCTCGGGCTTATCCATCGGTGCATCAATTCTTACATAATCAAGAGTCATAAGTCAGCCACATTTAAGGTTTTAAAATCAAATTTACCTTAGCGAATCCCTTGCTACAGTCACAGTGGTGCAGGTTACACAGTTCGCAAGGGCTGCCCCATGCTAGGCCTATGCTGCAGCAGCACTCTGAGCGCAATGTAAGGCGAGGTAGATTGTTCTCACACCTCCCTGCCACTAGTCTAGACCAGCATGTGCCTCGTCTCGCATCTGACCAACAGACAATCAATGTTACACATTTTACAAGTTACGGTTTGTTTCATAGTGTTCTGCTAATCTTATTTATCTAGTTTTAAGCACATTGAAATATCACCTGTGCTCTTGGCTGAGGTGGATCTCTAATAATGTGTTCATTGATATTTGATAACGATCAAGTTCTACACTCTCCCTCAAGACTGTACAATTCAGGTTCTACTTACTACTTACTACAGTAGAACTCGTACAGCAGTAGGAATCGTGATATCATTAACGCTGTAAAATATCATGTTAATAGTGAAGCGTAGCCTGCTTGTTTCAACTGTATCACAACCCTCGTGAAGTATTAACTATACAAGATAACAGTGTAATCAGTGTTATCACTGGACAAAAGTGAGTGTTAGTTGTATTAACTATACAATTTATTTATTTTTACACCTTTATGCTTTTTTACCAAGTAAGTTAGGTATTTTGACTTAGATTTGGATATTAATATGGATGATCAGTAATCAAAAATGTTAATTAGTTTAAAAGGTAAATATGCAAGTTGCACTGATATTTGAAGACAGCTTGTATCGCTGAAACTGTCTATTGAAATACATGGCTTATGGACACTCTAATCCTGCAACCTCCAACCAAATAATGCAAGTATAGAGACAAAGTATAGAGACTCACCAATGCAGATGCGACCTGTGTTATCCAGCACACTGCCAGGCGGACACTCACACTCGTAGGAGCCGATCGTGTTGACACACTCTCCGTTGAAGCACGCCTCCGGACCCAACTGTCGACACTCGTCAACGTCCTCACACACGTGCTTGGCCACACTCAGTTGGGTCCCTGTGGGACATATACACTGAAACAAATACTGCCGTTTTTCTTGTGCAAAGTACGTAAAATAGATTGTGTTTATATAAATATTCTTTGTTATAAAAAAAAACAGTTTTTGGTATTTTTTTAGGCTAAAGTGGTTTTTTTATCCCAAAAACGTCAGCAGGAGTATGTAGAGTAACAGTACAATTTTCTGTATTTAAAATTTGCCATCTGTAAAAACATCATCTTATGAATTAAAAATAGGTATTTACCTTCGTCTACAGCTCAATCTGTTGTAACTTGAGTAACGGCCGTTTCGGCATTATAATGCCATCGTCAGACGTTGAACATTCAGCTGAAGTAGCGTCGTCATAGTTGAAACACAAAACACGAACACGAATAACATTTTACTTTTACAATTACTAACGAAAACACAACGAACAGGCCTGTCGCACACACGGTACCGGTTGACATTGCCACGATCTGAACTGGATGCCGACTGGAGGTTAATCCTGCATCGTTCTTTGCGTAGTGGTGTTATCAGCTGACCTTTGTACTCCTGCCTTTTGTCTCTTGTCCTGGTCTAAAATACTATTGAAAATGATGTGTGATTTATATTGTAGTTTGTCATTTAATATTGTGTCATCAAAATTATTTTCTGTATAGGCTCTGTAAATTTCGTATTCTTCTAATGTGTCCAATTTATTTCCTTTCTTGCTTGTGTGGAGTATATCGAGGCCAGTGTTCAGATCATACATGTCATGGTTTTTATCAAACAGGTGTTGCGCAAAGGATGATTTTTGCTTGTCGGCTCTTGGACATGGGTGATGTTCTTTGTACCTGGTTCCGAATGTCCGTCCAGTTTTTCCTATGTAAAAGCTCGGGCAACTAGCACATTTAATTTTGTATACACCTGACTTCTCACTTTTGTCGATTACACGATCAGGAACGTTTAATTTATTAATTGTCTTGTTGTTGGTCTTGAACGCCAATTCGATACCATGTTTTTTCAATTCTTTCGTAAGTGAGTACTGAATTGAATGTGAGTACTCTACACACACATACTTCTTCTTTTGTGGTTGGACGTCTCCAGACTTTTTGTTTTTCATAGGGATGGTCAAGTCTCGAAATTTCGGGAAATTTTCGGGAAATTTTAAATCTCGTTACACGAGACGAGATTTATTTTTGGCCGAGATTTTATCGAGACGAGAATAAAAAATAAAAAAAATTAAAAACGCCTGCAGAAAGTCAATGCAATACCCGCAATACAGAAGCGTGTTGTAGTTGCGTTTCCTTTGCGAACGCGTTCTTATTTAATTAATTCTTTAAATGTAAATATTAGGCTACTTTAATTATTTTAATAATATTACTTTAATAACATTTGAGAAGTTTTGTTAAGTGTAAGCAGTGTGAGGAATGTTTTATTACTATAAAAAGTCAAAACAAGTAACTATTTTATAAAAATTAATATTGCTTTTATTTTAAGATTTATTTTATTTTAGGATAAGTTGAACTCTATCCTAACTGATATCACTATGTTTCCTAATCGTAGGCATTTTTAATAAGTTAGGCATGATTAATAAAAAAATGTTATGCTGATGTCTTTTAATAAAAGATTGTAAATATTCTTGCCTATTATCATTATTTTTGTATTTAAACAGTCATCTAACAATGTTACAAAATCAGGTAAAAATTTTGAACGTGCATTTCCCGTTGTGTATGAGAAGGGAAATCCCGTCTCGATCTCGTCTCGAAATTTTATGAGAAATAAAAAATCTCGTCTCGTCTCGTCTCGAACTAAAAATCCAATATCGTCCATCCCTAGTTTTCATCTTACTTAATAACCTGTCAATCATATTGCTGTTGTACCCATTAGATAGCGCTATGTGTTTGATCAAATTGAGTTCTTTATTAAAATTGTTGTCTGACATTGGAACATTTAATAATCGATATAACATACTATTATAAGCGGCATATTTCTGTGATGGTGGATGGTATGACGTGTTATGGATGGTTTGGTTTGACGTGGTTGGCTTACGATAAATGCTGAAATCCAATCTATTGTCCAATTTTTCTATTGTCAGGTCTAGAAAATTCATTTTGTTTGACTCCTCGATCTCCATCGTGAATTTCAAATTTGGGGCAATATTGTTTAGATATTTGTGTAATAATTCCAGTTGTCGGACGTTACCGTTAAACAAAAGAATGGTGTCATCTACATATCGGTGGTACTGCAGTATTTTTTGTTTCTGTTTGTTACGATCTGATAGTATAAATTCATTTTCGATATAATTCAAATAAATGTCAGCGAGTATGCAAGATAGAGGGGAGCCCATTGCTAGGCCCTCAGATTGTGAGTAGAATTTTCCTTCAAACTTAAAATAATTCTGTTGGAGTACTTCTTTCAGAAGGACTAAAAATTCATCGACTGCTTCTGGCAACATATTTGAACTGGAAGTCAGGTGACCTTGGACTAATTCCAAAGTTTTCTCCACCGGTACATTGGTGTACAAATTAACGATGTCAAATGAAACCAATAAATCATGCATCCTTATGTTTAAATCTTTAGTTTTTTCAATAAAATCATAGATGTTTTTTAGACTAAAATTATTCTGGAATTGGATCTGGTTTCTTAAAATTTGTTCGAGCTTTTTAGCGAGTGAGTAAGTTGGTGCAGAGGTGTGGTCCACCAACGGTCTTATTGGGACGCCTTCCTTGTGCACTTTAGGCAATCCTCGCAACACTGGTGCAGTGGGGTTGGTAACCATCAGGCGCTTTATTTCCTCGTCGCGTTTCCTTGAATTGGCGTTCAAGACCAACAACAAGACAAGTAATAAATTAAACGTTCCTGATCGTGTAATCGACAAAAGTGAGAAGTCAGGTGTATACAAAATTAAATGTGCTAGTTGCCCGAGCTTTTACATAGGAAAAACTGGACGGACATTCGGAACCAGGTACAAAGAACATCACCCATGTCCAAGAGCCGACAAGCAAAAATCATCCTTTGCGCAACACCTGGTTGATAAAAACCATGACATGTATGATCTGAACACTGGCCTCGATATACTCCACACAAGCAAGAAAGGAAATAAATTGGACACATTAGAAGAATACGAAATTTACAGAGCCTATACAGAAAATAATTTTGATGACACAATATTAAATGACAAACTACAATATAAATCACACATCATTTTCAATAGTATTTTAGACCAGGACAAGAGACAAAAGGCAGGAGTACAAAGGTCAGCTGATAACACCACTACGCAAAGAACGATGCAGGATTAACCTCCAGTCGGCATCCAGTTCAGATCGTGGCAATGTCAACCGGTACCGTGTGTGCGACAGGCCTGTTCGTTGTGTTTTCGTTAGTAATTGTAAAAGTAAAATGTTATTCGTGTTCGTGTTTTGTGTTTCAACTATGACGACGCTACTTCAGCTGAATGTTCAACGTCTGACGATGGCATTATAATGCCGAAACGGCCGTAACTCAAGTTACAACAGATTGAGCTGTAGACGAAGGTAAATACCTATTTTTAATTAATATCACAGCTCAGGGGCTAAAAATGGATTTTAAATCATCTTATGGTTATTAAAATATTTAAATTTAAAAAAAAAACTAACTGCTCATCGACTATTTTGCATTATTTACCAGTCATTTTTCCTGATCAATCCTTTGAAATCCCACACTAGGAAAAAATTTATCAAGATTGTTTTTGTAACTATTTTGTGTATCCATCTATAACCCCCAGAAATAATTTTTTTTTCAGGCAAGACAGCTTATCATACCTTTAAAAAGTCCTTAAAACGTCCAACTACATGTGTATCCCAATATTATAACCCCAAATAAAAATAAAAAATTTTTAAGTAGTAGAGTTTGCTTAGCCGGAGACCTTTCTGAAGACAACACTTTGATATTTTGTCATAGACTGCAAGGGGTCTTACTGTCAATTTCTTATTCCTCGCCAGACATTCCTACGCCAGGGTAAAATACCAGTTTTGTTCAGTGTAAAGATCCCGGATAAACTATCTTTCACTCTAATCCTTAAACAAACTCCTTAAATCGCCAAATGGTTTTTTTATCTAAACTTAAATAAAGAAAATAAATTGTCTAAAAGTTGAACACAAATCAGGCTACCTGATAGCTGCCTGGGGTGTTGCGACATTGTCCTCCGCTGCAGATAAGTTCATCTTCACACTCGTTGATATCCAGACAATGTTTACCAGATGGATCTACCTGTCATACACAACATACTTGTGAGTTGAATAAATAAAAGCTTTCCATCTATTCCTGATGAAAACCATAACAAAATTGCAGACATATTTCTAATGAAGCTAACTAAGCTGCTCCCAGGGCAGGGATGCCCACAGGGGGGTTTGATGTCGCAAAATGCGACATCAGAATTTTATTTGGGGGGGATTTTATGATTTTGGGGGGGATTCAAGCCATTGGTTGGTTAAAAGCACATAAAAGATTAATCAGATAATTTTTACGTTGGACATTTTATCTTGATTAATAAATCATTTTATAATTGCTATAAAATATATAGATACTTTTATGTGGATTTCCACTTTCTGACTCATATCATGTTTGACAGTGAGAACAACTCCATGCCAACTGCTGTCAAAGGATTATGGTTGCTTATTAAATTGTATCTGCAATTTGAGTTTGTTTTTACCTTTCATTATGAACTCATTCTCAAATAGTCTCATTGCCTTGAGGACCTATTGATGGTTTTTTAGGTTTGTTTATTATAATATATTCTTGATTCATAAAAATCAAGAACTGGAACACATGATTCTGGATTAATTAAATTGTATTTGTTATTGTCTTTTCTTGAATCTAGAAAGAGCTTCAAACAAATTTTACTAGTCTTAGAATAGATATATAATTATTATTTTTACGCCACACTACACTATTTTGACGAACTTCCCATGCAAGGATTTAGTCCAGAAAACAGCTGTTTGTCCTTAATCAAATGGGGTTTCATACAGTACTACACTGTACTGTAATGAGTTTTGCCGGACACCAATCAGCTGATTATACTGTATTTGGGTGGCAATGAGTGGTTATAACAAAAACATAACCTCTCTTAGAGGTTATGACTAGTGATTTTTAGTCCTTTAGTTGGTGGTAATATAGGGATTTGAACGGATTTAGTAGTATGGCGTAAACTATCGTACGTCACTCGTCCAAGATGTGTTTGCCGGACTCGTATAAAAAAAAACACTACTCGACTTCGTCTCGCACGGGATTCAGGACTAGTAACGTAATATACTATTTTACCACACTATGATGTTTTTAACTGTTTTACATATAGGTACATTAATTGGTGCTGGCTGAAAGTTACGTTTTGCAGGCCATGCCAGCTGTCATCGTCATTTGGGGATCGAGCAGGTTTTTACATCCCTAGGGCCGCAAAATCAGCTGCCCGTTTTAAATACACAATCAGTATCCATAGCATTGCAATATAGTTGTTTTATTGTCACCGCTGCCTAGCAACTATTTATTATTATTTTTGCTAATTCCACAAATTATTTGTCCACATGACCTTAAAGTTGTAGTTGTGTTGACTATTTCAGTGTGCAGTGCATTATCATTGAGGTGAATTAGTGGTAATAGGGTATAGTGTGGGGTGGTGAATAATAGCGTTCGTACCACGGACTGAAATGGTTTTGCAGTTCTCAATCGTTTTAAGTCCTCGACCTCGTATCGAACTTAAAAACTACCTCGAACCTGCAAAACCTCATTTTGGCCCTAGGCACGAAATATACTATTAAGTTTAGGCCTAGTAATATTTTTGAGACTGAATATTTTACACTTATTTAAAAAGGACCAAACTCAGAAGTGGATTAAAGGGCAATTTAGAAAATATCTCAAACTTTTTGACATAACTTAAAGTACTTCCTCCCCTACAATTTAATATGGTAAAAGAATTGTTTATGTAAAAACCCTGATCCCAAAAAAGTGGTTTTTGAAGTGATGTGTGTGTCTGTCTGTAGGTACCAATCCATGGTCTCTCCAGATGTTTTTTTTTTCATTTTGGATTTTTAATAGTGATATTCTATAAAACCCTATAAAATAATGGATGAATAAAATTTTCTCAGAATTGGCCCGAACGATTTTGAATAAAAATTAACATGTTATACTCTTTGACACAACAATCTCTTTTACACAAAAATTGTGTAAACCCTCTATGCCGTAAAAATTGTGGTTCAAAAGTTATTTCAACTTTTGTGATTTTCCCTTTTAAAACCTATTAACTCATGGAAAATCGGATAAAAAAAAACTACATGGCCAATTTTGATTCAAATTGTGTGCATGTTAAAAATCCAACTCATTTAAATTAAAACTAAACTAACAAATAGTTTGCTACTAGAGTTATAAAGGAAAATTGTCCATTTAAATTGGGTTAAAAGTTTGATTAAAACGCTTAAATTCCCATAAATTTAAAGAAGTGTCGGGGGCACCCCTTCCCTCCCCGCATTATAAACATAACTATGGGTTAGCCGCCAGACCTTCCGGCATGGGTTAAACAACGAATTTGGGGGGGATTCTGCGACGTGAGCTTTGGGGGGGATGGGCACCACTGTCCCAGGGTGGCACATGTTCACAGGCAATAGATATCTTTATAAGACTACACTTTTCAAATAAAACTGGCTAGTAAAAAATATGGTTGGACATTCAAGATTATTTCATGAATTTAGATCTACATGATTCAAGATTACAGACTGTAGTAAACATGCTGTGTGAGGATGTTTTTGGGGATGAGTGAGGTTATCATAGGGAGGGCAGGGCTTCAATTTGGAACAGGATTGATATTTTTGATTGAGATGTTTACTTCTTGAATTATTAACTTAATGTTGAGTGTATTTCATTACAGACGTGTATGAGAATACTAGTAGATTTACTGACATTAGATTCCAATAAAATAAAATCCAAAACTTAGTTTATGAAACACATGTTACAGTACATGCTTTCTTAAAAAGATGTATTTAATTTGACAATATTCGGTCCCAAAGTGTCAAAAAAAAAGAGAATCCACTTTATATATATATATTGAATAGCAAGATTTTGTTACTAGACTGAACGAGTTAGTAGACAACCGGTTAGAAGGCTAATATTAAAATGCAGATAGATCAACTAAGTTCATACCTCATAGCCAGGGTTGCATATACAGCGGTGGGTCCCCATTAAGTTCTCACAAGCTCCGTTCACACAGACATTGGGGTTTTGAGCACACTCGTTGATGTCTGAAAAATATATGTTTCAAAGTAGTTGAGCTTATATATTTTATAAATTACTGGCATTTAAACATTTGAATCTTGAAAAAAAGCACTCAGTTATTGTTTATTTTATGGTTAAGAACAGTACAGTGTTTCTACTTTCAAAATTGAAATATGGCACTATTATGAAAAAAAATTTCTCAAAGTGAATAGTAAACATATGGTACCAGTGAAATTCTATGTAGTTTTAAATATAAAAATACCCCCGCCGCAGCAAACCTGCAGACTAAGCGAATTTCCATTTGACTGATTGGATTTACACTGAAATGTCTACTTAAAAATATAACATTTATTCCCGATTTAAATAGAATTAGTTTAACAAGTACTTGGGTTTGCTGCATCAGGGAGGGTAAAACTGTTTTTTTTTTTTGTAAAATGTTAATAGTTAGTAAGAAATAAAAACATTTTCCAAATTTGATCAAAATATGTTCATAAACAAGCAAACTACAACAGTTTACTCATTCTCCATAAGAATAACATGGGAATTTTAAATTTACAATTTTTTGGAATTTTCTCCGTAACCATTAGGCGCATAATAACGCTTCAATATACTAAATTATTTGTTTTTTGAAGCTCTACAAAATGGTTTGGAAATAAATTGCTAAATTTTATGTTTTTTGGGTCAAAAATGGGAAAAACCTATTTTTACCCCATAAACCCCCCCCCCCCCCCCCCCCGTAAACACCCGTTCCCATGGTCCGATCATGCTGGATCGCGAACTTGTTCGAATAAACGTAGGTTTACACGTTTGTACCAAATTTCATCAAAATCGGATCATTTTTGCTCGAGTTATTGTGCTGACGGACACACATATATATATATATATAAATATATAAATATATTTATATATATATATACGGATGGTGTTTTTGGCCTCTAGGGACCTCAAAACGAAAAAAAAATCGGTCCCGCGTCCAGGTCTTACCATGAGTACTACGGTAATAGCTTATTCCCTATATGGGAAATTCGCTAAAAACAAAGTGACCTGTATCGCTTTCTTTAAAAATTGTATTAAAAAAATGTTTGATAAAAAACCTTTTTGGTTCTGTGGTTAACTACAAAACAAAATCTAGCTCTTTAATCCAAGCTAGTACTGCTTCATCTGGGTTGTAAGCAGAGCAAAACAACCTGGTCATCACCGTTAAGGATAATTATTCATAATATGCGTGATTCACTAATATTTCAAGATTCATTTCTAAAGCATCAGCAGCAGGAGCACATGACTGATTTGTGCTCCTACCCACATACATTTCAGAAGTTACACCTGCCCAAATCTTTGAGAGTCTGGCTTAAAAAATCCCACTCCTAACAGTGGGAGCTGCTTGTTTACTCATTTATATAACAACCTTTAATGAACTAGAAATTTAAAATAAAGTGTGGAAATTAAATTTTGCAGAGTAGTCTTAACTGTAATAAAACGTACCATCTCCACTGTAGGTCATGCCGGGCCCATGAGGACACAGTTGGTTGAACTCCGGGCTGTGTAGCGGAGGACACGGCTGGCAGGGTGTGCCCCATCCCATGGGTTGATCAGGGAACATACTACAGCAACAACAGCTGGACTTGGTCACTGGCGCTGTAGATGGATTGGAACATTGGCCGTCCTTGTATCTTGCATAGCACAGGTCTCGTCTACTGTCTGAAACATAAAAATATTAATTGTATAACTTACATGTAAGGCTTTATAAGCTTGATAGCCGAGTAGTTATAGAGCTTAACAAATAGCCAAAAGGTAGCCAGTTTACTGAGAAAACTTTGTGGCTTTTTGATCCTTTAAAGCTGTACCAAACTATCCTTTATCATTGGGCTTTTATAATGGTCCTCGATAAGGAACCACATGATCTTAGTCATTGACAAAGTTATCATCTTATCCATTCAAGGATCATACTTGGGAATAACAAATAGAAATTCTAATGATTAGCGATATTCCTTCGTTTTTCGGCTAACTTCTATCATATTCGTAAGTTTTTAAAAAGTACTGAATCTAACTTCTAATCAGTTAGATTCTAACTAACGAATAGATAATATACTCATTAGTAGTTTAGGAGTTTAAATAGTTAGATTTTTGGACAGGTGGAAGAACCTCAAAAACCTTTTTGAGCAATCGATCGGTGAGGGTTGTGTGCGGATAAGAGGGTCAGCGCCCTTGTTGACAAACAACGCGGAAGTGGGGAAAGGGAAAGTCCACATGCTTTGGAATTTGGTATGCATTTTGACCATGGAGGGGGGGCAGTGACATTGTCTTCAGTCAGCTGATGTTGATGTTCATTCTCTGACAAGTGTGAGAAGTATTTTTTTCTGTGGTAGCAACCTTAACCTGTGATACTCAACTCCCGATTAACCGGGATAAAGTAGGGCTTCCTGGATACGTAAAATCGCGCTAATCAACAAAATACTATTGAATTGAGTGTATTGAAATACAATACAGTATAAAATTATGGTAATTAACATGTTTATATTGCACTAAAACATAATTGAATGTTATATTTGACAGAAATCACAATGAATAACACACATATTTGATCACAATGACACTCGTAAATACAAAGCAGATCTGGTATTTAAGATCAAATAAAATATTAACAAGAAACAAACTACCACAAATAAATTTCTTTGAAAATAATCTGTAACAGTTTTCTGTTTTTGAACAAAGAAATATATTTTTTTACTCTACTTTCATGTTTTGTTAAACAATTTTGTCTGCAATAATTGGAGCATTGTATTGCAAACTGGGGCAGAGGGTAGGGTCTATGACCTTGAGTGGCCCCAGGCCTGGCTGGTGACAGTGGTTTATTATTTATTGGTATGTTTTACATCATAACTGCCCTTCCTACCCAGAAAGAGACACTGCAGTTTCAACAACATTGGCTTAGTTTAAAAACATTGACTTGTGTTGCTAATTAAGACTGTATGTCTGGATTACATTTTACTTATTTTTCCTGGAACGTGTCCCGGTTAAGTGAACATGCTATAAGCTTTCTTAGTTGTTATATTTTAGTGTTAGTTAAGTAATATTTTTAATAAGTTATTAAGGTAATGTGACAGTGTTTAATTATTAATAACACAATTACATACCAAGAGTGTCATTATTTCATCTATATCTATAAAAGAGGAACTATGTATATACGTTATGGACTCCGAAACCGCTCGACAGATTGTAATGGAACTTTCAGGCATTATTAAGCATCTTTCAAGGATGGTTCGAGTGAAGTTTGGTGCAGATCTGTCAAAAGGGCTCTGCCCCAGAGGGTTTTAAAAGTGGGCCAATGTCAGACTTTTTGATCTACAATGTTTACAAATAAATATAATTTAAAAGCAGATGATTACTTTCACCAACTGTTTTGTAGGTTTGAATAATTACAACATTCTGTATTAGCATTAGTCATGATTTGAAATAGTGCCAGTGTTTCTACAGAGTGCAGCACAGAAAACTATTTTACTTTTGAATAAGTCCAAATGTATTAAACCCAATCGCAGCACACCTGTGCACTTAACAACGTTTAAATTCTCCAATGTTAAATATTAAAACATAAAAACCTTTATCAAAGTATTATAAACGATAAAAGGGATGACTTTTTAAAATTTATGACAACGGCTAAAATTTGCAACCTAAAGGTGAGTGAGCGTAGCGAACGAACATCAACCTGGAGGCGAGTTAGCGTAGCGAACAAGCTAACCTGAAAACAAGTGAGCGCAGCGAACGAGCTCCAACCTAAAGGTGAGTGAGCGTAGCGAACGAACTTCAACCGGGACGTGATTGAGCCATGCGAATACTTATGAAGTTAAACGGGGCAAAGCCCGTGGGTACAGCTAGTTTCATATGAAATCCTTTAAAACAACTGCCCAACAAACAGCAAACTTCTCCAAAAACTAACTTATATTTCTATCAGTTTTTTTTTTAGCTAACTAATAATTTCTATCAGTTAATTTTTTAACTAACTAACAACTTCTATCAGTTACTTTTTTTACTAAATAAATAATATCTTCTATCAGTTACTTTTTACGGGACTAACTAATAACTTCTAACTAGTTAGAATTGTTTACTAACTTTCCCAAGTATGTCAAGAATCATTCGTCTGTTATGTTATCTTTGCCTTAAAACATGTGAAGACGTGTCGCCAACATATAAATTTGATCTAATCTAACGCAATAGTCTGTGAAATATTATATTTCATCAGTAGGGCGTACAGTGCCTCTTTTCGTCCTGAGTTTTCAACAGTAAGGTTGGACGACTTAGAAAGTCAAATAGGTAATCAAGACTCTACTTTATATTACCCCACTATTACTCCTTGTTGGTTCCCTGACTAAAGTTTTGATTAAGAGTTAAATTGTATGAGTTTTCAATTGATGGGCTTCATATCCATTGTGAAATTATGGTTGAACCTTGAGGATAGGGTGGAAGGTATAACTATGAGCTTTTATAAGGTTACAGTACCATTGCTATGAGGACTTACCCACACAAGATCTGCCATCTGGTCCTAGAGTGAAGCCTGGCAAACATTCACATCGGAAGTTGCCTTCAGTGTTGATACATCTTCCGTTCTGGCACGGCGAACTCTGGCACTCGTCTATGTCTGCAGAACAAAGTCAACATTGTCATGGACGGAGTAAATAATTAATCAAACAAGCAAATTTGAAAGAGAAACTTTTAAGAAATATTTGTAATAGGAAAAGCACTGTGTTTTATCAACAATTATTATTAAACTGGATTTTGATTTATGTTTGATCAGGTTTTTGTTTGTACATATATTATTATGTTTTAAGTTCCTTGCTAAATATGTTCTGATTTTTTAGGATTGTGACATAAGCCACCTTGTTGAACTGTTGGAAAAAAATATTCCATGTTTTCCTTTTTTAAATTTTGTACAAGCTTTAAAAGAACATCTGAAGCACCAGGTGGACAAGAATAGTCATTCTCCGAGTACATCTTTTAATTACAGTTACAACTACTTAGCTCGGAATTTGAGTAGCCTACTTTTTACTACCGGTACTCAAAGATGTAGGAAATACTCAGAAATCCAATTCACCTATGGTCTTCAACCAAATTAAATGAAACTACCACCTACCAACACAATAGCGCCGGTCCGGCGTCAGTTTGTAACCAGAGTCACAAACGCAGCGGAATGATCCGTCCATGTTGACACACTTGCCTCCAGCGCATGCGCCGCCCACACTGCACTCGTTGGTGTCCACGCAGAATGAACCGTCAGCCGACACTGTGAACCCAGCGGTGCACACACACCGGTACGAGCCAGGCGTGTTCTCACACCGACCGTTCAGGCAGATCCGGGGGTTCTCATAGCACTCGTCCACATCTAGAAACAATTTATTTATAAATTCATATGAGAAAATAATAACAGAAAATTGAATCACGATGTCTAGATCCTCAGATTCAACAATCAAAAGATTAGTTATAGAAAGTTTGTCAAGAACCTCAAAAATTAGATGGTTCACCTTGGAACATTAAGTCCATGGAATAAAAAGTACCTACACAATAAAATGACACAAAACATGACACCATAAAAATTAAACTTTTTTTTTTAAATGATGTCGTAATCTATGCTGTTTTAATCATAAAATCAATTTAGTTAAGATGAATATTTTAAATTTGATGTTGATCCATGCCATTGGAACTTTTAAGGGGTTTTTCGTAAGTGAATAAGGGAAACCCTGGTCTCGTTACTATTTAACATCGACCTTTTGTTAGATATTATCATTAATTCATAGTTAATTGACAAATGGCATCTGAATCTGAATCTGGTAAAAATCTGAGTCTCCCTTGAAATTGAACTAGTGACCTCCAGATTTGAAGACGAGCAGGACATGCACTCGGCTGCTCAGACAATAAATCAATTATTGTTATCATATTTTACAGTTATAAAAGGCCTAGAATTCATTTTAATTTTTACAGAAATAGCTAATACAGTACTTGGGCCAAAAAATATTTTTCCCATGGAGCTCCTGAGTTAAGTCTGGAAGTTATCCCTCCACTTCCTAAGTAAGAAGTGAAAAAGTGTAAAATAAAAACATTAAAACTCACCAATACATGAATGGCCTGTGGGAGAAAGTATAAACCCTTCCTTGCACTTGCACTTGAATGATCCGTCCATGTTGATACACAAGCCATTGTAGCACATGCCAGTCTGACTGCACTCGTCATGGTCTGCAACAGCCAATCACTAGCTTTGTAAAACAATAAAACACTTACACAAACCAGATGTAAAACTTTGGATATTTGAGATTGTTTTCTAAAATGAAGATTTATTTTTGTATGTATGGCATGTGGTGATGTTTATTTGATCATTGAGTACAGTAGCCGAAAGTTAACAGAAATTTAATATTTAATTAAAACGGTAGATTTTAAATCTTAAATGTCAGGAATTTTGCTAGTAAATTAAAGCTATAGGCCTACATCAATGAGTACAACAGCAGTAAAAAAATTCATCTGCTTGGAAATATTGATACCGGTATTTTAATTTAATAGCTTATTGTGACTATGAACATTTTTAAATTTTTAAAAACTCATCTACTACCTCTGCTAAAAAACCTAAGAACTGCAGGGAATAGTGAAAATACTGCTTGTGTCAATGATGATAGCAATTTCACACAACAATTCCAAACATGGACCATCTCAACAGCATTGTTGTTTCCCGTAATGGCCGTTTTCACACCAGCCGACCCCACACCGACACAATATCGGCACGATGTCGGCCCAACAACATTGGTTGAAACAAAGCATGTAATATTGTGGACCGCTTTCACACTAGAGGATATGTTGGTGCCGGGTCGGTGTTGGCGCTGTGTGGCAACTAGAAATTTTTATTTTGAATCTAATATTTTATGATATAACTAAATTCTCACCAATACACAATCTGCCATCGGAGGAGACATCGAACCCTACAGGACAGTGGCAGGTGAAGCTGCCCGGAGTGTTGGTACATTGACCTCCTTGACAGAACCCTTGTCTGCACTCATCTATATCTGTAACATGCAAACATAAACATTTATTGTACCTGCTTATTGCACACCAACATTGATTATTGACTGATTAAACAGCCACCAATAGGAGACAATATGTAAACAAAACATCTTATAGTGTAGCGATGAAAACCAAGTAGTTACTTAGGTGTATGGCTAGATTTCAGCTACTATCTTCAAAACTTTGAGGGTGACGCACGCTATCTTAATAAAGTTAAATGTTAAGACAATATTTTTGACACTTCATCACAGGAAAGGTAACAATAAAAAGTATTTCGCACCATGAATGGGTGGCACAGGATGCTACTACAAGCACTTGATTGGATCACTGCTTAACTTGTTTCAAGACAAATGTATTAACTTAATCTATAGTGCAGTATCTGTAAATTTAATAACACATATAAAAAGCTGAGTAAGGCGTTTTTTTTTTACTTTTCTCTACTTTAGAACTTCCTCCGAGAGGGAAAATACTCATTTTCTCAGATAAAACTAGCTTAACTCAATCAATTAAAAACCCCTCCTAAATTATCCACATTGCTTGCCCTTTTATATCACTCAAGCAAAAAAACACACCTAAAAAAATGCTTGGTGTACCGTATTATGCAAATAAAACAAGTATTGTAACTAAGGTATTATAGTGTTGAACTAGCCTTCACACACTTGCGACTGGCCCTTCGCAATAAAGCCTGGATGGCACTGGCAGATGTAACCGTCTGGTGTGTCTATACAGTCACCCCCGCCACAGATAGTGGGACGCAAGGCACACTCATCTATAGCCATCGGGGGACCACCACCGTTCACACCTCCTCCACACAGCTTTCTGTACCCCTCTGTAACAGTTTTACGATAGTTTGCAAAATGCTTAAAAGTGGTTTTAGAGTATACTATAACTCGATGCTTGAAAGAGGAAAGGGCATAAGTACACATGATAAGCCTATGTAGGCCTACTGTGAATAAAGATAATTTGATTTGATACTTGCCCCTTCTTCTTGAAAGCCACAAACTATTGATTTTTTAAATAAAACAGAATTAATGTTTGAAGGTTGAATTTAAAAAACTTGTATAGCCTACCAAGTTGTGTGGCTGTGTTATGGAAAAAATACCATGCAGTGTATGTTACATCTTGAAATTAAAATGTTGTAGTTAAAAAAAATTTTTAATCGCCAGTTATTTAAACACAAAGTTTATATTGTTTTGGAATCTAAAATCTGAAGTTTTCTTCAGGGAGTGAAGAACCTAGAAGATAACAAGTTTAGTAGGCTGTAACAAACCGTGCAGCACCGGGAACCACAGCTGAAAAGTGAAAACAACAATTGTAGAAGCAACCAAATGACAAAAGGCAAAAATTAAGGAAAATAAATCAATAATAACCACTTAACACACAGTCACTTCACAACTGAACAGTATCAGAGCTATATAGCAAGGAGAACTTTTCTCCCTTTATTCAAACATTTGTACCGGTACAGCTATTGTGTTTCATGCCACCACCTAGTTTTTGTAACAAATCTTATCACAGTACATAAGCATCAGTCCCACCTGAAGATGGAGTCAGATTCCAAATTGCAAATATTGTAAAACTTGTATTTTACTAAACCGTGATGAAAAATATTTACCTTCATCATGCTCAGGACACAGTTGACAGTCGTCGCCCCAGGCTTTACCCATGTTCATACCACAACAGCAGTCCCTGCGTGAGAGTCGCATCTGCAGCTCGTTGTGACAAACTCCGCTCGGTGTCACACTCAAGAAGCAGTTACCTTGGCGTGCATCTGAAACAGAACAGGTTGAGTGTTTTTATGTCATAAATCTTTATTCTAAAAACTGGCCTTAACTTTATGGCATAGAGATGACATTTTTCCTTCAAGGCACTGGATGTTCAAAGGTATTATTCAGAATTCGAATAATACAAAATGACAGAAATGTACTAAAAGATAGTTTTGTTATTAAGATTGGAACATAACTGTGCATATTTTAATCGAAATATGTGAATGTGAATGCAGGGTGAGTGTGGAATGGAATGATCATGTCTAGTGTAATGCATACTTTTGTTACTGCCTAAGACAAGCTGTTTTTTAGTCAGGACAATCATTTTCAAAAGCCTAATAGTCAAGGATAGCTGGGTCCAATTTTGAACCAATACGGTAATGCAAGCTTTTGGCTATCAGATGTGCACTAAAACCACTCATCAACACAGCACACAGCTGGCACAGCTGGTTTCTAAATATAACAAGGTAGTGTTCAACATTACCTCATATTTTAATATGCATACAACTGTCTCATAGCTTACCTATGCAGTTTTTTCGGTCCTGTGTTGGTATGAAGCCCGGGTTGCACACACAGTAGAAGCTGCCCTCTGTGTTGACACAGCGGCCGTCCTGGCAAGTGGAGGGGGAAGTAGTGCACTCGTCTAGGTCTCGACACTCGTTGTTGTCGAGGTCGCGCCGGTGTCCTGCGCCGCACTCGCACTCAAACGATCCAACTGTATTGATGCACTTGCCACCCAGGCACAGGCCCGGGATAGCCTCACACTCGTCAATGTCTGGGGGATAAAGTTCAAGATTATTTTGTATTACCGGTAGGCCTACTACTTTGCATTTTTGCAAAAGTTTAATATCAACTAATAACTTGATTGAACAACAAAAATTTGTGATTTTGAGTGCCGGTGACTGTTTTTAAGTTTTTGAAGATAAAGGTAGTGTATTTTTTATTTATTTTCAGGTCAGTTTTTTAAAATAGCAATTCTATGGAAAATCTATGATCTGATAAGTAATATTTAGACACACTGTGTGCATTATTATGGACAATTTTATTACAACTGTACAACACTGAACACTATTATGAACTGTTAAAATACTATCATATTTACTACAAAATCGATTCATTCACACAAAAAAAAACACTAAAACCATTTTGCATTCAGATTGTCATATCAAGTTTATGAATTGATAGTTTTAAGTAGCCTAACCAAAATATCATTGGCATGATTGGACAAGTATTCGTATCATTAACAGTTAACATGTTTCCAGGATTCTACCAATAGGCCTATTCCTTTGGGAAATTTATTTGTTTTTCTATAAAGATCTTTAGATACTAGTTTTACTCAAAAGTGTTATTTTAAAAGCTTTATTGGTTTTGAATAAGAAATATTCACAGTAAAAATGTTCATCAGATTAGTGATACTGACCGACACACTGGCCACTGTGGATGTTCTTGAGGTAGCCTTCGTCGCAAGGGAGGGTTGCTGGACATTTCTCACAAGGATGGCCCCACGCTCGGCCAACAGTGGCGCAACACAGCTGTTTGGTGCAGACGACCCCGGCCAACTGACCTTGACACATGTCGTTCACCACCCGCTGGAAACATGGCCCTGTACGATAGTCTGTAGGGAACAAACAAGTAGTTAGTTTATGACACACTAGTGTAAAACCGCTTTGTATTACTTATCAAAATTAAATTATCTTGGATCACATATAAGATTTATATTGCTGACACAGCAGGGTGCCTTTTTTAAGGCGGAGATGAAGAATGAAATATGTTGAATGAATTAGACAAAACAGCTTGGTATGTTAGCTTTGCTACAGTCCAAGATCACCTGATTCTTTAGCTAATACCATTTATTAAAAGCCGAATGATGAGAAACATTGAAAAATTAGGTGTGCTTTTAAAAATAACACAGCTGTAACTTTATCACTTTTATAAATTACTAGGTTTTAAGGATTGTTCTTATGATAGCAGGCTAACATGCATGGGAAAGAGTGATGATGATGATGGCGTAAGGTTTTCCTGACATTGAGTCATTTGAATATTTACATCCAAGACCTCTTCCTCAAAGCTTTGCACGTCCACAGAGTGAAGTAGGCCTACTGTAGAACTCGAATCATCCGAATCGATTGGGACCGTTCTCCATTCGAATAATCAAAAATTCAGATGACTTAATTGGATTTTTCCAAAATTTGGGGTGGTTCCAGAAAATGGGCCAAAACATGCCGAGCTTTTACTATTGTGATCGCAAAACGTGTCTGCGAAGTTTCGCTATATCAAAATTTTTTATTCATGCTTTTGCCACGATTGCGAAGGACAATTATGATTTCCCCTGATAACAGAAGACGAAGTTAACAAAACCTATTAAGATATTCCAGATTTTGCCGCAAGTTGCTAAAAAGATTACGAGTTTCCATGATCGCAGGAGAAGATAATCATATCTACACAACCGTAGAAGATAGAGATTTGGTCGCGATCACGGAAAACGATGAAGATGTTTCCATGACTGCATGAGATGATGAGCATGTCCACAGGACCGTGGGAATGTTAAACATTTTGCCGCGATCATGGAAAATGATGATGATGTTTCCGTGACTGCCGGAGACAATGATGCCTAACCAGATACAAAACCGCAGATTAAAAGTACGAGATTTTGCCACGATCGCTAAAAACAATGAAGATGTTCCCGTGACAATGATACAACCGCGAGAGAGGATTTGGATTTTGCAGTAATCACAGTTTCTGTCTTTTAATAACAACTCTTATTACTGTGGATGATTGGCGATTTGGATGGTTGGAGTTCAGATTATTGGAGTTCTACTAAGGAAATGAATAGATGTCTACATAAGGGATGATAACAATCTACATTTGTGAAATCTTTTTGTCAAGTTGCAGCTTAAAATTGTCTTTCGCTCCTCAAAAACACATTATTTACTGTCAGAAACCACTTCTGTTTTACAACTAAATAAGTTATGGGCTAGCTTAAATTTTTACAGTATAAAAAAAGTGAATGAGAAAAGAATTTGACCTGCTTCACAGCGTCTCCCAGTAAACCCGTACACACAAGCACATCTGTCCGGCCCTATGCAGCGGCCTGCGTTGAGACATGGCTCACGGCAGACAGCTGAAAGAACAATGCTTGTGAGTATACACATCATAGAGGTCAATCATTTTCAATTCCCTCCTTTACTAAGATAAATCCTTTTAAAACTAAAAAATATTACTAAACTTGGGTAATGATAAGAAGGTTGATGTTAATATATATGAGATACTTGAGGACTTGCGTTGCTTGTAGTATTATAAACAGGCTACTTTGAAAAAGAGACAGACATAGTACTGAGCAACAAAAAGGCGCAATTGAATACAAATGATTGCCTTAATTATTATAGCATGGCAAAATTGCAGGTTCTTTACTTATAATATGCAACTTATATTTTTGTAAGTTGATCATTTAACATTTTATTTATCTGTGGTCATAGACGTTAATGAACCATACTATTTTGAGCATGTAGGCTATATTTTATTTACAGTAAATGTGCCATTTAGGCAATGTGGCATGGTACGTGCAAGGTGCATGTCATTCGTAGGTGACTTAAGTGTTGTACAAACTAGTGAAAGTTTTAACCAAACAAATTTAAGCTTTAGAGAATACGTTATAAACTAAATTAAATCTAAATGAAATTTAAGTTCAGGCAAAGCTTACGTTCAGTACAGAACTCTCCTTGGTAACCGGAAGCACAAACACACTTTGAGCCGACGCAAGAGCCCCCGTTGTGACAAGGCCCTCGACAGCCCCCGTTGTTGGTGGGGGACCCCCGTCCATTAGGTGGAGCATCAGGGTGGGGATTAGTCAGATAGGAACTTTCTCCATTACCGGATGATTTACTTTTCTCTCTGTCTCCTAAAATAATAGAACAGTAGGCCTGGCAAATATTAGACCGTTTTCTACTACTATTTCTTAACTATTTTAAAGATAATTGCTATGTTTTTCTTAGGAGGGTGTGAAGCATTAATAAGCTTATTTTATAGAATATAACGCCTAAATACAGTTAACATAAATTGAATTTTTAGTAACAAAACTCTACTGTATTTAAATTTTCATAAAAGACCTCCGGAGCTATAAACAATAGCGTTTAAGACTTAAGCACAAAGTGTGGTTTAACTTAAATAAAAAAGTGTTGTTGGTTGAAACATAAAAATGTTGTTTCATTTTAGTTTTTAACAGAAACTTAGAGATCCGTTAACTTAATTGAGGAAAGATAGGCTATGGCAAAGAGTTCCAATTTTTCGGTACCTAACACAATAATTTTCAAAATTGGTAGCCTTAATAAGTCATTTAAATTTATGTTTAATTTATGCTAAAAATATCCAACCAAATATATGGTGTTAGGTTTTAAGGCATATTTGATACCTACGTTATATAAAATTAAAAATAGGCTATTTAAAATATAATTATAGGCCTAGCTGTACTTATTCTTTCTGACCAATACTTAGGCTTTTTAATCGTTCATTACGGTACACAAAAGCAATGGCTTACCATTCTGTTTGGGTTGATTGTGGTTGCAAGTGGACTGAAGGTTGCCATCCTCGCACATGCAGAGATTGGGTTTGACACATCTTCCACGTCCACATTTACGAATACAAATAGCTGAAATAGTAAAATAAACAACACTTTCATTTCACCTACTTTCGTACATCTGCTGTAGCAGAGACACTTAAGTTTAGAAATACCTCCCCTAGTGCTTACAAGCCTTTTGAATCTGGGTGATTACATCGTTATCCTTAAACCTTAAAGTAAACTAACTGCAGATTCTTGTTTTTAAGAATCTATTGCACTCCCCCATTTGTTAAATATTCTTTCTCTAAAAATAATTTGTATGCGTTAAAACTTATGATAAAAAAGCGTATTTTAACATTTTTACCGACCTTTCAGGCCAACATTTTTTTTTAAAATAGGCTATCTAAATTCTAAAAAGCGCAGGACCTACAATAATGTTAAACGAAAAATGTGACCAATATTCAGCATAGCATGAATTAGCCTATCTGTCAAATGACAAAACATAGATGGGTTATGCTGCCAGTTAATCACTAAACCTGCTATTTCTAAAACCCTATGAAACATTTCAAACGTTATTTTTAATCATCGTTTCTCAGGACACTTACTTAAAAAAATGTCGTCTTGTCTTCTACTATTCTACTCTGTTTGTGTTTCTTTACAAATCATTCAATTGACAAATGACAATAATTAATTGACGTCTGCTTCTGTTCTGGGTTTTCGAATTTAAATCGCTGATTTTCTTGTGTGCTAAGTACAGTCCTACCAACGACCATTTTATAGCTGTTATAGGTAGTTTTAGTTATCGTCAGTATACTATAAAAACATAAATTTGGGTTTTAGAAATCTTAAAGTATAATCAATAATCGTTTTCATAGATACTTCCCAGCAAGTATATAGCTTATAAATATTCTTAAGTACCTATATCATTCATATTCGAATACATTGGAACGTTATACAAATAAAACAATTTTCATTTTTGACACCTTCGACTAGGTTGAATTATGGTAAAATACTATCATAATGTGTTATAATATCATGATATACAAAAAACAAATTCTACTCATTCAGCATTCAGCTCAATATACTATAGTTGCATTTCATGGTGGAAGGAAAAACATTAAATTTTCCTTCCATTATGGTTGCACGTATTGTTCCAACTTACGTATTATACAAAGGCCGGTGGCAGGTTTCATTGACCATCCCGGACAACAGTAGTTTCTATGCCTACTTCTGCAAACATTTGGTCTGAAACAAAACAGTCCTATGTTTAACATACACAATAAATTAAAACATGTTTAACAATTAAATAAACAAGCTTATCAAGCTTACTTGCTATTTTGGTTGATATTTTCAAATGTTTCCCAAGATTTATATAGGATATAAGATTTAGTATGTATACTAAAGTTATATAGGAATATTAAATTTACCATAAGCTTTTGGTCCTATACGATTTAACACTGACAACATTAAAATACTCCCGCCACAGCAAACCTGCAGACTAAGCGAATTTTCATTTACCTGGCTGGATTTCTATTTCTACTAAAATATTCCCTAACAAATTTTCAGATTTATTTCCTATTTAAATACTGTAACATTATATTTTAGTGAGTACTGAGCAGGCCTACTTATAGGTTTGCTGCTACGGGAAGATATTGAGGTGTTTTTTTTTTTTTTTTTATTGCAATGTTGATAGCTTAGTATCAAATAAACCAAATTTACAAATTTGGTTCAAATATATCCATAAAGAAGCAAACTACAACAGTTTATTTATTCTACTATCCTACTAATATTATAAGAAGTGAGAAAGTTTGGATGTTTGGATGTATGGATGAATGGATGGATGGGTAGATGGATGTTTGTGACAAGTAAACGTGAAAAATACTGGTCGGATTTGGCTGAAATTTGGTGTGGTGATAGCTTACCATCCCGATTAACATATAGACGTATTCTTATCTCAAAAATCCTTTTGGGCTCCGCCCCATTGGCTCTGGAGTTTCCCATGTTAACCTTATAAGTATTCATGTTTAAGGAATAAAAGACTTTTGTCAGCTGTTTCAACTACAATGTTGGTTCTTATATTAAAATAGCATTAAGTTATAAGGCTTACCAACAGGGTGCAACACTATTTTCTTTTTTTCATTTTTATGACAACATCCAATTTATTTTTTTAATTTTTTAAGAGGTTTGCGGCCTCCTAACCTTGCATTTGCCCTTTCACATACACTACAGATCTGTGCGTGGAACGTATCCAGCAAAACAAGGGGTGAATTTGAACCAACTAGCAACAAAATGCTGTGAAAATGAGAATTTCACTTTTTATCGTTTAGGGGAAGTGGTAGAACATCATTCACAATTTTTTTAATTATCTCCGTAACCGTTGGGCATATGCTTTAATATACAAAATTATTACTTTTTTAAGCTCTACAAAATGGTTTGGAGAGAAATTATAAAATTTTGTTTTTTATCGTCACAATGGGAAAAATCAATTTTTACCCCATAAAACCCCCCATAAACCCCTGTTCCCAAAGTCTGATTATGCTGGTTCGCGAACTCGTTCGAATAAACGTAGGTTTACACGTTTGCAACGGGGCTGGGGTTATAGTGTACGAAACTGCACAGTATTCTGTTATTCTGTATTTCTTCCACGTATTCGTGCACAGTACGTATTCTATAGCTTATACGCCTGCAATCTTTGCAGTACTAATTCTGCACAGTGGTGTACATTCATTGCATCGAGAATTGTAAGGAGTTGCCGATAGGACGCTGTTCGTAGCATAATATAAGTACAAATATTTAAATTATAATCGAATCAATTATTCTACAGCTACCTATTTGGTGTTTTATAATAATAGTTACAGGGTCTGTGTCACGTATAATCTCGTCATGTCTCTATCATACGGATTATGGCTGCATATCACAATCACTGACGATAAAACATGCACATTGGATCAACTGAAGACAATTTTAAAATTCCGTCCGATTCATGTAGAGGACATTCCTATGTTTTGTATTGAAAAATTTCAAAGCTATTTGAAACCAAATTAAATATATACCGTAATTACAAGGAATTATAAAATACAGTTTAAATTTACAAGTTCAGTACTTATAATATAATATATTATTGAGGTATAATAAGCCAAGAATATTCGAATGGATATGTTTTGTATTGACAAATTTCAAAGCTTTTTGAAACCAAATTAAATATATACCGTAATTACAAGGAATTATAAAATACAGTTTAAATTTACAAGTTCAGTACTTATAATAAAATATATTATTTGAGGTATAATAAGCAAAGAATATTCGAATGGAGCGAAAAACGTCAACAGCATTAAGCACATACGAAACATATTTCAAATTTACAGAAGAACGATGAGTATTATTGTAAGATGAGACTTTATGACTTAAATGAGATGTGACTTTATTCAAAGTCAACTGTACCAATGGAAAGGCTCAAGGCGAGACTGTTCTAAATGCTGGAGCGACTGACGGCTCGGGTTCAAATCCTGCCAATCGATACCAGAATATCATTTTGGTAATCATGTAAAGAGATCACTTAGTTGAGAATAATATGTAAAATACAACAAATATACGCCTAGGTGAGGAATTTTACCTATTTAAGAAAATGCCCTTCACCCTTCACTAAAAGTCTTTCGATAGTTTAACAAGAGACGTTTCTGTAAATGTTGAAGGAAGTTAATGTTTACAAAATTGCCACAACAGATGTCGCTCGTAAACAACCCATCGCTAAAACTTGTTGAACGTTTATTTATAAGGGCATTTCATTCTAAATAAATAAACTACGCAACTAACAATGAAATCGGGACATTCGGTTTCCTCTTAGTATACCACAACTACCTCTGTTAGTCTATAGAACTACCACTACCGGTAACTGTCTTTTATAGAACTAGACATTTCAGTTCATTCCAATTGCTAAGTTTTTGCCAGTTCAAGAATAAAACTTAACGTGGTTGGAGCCACGAACAAAGTGTGCAGATCTAAATCGGTGATTTTCTGTCGAAGTCGCCAAGGTTTTTTTAACGCAACCTAACTGCAATGCAAATTCTTGTAGTCTATGGTATATTATATGTCACATCAACTATCAGAGTAACAAAACTTGACTGAGGAAATTGCATTTTAGATTTTATAGCTCACTTAGAATGGTGTCAATTATTTTACAGTTGGTCCAAATTATGGGACGTCTACAGTATCCAAAAGCCCAAAAGTCACAAATGGGTACTTGCGTACTATACCGACCATACCTAATAATTATAACCTAACCTGACCTAAGGGTTAGGTAAAATCGTATTTGGAATTCGATTAATCTGTGTGGTCGGTATAATACGTAAGTTTCTTTACACTCATCCCGCAATCATCCACACTTGTTGGTGTTGCTGTCATCGAGGATGATGAATCTGAAGGAATATGTTGATCTCTAGTAGGCCTATTGTTTAGCCTACATTGCCCATAACTGAGGACATTTATAACAGTTTAGTCTCAGGTGTGGATATTCTCATGGTCGGCCAGATTGCCCTAACTGTAACACAGGTAAAGTATAGGTGTGGCATGGCGGTATAGAGACATTACAGGGCGAGGGAGGTGCGTGTGGTCACGTTTAACACCGTGACGTAGGTCAGGGACTAGTGAGCTGGTGTTAACTGGCCAACGCTCAACGGTGTATGATTAATGACTTTTGTGGAAGATCTTCAGTGAAGCAGTTCTCATCGAACAAACTGAAGCTGAGCTATGCACCGGGCCACGTCAGTAGGAACGTATCTAAAAAAGAGCTGCGCTATTTGTTGATCCAAGGGAGTTAAACACATTTGCAACAGTGACAACACATATAAGTAGATACAATAGGACAATATGACACCACTTTAGGCACGTTTTCCCCATAAGAATAACATGGTGAGCTTTTTTTGACCACTTTTTTAAAAATCCAGCTCTCGACCAATACAAGCCTATATAAATGATCAATACCATTGTATAACTTCATTACTATTTCAAATCCACATGCATTCACATGTATATTCTCAAAATCATCAACTTGACAGTGCGAGGTTTGTACGCGAACTCGTGCGCGCTCCCGGCTCATGGTCCTGCTCCTGACCCATGGTCGGTCTTCTTGTCTCTAGTGGTCTAGTCCTAGTTGGGAGACCTCCTGTTGAAGTAATTTTTAGTTAAATTGTTTGAAATTTTTTAATTTCTAGTAAAAAATTTAGAAAATTTCACAATTTCTGGTAAAAAATTTTGCAAATTTCAAAAAATCTATAAATAGAGGTGGCATTGGCCCAAGACCTCATTCTCGTGCATGATGCCGACCTGTCAACACTGCTCCGTGTCGCTCTCCACCAAAAGTAACCTGATTCGCCACTACAAGGTAATTCATAAAATGAAGGTGAAACTGTGCAAAGTTTGCAATTTAATCTGTGATAATAATGTGGCTTTAAAATCACATATATTACAAAGTCACAAGACTTGTAATTTCTGTAAAACGAATGTTGTTGGACATTTTAAAAGACACGCCAATTCTTGCATAAAATGTCCATATACAATGATTAAATTTGTCGGTGAATCGATTAGAACTGACCTTGAAAGTACTCTGAAGTCTTGTCCTCTGCCGATAAAATGGACTTTAGTTAGGAGAATCAAATTTATAAAATATTCAATGGATCAAAATGGAAAATTAGTTAATGAAAAAGAATGTATTGCAGATTTTAGAAGCCTTACTACCTTAACTATTGAGAAGAGAGATTTAAAACCTCAAATTGAAAATGCACTTTTAAAGATTGATGCGTCGATTCATAAATATCAAGCCCAAGGCAGTGGATGGATATATGACCATACTAAATATTGGCAGTTGCATGTTTATAAGTATAAGCCTTTAACTCCAAAGTCATATATCCCCACACCAAAAAGTATTCAATCAAAACATGCAGTTTTAAATATAAAAAATTCTGATAATAAATGCTTCCTTTGGTCAATTTTAGCAGCTTTATATCCAAGGAACTCTAATGAAAGTGCTAATAGAGTCTCTAATTATGTACCCTATGAAAGTCAGTTGAATATGACAAACATAAAGTATCCTGTGAAAATATCTGATATAGATAAATTTGAAATACAAAATAACATAAGTGTTAATGTATTTGGGGTTGAATATGATAAATTTATATATCCATTAAGAACAACCAAACTAAATAGTAGTACTCATATAGATTTATTATTATTACAAGAAGGTCGTAAAT